TGAGGTGGCCATTGAGCACCAACTTACCACTGACCTGTCACGCCCGTGCATTTGCATCATGGCATCACCGCATCTCGTGAACGATGCAGCGAGGTGTGTCTGAATCAAAGGGATTTCATTCTTGCAGCGAATAAGATGTAGCAAAGAATACGTCGAATGTACCTCGCGAGCTCAGACGAGCAAAGCTTTCGCCCGCGGGCAGCTTCAAAGTGTCGCAGATGAGGCCTGATGCACATCAAGCATCCTCCGTCTTCGAGATGGGCTCCTCGCGACGTTTACGCGCAGTATCCGTCTCGTCTCCCTCAGAATTCGGCTGCGATTTCCAATGTCCGTGTTGCGGATCTTCGACATTGAGGACATCGTCCGTCTTTTCGTCTCGAACACGAGCTGCAATGTCCAAGCGGTTGGCTCTTCCCGCAGGAGCCCACTTGCGCGACTGCCACGGCTTGACGCTGTCGTCGTTGTACATTTCGTCGATCTCTTCGAGAGTGAGCCCCTTGGTCTCATACACGAAAAAGTAGACGATGAAGAATCCGAGAAAGTTGGCGCCGGCAAAGACGAAACCAAAGGCGTAGTCAATGTCTCCCGTGATCGGCTGTGTGAAGAAGGCTAGCAAAAAGTTCCAAAACCAGTTAGATGCCGCAGATAGCGAGGCTTGCTTGGCTCTCGTCTCTGAAGCGAACGACTCTCCGATGAACAGCCATATTCCTGGCGCCCAAGTGGTAGCGTAGAAAACAATGAAGATGCACGCCGAGGCGATCATGAGACTGCCGAATGTCGGATCGTTAGGATTGCCGACGTGTCCTGCAAGACCAAAGATGAGGAGCCATACTGTCATGCCGATGGCGCCTACCATCAAAGGGATGCGTCGACCAAAGCGCTCTAGAATGTAGAGAGAGCCGAAAGTCGCAACGAAGTTGACTGCTCCCAAGATGATTTGTGTGACGAAGCTGTCACTCAAGCCGACACCTGCGCAAGAGGAAGCAGAGCAGCGTGTCAGCAATCGCCTGCCGCTATACCCGAGTCCCTCGCCTCGCGCGCTCTGCAAGTCTTTCCGCACGCACTGTTGAAGATGTTTGCTCCGTAGTAGAAGAAGTAGTTGGCTCCCGTCAACTGTTGTCCGGCTTGGAGAACGATGCCAAGGATGGTGCGGTACAGCGTCTTGTTTTGGGGACGGAAGCAGTCGATCCAGCCAGCTTTCTTCAGTTTGGCTTCGTTTTGCACGTACGTGATGATGGAAGCGTACTCTGCCTCCACCCAGGGGTTCGAATCTTCTTTTGTTGCGCCACGAACGCGCGCGACGGCTTCATAAGCTTCATCGTGTCGACCACGGGCAGCCAGCCATCGGGGCGACTCGGGCAAGAACCAGATGCCGATGCCGAGGACGGCAGCAAAGGCCACGCCGAGCAGAATGGGTGTCCGCCATGACCAGCTGCCTTCGATGCTTCTGGTACCGATGTTGATGCAGTTGCTGACTAGAATGCCGAATGTGATGGCCAATTGGTAGGTGCTGCGATGCAACAAGCATAGCAGCGTCAGTGGTGTCGAGTAAGGGTCACGAGCGATGAGCTTTGGAGCGTAATGCGGCGACTCACGCGACTCCTGCACCTCGCAATTGGCTAGGAATTGCCTCTGACTGGTAGAGCGGAACCGCGGCAGACAGCGCGCCGACTCCCAAACCTGGATCGGACGACGTTGGCAGGGCAGAAGTGAGTCAGCGAAATTAAGGTGCGACTCCTTCACTCGAGCTCGCGAGCCTGTAACGGCTGCGCCGCGAGACGTTGCCATTGCATGGGCACTCGAAGCTCTTCAATAGCGTGCGGCAACTCAAAGATCTGCCGATACGCTGCTTTGGCGTGCAGATCCAACGTCGCCAAAATCTGATCTTTCCCACACACGAGCGCTCGTACTTTGCGCGTCCAGGAGCCGCAGAACTCACCTGAGACGAGCCTGCCGATTGCCACTTGGTACCAAGCGTACTGCGCAGTGACTTGGATGAGAACTCCAATGCTAAAAACGATCGTCTCCACCGTCATTGCGAGCCTTCTGCCGAGCTTATCTGCAATAGGGGCGCCGAGCAAGACTCCGAAGAATGTTCCGATACTCAGAAAGGATACGATGAGTCCAATGAGCCAAGAGTTGAATGCCGGCTCGGTCATCATCGTCTCCGAGTCGAAGATGGTTTCCGTCGCGAAGCGTTCCTTGAAGTCGGTCATCTCTTGGATACCGCTGATTTGTCCAGTGTCGTAGCCGAAGAGGAAACCGCCGACACTGGCGACCAGGGCCACCGAGATGGAGGTGAGCCCAATGGGCGAACCTCCTACGGTGAAGGTGATGGCCATCGTGCTTGTCTCGGCGTCCTGAATCGAGACTTTGCTAAACGGGAGGATGCGTGCGGCAGGAGCGAAATCCAGAAAGCGCTTCGGACAGAATCAAGCGCTGGGCTGCACCGGTGGTGGTGGAGACGATGGACGCTGGACGGGATCAGCCCCGCGCTTCTTGTACTTCTGAGATCCGACTTTGTTAGACAAAAGGGTGTGCGGGACTCCAGATGTCATGCACTTCGATGCGGGGCAATCATCGACGAAGACAGTGTAGAAGCCTCGTTCTGCGCGCTTCTCTCTCCTCAGTTGGGATCAAAAACCGCCTCGGCTGCTGCTCGTGTGTGGAGACGAGCTAGGCTTCCTCCGACGCTAGAGGACACGGCCTGCGTACCTGCTTCATATGTGCCCTTTCCTGTGCCCGTCGCATTCCCCCTGCACCAGCCCCTGTCCAATTGCCTCCCACAGTCAAGCAGCAGAAGAGAGTGCATTCATAACTCCACGAGTATCCTTCCATCCGCGGCCATTGCATGGGAAGCGGATTCGGTTTCAGACTTCGCTGCCGGGTCGGTCTCAGGCAACGGTCGAGAGTCACAACAGTTGCGCGAGCATCCTAGCTCGCATGGCTCTCGCCCGAGCTCGTCGCTCATCCTGCCCCGCGCGTCATTTCATGCAGACGGCACGTACAGTACACAACGAGAACCAGCAGCAACAACACCGATGACGCATTTTTCGTCCCTCGAGCTGCGAGTCGCCGACTAAGCCGAGAGAGCCCGTGCGGTTCTGGTGCCGTCTGTTGCAAGTGAGCTGCATACAGCTGCAGCAGATCTTGCCGGATACAGGGTCCGGCAGCATCGTATGTGCGCGATTGCATGCGCATGCAGCCCGGACAACGGCCGGGTGCGGCGCGCGATGCCTCCTCGCTTTTTCCCTTCTGCCCCTTCCTCAATCCTCCGCTGCTACAGTGACGAGTATGACTTACTCGAAGCCTCGTCCAAGCCGATGATGCGAAAGCCACTGAACAAATCGTGCGCTGATCTACGCTGCGCTCTTTGCCGAGCGCCAAGGTGATTGCTTCATTGTGAGCGGCAGACGGTAGCTCCCAAGTCGCCGGAACGGCGCAAGCAGATTTTCCCCGCCCCGCCCAAATACCAAACATGAATGTGCCGTGCAAGAACAGGCGACCAGCAGCAGCAGGAAAGAGAACAAGTCAGACGATCAAGTGGCGCAGGCCAAAGCCGCACGATCAAAATAAAGATGTCCGACAGGCACTCGAGTCGTGACCGCTCGAGAGAGCTTGCCTACAAGTCATGATTCAACACGCCTTGTTTGCCGTCACAATCAGCCCACTCACGACTACTCGTTTGGCTCTCGACGAGATTCTCGGTCGTTGCAGCGCAAGTTGCCAGTCTCAAGCCGATGCTGAAGACGAATTGCCGAGCTCACAAGTCTGTGAGTGTATGACAGAGACGCTTGGCAACGATTGGCAAGGCGGTGTCGCGTCGGAGCTTCGTCGGCGGAACTGAACACCCTGCATGCGCGAGCGCGTATCTTGGTCGCAAGACCAGCAGCTGGATCAAGCAACGCAAGTGTGTCGAAAAGTCGGTCAGGAGGGCTGCCCAATTCAAATTATTCTCGACTCTTAGCTGCACACTTGCGGAACAGATGCGGTTGATGAGAAGCCGGTTGATTTTCTTATTCGCAAAGTGAGTCGGAAGAGGAGCAAATCCAAGATCGTGAGCGACATCCACACTATGAAGCTCTTTGCGCCGCAACAGTCAGCCCTTTACACTGGGACCCTCCTCGTGGAGCGGCCTCAGTCTGCTGACAGACCCGCGCTCCTCCAGGACCCATCGAGCTTCGGAGTGTGCATGGCTCATGCCAGGAGCACAGGGTTTAAAGAGAAATGGTATGAATTCGAAAATGCTAGGTGTGAGTCTGACAAATCCAACGTGCCCTGGGCTCTGTACAGTGGGTGGATGTAAGGATTCGCTTCGTTTCTGATAAATGCACGGTCTTCAGAGAGAAAGGTGCGCGGCTAACGAAAACGTCTCTGAGCTCGCGTGAGCTTCACCTTCATGCCGTCGCGGCGGCGAGGAGCTTCTTGAAGTTGGGAGTTCCGAAACCGGTCACAGGGTCCCATCCCTTGGCGGCAGGGAAGCCGTCAGTGTCGCATCCAGCAGATGAGCCGGAAGTGATGTCCGTGAGCACCTGCTCAGGTTGACCGTAGTACAGCAGGGGGTTGATCCAGCCGAGGTTGGGCCTGCCGACAGCTGCGCGAGCGTCATTGAGCAACGCAATGATGGAGGCGATGGTAGGACCCGAAGCGCTGGTGCCGCCGACGCGCACGTAACGGCCTCCGACGACAATCAGGTAGCGAGAAGCTTGAGCGGCAATGTCGGGGTACGCGCGGCCGTTGGGGTTGAACAGGCCCGCGTGCTTCTTGCCAAGAGTCTTGAGATAGCCCTTGACGGCGTTGTCTTGATAAGCGGGTCTTGCAAAGTACTCGCTGAAACCGCCGCCAGCAAAGAAGCCACCGATCTTGGAGGAGACAGCGACCTCTGGTGCGTAGGCTTCCGTCCCTCCGACGGTGATCGAGTATGGGCAGGAGGCAGGGAATGCGGGGAGGAACTTGCGAGTCTTCTTGCCGTCGTTGCTCACGCAGTTGCCGTCTGAGCCAACACCATTATCACCTGAGCTGAAGACCATAGAGACACCGCGTGCCGCCAGTCCGGCAATTTCACTGGAAAGAAGGGATGAAAATTGTCAGCTCACAGTTTCCCCTCGCAATTGATTTCGTTCCAAGGCCTCGCAGCACTCACCCGCACACGCGGACTGCGTAATCGCGAGGGACGGTCTGTTCGTCATCACCGTATGAAGTGCTGACAACGGAAGGGATGGTTTGTTGAGAGAGCAGGTACTCGAACTCGGTGGTGTACGGCTCGTTCGTGTTCGTAGGAGTGGCTTGGTCCGGGTTAAAGGGAGGGCGGCCGCCATTCGAGTAGTAGGTCGAAGGAATGTTGAAGCTGATGGCAGCGACGGTCTGTACATCTAGATTAGCTTCGACACCTGGCTTGCTCTGGTTGTTTCCGCCACCGTCGATCTGGGTCAGGCGGTACTTGTAGTTGGCTGCAAGAGCGTCAGGGCGCTCAGTGCTCAAGAACTGGTTAAAGTCCTTGTCGTTGGGGTACTCCTCCAAGAAACCACTGATGCCAATGAATTGTGAGTTAGGCTTTTGGACCTTGTAGTCGATTGTGCCGTACAGCTGACGAATGCACGTGAGCGTCGTCTGGTTCGTGGTGGTGCAAGCAGGTGGGGGAACGGCAGCAGCAACATTGACGGCCAGGCGATTGTCGGCGTGCACGACTGTCTCATCTGCGTGAGGCTTGTAGCCCACTGGCAGCCATTCGGCGATTCTCGAGGGGGCACGATGAGCCAAGGGCTTACCAAAGTAGGTGGTGGGGCCGACAAGATCGACATGGTCGAAGACGCTCTCGGGTACGGAGTATTCGAGCGCTCGCACGACGACCTCTCCAGTGCGCTCGTTCAAGAACTCCGCAAATTCGGCACCTCCAAGCATGGCGCTCGCACGCTCCACGGGGACCGTGGCGCGAACCCAGTCGCCCGCGAAGCTGCGGCGCGAAAGGTCCTCCTTGACGCTGTGCTCCTCGAGCCAGCGACGCACAGCTGCAGCGCTTTCTGCGCTAGGTGTGAGGTAGGAAGAGACTTGCTCGCGAGACAAGAATTTGCCGTAGCGGGGAGACTTGGGGTCGGAGACTGCAAGGATTTCCGATTCGAGGTCGGCAAAGGCGCGCTGCTTCAGAGCGATGGAGAGAGGGATCTCTGTGCCGGCAGCGACTGGGCCTCTGCGCACCCATCCAGATGGCATGGTCACCGACTCCTTGACACGCATGGCGCTGGGAGCCGGAGCAGCCACTGCCATAGAGGCAAGCACTATGGCCAAAGCTGTAAACGTAGTGAAGCGCATCTTGAGTGCGGTCGCTCAGAGTATTAAAAGGAAGACAAGGAATGTATGTGCGACCGGATCGTCAATGACGAAAGCCTGGCTTGAGAAGAGGTGGGAAAAAGGGAGCGGGGGAAGGGGGATGGGTGGGTGGGTGGGGAGGTGGATTAGGAAAAGTTGGTCTGGCATCGAGCTTGCGTCACATATATATGACCACAATGACCGGAGCGGATGGACTGCTGTTCAAGCTCTCGCGAGGCAGCATGGAGCTAAGCAAGTCTCGGTGCTCGTGCAAGATTCGAGTGTTCAACGACTGGCTACGTAGGTACAGCCTCAACGCACACCAGGCCCGCCGGGTCAACCTCGCGGTCGTGCACTTCATTCACGATTGCGCGTGGGGCCTGCAAGCAAAGCCTGCATTAGCGCGAAATTGTGCAGAGATAACCAAAGCTACCTTGCGAGTGCAGGCATACAATTTGAATTTGATGTTCTGCCGTCATCTCTCAGTCTGTCTGCTGCTTTGGCAGCTGTGTGTGTGTGTGGTGTGCAAGACTCACGACTCATCAGACTGCTCATTCGACGATGCATGTACGATGTAGGAAGTCCAAAAATGATGTACCGATCCCCGCCTAGAATCGTCATTCTCTGTGTGCACCCCTCGTGTCTTTGCTGGAGGGGACCTGCCGCGCAACATTTCACAACGGCTGGACAGGCGAGCAGCGCCAGCCCCGAGTGGACTTCGAAGGCCAGAAAGAGCCAATGCAAGATGTGAGAATTCGAATCACACTCGTGAATGGTGAGTGGGCATACAGCTAGGCTGTGGCGGAGTTTGGTAGGCAGGGCCATCTCACAATCCTAAGATCGATGCACACAGGCGCGCTAGTCGTGAGCGACGCGCTTGCGTTCTTCAAGTCCCATCTGACGCAAGCGACGAGTTCCTATCGTAGAATCAAATGTATCCGTCCGAGCAAAATGAGGGCTGCTCCCGCACGGCACTTTGCGAGTGTAAGAACCTAGCAAAGCCCGGTTCGCTGATTTGAAACTGCAACAAAAGCTTCTTCTCAAGTGCACTTCTGTCGCAGACAGCAGCAGCCCTCAACGCAGCATCACGAATGGCCCGCCGGCCAAATGAACCCAACCGCAGCGGGGTGCATCGCCCGGCGGTCAAAAGCGGCGATGCGCCCGAGTGAAAGACGTGCGTGCGGTGCGCGGATGCAAGTCCGGTCCGCACCGCGACCACGGAGAGCAGCCTCATATCTGCTTGACCTTATCACCTTCGGCGAAAGGTGGAAGGTGGACAAGGGCCTCACGCAAAAGAGCGACCAGCACGAACATTCGCGACCAAGGACACTCTGGGCTGAGCGGTGCGGCAGCTCCCAATGTTTGTGTCATTAAAAGCGAAAGTACCGGACAGCCAAGCCCGGAATCCGTGACAGCGGCACGATCACCAATGGCGACCAATTTGCAATCCTCGCACCTGCCCCAGCTTCCCTTCGCATTCTGTACATCGCGGCTCCCTTGGGCAGACGTGAGCTGCGATGTGATTCGTGACTCGTACGCAAGTAGTAGTAGCAGTGAGCCTCATTTCTCGGCAAGCGGGATGTTGGAAGATAAGAGAGGAAGTTTTGCGTAGCGCATGACGCCGAAGAGCATGCATGCGACCGTTGGCAACTCGACGCAGCCGTTCAAACAGAAGCTGCAGCAAAGGATGCGCTCGCGACACTTGCCCTTCTAGACAGTCCGGGGTCACGACTCGAGTCCCTGTACGCTATGGACTAAGGCAAGGGCGACACAATCGTGAATAATCCAAGCGTCTCACACCTGATCATGTATCGTGTCTGTGGCGCTGCAGGGCATCCAATCAAGGATTTGGCTGGTGACTGCGAACAATCACGTGAATCAGCAACGAGCGGATTTCGGACTTCTGTCCGACGCAAACGAGGAATGTGGCTCCACCGGCGCTTTGACGTCGTGTGCACGATGATTATTCTGATTGCTGCCTGCACTCACGACTCCAGGCTCAGATGTTTGGTCAAAAAGTCTCCTAGCATCATGATAGACTCGCGGGCAGTCTCTTTGGAGCCTTTGTGTGTGTATGCGTGATCCGCCGCCTCGAAGCACTTGTGCGTGACATCCACACCTGCATCGCCGAGTCTACGTGCGACCTCATCGCCTTCGACCCCAAGAGTGTCTCGACCGCCGGTCGTGATCAGGAGCGGGATGCCTCGACAGGCTTCGGCAAGAGCCGGATCGTGATAAGGCGATGCAAGCGGCGTGGAGCGGGAAGCGATGTCTGGAAAATATACTGCTTGCACAAGAGCCAGCTGCCACGCGGGTACGACTGGGAATATGTTACTGTGCTTCGAGCGCCGCTTGGAGCGCGTCACGTCGAACATTGTAAAGTAGGGTGCCAATGCTCGAAGTCGCAGAGTCTCGTTACTTTCCGCATGTGCCTGCTGAGCAATATTCAGAGCAAGCTTGCCACCAGCGCTAAAGCCACTGACCGAGATTCGACTGCTGTCCCATCCGTGCGCTTCGCGACTCTTCGTGCTCAGCCACTTGCAGACATCATAGACTTCCTCTTCAGCTACCGGAAAGCGTTTTTGCGGCGCGCACGAGTAGACCGGGCTGACCACCACCATGCCGAGTCCAGCCAAATGAGAGTTGATGTGGTCGTCTTCCCAGGGTGACGACAAGATGCAGCCCCCTCCGTGGATGCTGACGTGGATGGGAGCGCCTGTGCCCCGAGACTGATCGGTGTGCGTGTTCAGCTTCGTGCCCGGCGCCGCGTCGTACACCCAGCACTGAACATCTCCGTGCCGTGTCGGAATTGGCAAGACGCGATGCTCTCTCTGCTTTCCCAAGTAGAAGGATTTAGGTGGACCAACGAGACTCAATGCTGCTCGCTGACCAATGTACGCCATCCAATAATTCTTCGACGAGATGTTCGCGCTGCTTCCGGCCATGATGGCGTTTGCGCCTTCGTCCCTGCGAGACAGAGCACTGGGCGCGACTTGAGCGGCCTGAGCTCTGCCAGACTAGAGAAGCGGTCTTACCGCACGTTCGAAGATCTTCTAGGGCACCGCTGAATAGCCTGTCCAAGGTAGATGAAGATAGGCAACCTTGGTCGCTGTTGATCACGAATTCCGCGCGTGACTCGGGAGCCGTGGATCAATCTGTGGCTGCGCCGCTGCGCAGGCTAAATCTCACTGGAGCGTTGCCTGGCTCGGAGGAGCTCCCAACAGTCAACGCGGGGCCAAGTCGCTCGACTTTGGTGCGGCACCAGACTCCCAGGGCGTCCGGTCATTCACGACATGCAATTGTGTCGATCGAGCCTGAATGCTGACGACGATTCTGCAGCTTGACTTGACCCGGTCGAGCAACTCCGCTGAAGTTGTGCACTATTCAAGTTGCTAAGTGCACGCTCGCGGGAACAATTATCGCGATTTGAATCAAGAATGGTTGGTTGGTGATTCTTGTATACCCCCTGACTCGTGACTTTCACGATCGGTGATTGAATGCACCACAGACATAGCATAGACCCGCGACCTTTCTGCGCGCTTTGGCGCTCGTCGTGCATGCGCGTACATACATGGCGCACTCACTTATTACTCGTGACTGCCGGCGCTGCGCCAAAACCGCGCGCACTCCCCGGCCGTCGGAGCGTACGCGTGCGTCAGCCTGATGGGCGCGGGCTGATGAGCTAGCTGCGATGCGTCGCGCCATCAGCTTCTGTTCTTATTGCTGCTGCTGCTGCTGCTGCTGCTGCTGCTGCTGCTGCTCATCATGGCAGCGCCGCATTCAAGAGTGTTGACCGTTGAATTTGAAGGCGCGCGGTATTTTCGCTTATATGATGCTTGCGGCTCGGCGGCCCCCTTGGATTCTGTCGACGACTATACGTCCGAACAGAGCTTCGTTGTGTCGCGCTCGACAAGAACGTTCTGCGTGATAGCAGCGCCTTCAGCCGATCACGATCGAACCACGAACAACGACGAGACTTGACAGAATCTATATGAGCCTCGCGATGGACGCAGCACTCGTGACTAACGGATCATTTTGCGTGGTACCATCAGCTGTACGGCATGGTGGCACCACATTCACATTGTGATTCAGATTCACATTTCTTGATTACCCCATACCGCCGATGCTGCATACAAGTAGCAGTCGTGACTTAAAGTGACGCGAGTATACGGTTACTCGATCTTGACTCAGATCGTGCACGAGGGCAGGGTGCATGATGTCCCAGGTTTAAGCTGTCATGCGCCCACAAGGCGGTATGGCGCACCTCAAAAAGTCCGTGCACCGAGACTGTGAGGCACTTGGTCAGTGTAGACACGAGAGCGGCTGGATGGCGCCCATGCATACGCGCGAGTGCGCGTGCACGCCGCTCCATCATGCACGCCGTGTAGCTGCATGACCGCGGCCCTCGCGAGGACAAGACGTCGCGCCTCGTGCTGAGAGCACGCCAGGATCGAGGCATGGTGCAGTCGAACTACCAGCATGAGCCTTTTTGCTTGCACCGTCTTGCGCTTCTGCTTGACCTCCAGACGCTGATCCACCACATCGCTTGTGCAACTTTGCGCAGTCCGTCGGTACCTCCTCGTTCCGGATCATTGATATTTGAGCTGCTACTCTTGTGCTCACACTACTGATACCATCCCGGGCACACCAAAGGCATCAAGGAACCAATTCGTCGAAGCCTTCCTGCTGGGGAAAAGCGATCTCACAAGGGCTTTGGTAAGCTCGCTCGCCCGCCCGCCCACGCAGCCATGTCACACCCTAGCAGCGAAGAGGGTACCACCCCTGGTGGAAGCTCCTTGGCCGTCCCTGCAAACGCACCAACATCGTCTGCTGGTCTCACGCCCACCTCTGCCATGTCCACATCCTCCCACAACTCCGCACGCTCAAATGCCTCTTCGAAATCGCGCGTGCCAACGCTGAGCGAGCTCGCCGCGCAGTAAGTAATGACAGCGCCCGTTTCTCTTCTGCTGGCATTGCTCTTCAAATTAACGTTTGAGCTCTGTATCCTGATCTCGCCCAGCATGAAGCTAGATGCGCCCACAAGCGGCACGAGCAGCGGATTCTCACCCAATGATGGTATGTCACGCGCCCCTTGGCATATATCCTGGTCGGTCGCTGATTGCTTGCGCTCTCATTCTCACATGTCAGCCGCGCCCGCACGAGGTCGTCTTGGCCTGACCGGACGACTCAACAGCTCTTCGGCTGCGCTTGCACCTGGTGACGATGCTCAGGACGTCCATTCTGCAGATGAAGGAGGCAACGAGAGAGTGCCGGCCATGTTGGCGCATGGGGAGCCTCCAAGCAGTTCAAGTAGATCGAGCTCGCCTACCAAGCGCCCGGCGACAGTCCGCCCTTCCGGCAGCGGGGGTAGCGCCAGAGGTTTGCCAAGCCTACAAGAGATCAGAGAGAGAATGAGCAAAAAGGGTCTGCAGACAGCCGGCGGTGCAGCTAGAGGAGAGACCCCATCCGGCTCACCCACCGAGGAAGTGAGCGAAGAGACCGCGCTGGGGGTTGATGGTCCAGCTGCAGGCGCAGTGAAGCCTGCGAAGTCGGCTGCGGTTGGAAGTGACAGCGTTTCAAAGTCAGCAGAAGCGAAAGCGAGCAGTGTCGCGGAAGACACGAAAGATCTGACCAACGCAAAGGCGGAACCATCTTCGGCAAAGCCAGAGACACAAGCGGCGGAAGCGGCCTCGAGCATAGCAGCTCCAAAGGATCATCCTCTGCAGCACAAATGGTGAGTCCGTGAAATGTGTACAAGCAAGGACAGGCGAGCTCAGTCCTGCAGCACTGCGCCAGCCCTCTCTCTCGCCTGGTGGGCCATTGCTGACCACCGAGCCACACGTGTTGCAGGACCCTGTACTTCGACTCCAAGACCTTCAACCCATCTTCGCAAGCCAGCACACCTGCTACAGGTCACACTGCGGACGGTCCTGGCACGCCAGGTGCAGCGCTACCCGGAGCCTCGCAGAATCCGATCTCGCCGCTACCGCCCACGCCAAATACGGCCAACATCCAGAGTTGGGAAGACACCCTGAAGATGCTTGGTGTTTACAAGACTGTGGAGGGCTTCATGAACGTGTTCGCAACCCTCAGGCGACCTTCGCAGCTCGAGCGCAACTGCAACTATCATCTCTTCAAGAGCGGCATCAAACCGATGTGGGAAGACCCAGCGAATGCCTCAGGTGGCAAGTGGGTGCTGACGCTTCGTGGGACTAGCGGCGCGTTGCTTGATCGTAGCTGGATGTGGCTCGTCTTGGCGCTCATAGGAGAAGAGCTAGATGACGCCAATCACATCACGGGTGCTGTGGTTTCCACCCGGAGCAAAGGCGATCGCATTACCCTCTGGATTCGTAACAAAGATGATGTCGATCTCGTTAACAGGCTGGGCAAGAAGCTGGTGCACTTGCTTGATATCGAGCACGAGCCAGGCGTGTCTCTGGAATTCACGTTGAACTCGGGCCCTGGACCTGCCAATGCAGCTGCTCAAGCTAATCGCTACGTCCACTTCTCGAACGCACCACCTCCGCCAATGCCCGCATTCTCACCAGCGGGAAATTCTGCTGGGCCCGGAGGCTATAATAGAGGCCCTCCGCCGCCTGGTCATGGGCCTCCTGGTCCTGGCCCACAGCAAGCGCCGCCGAGCAATTATGCACCTCCGCGAAATGTGCCTTTTGGCGCTCCGCCCGGGCCTGGCGGGCCCGGCTCTGCACAGTATCTTCCCGGTGGTCCCCCTGCAGGCTCACCACCTTCAGGACCGCCAGGCTCAGCTCTAGGTGGCAATGCGGGATTTGTGTTGCCCAGAAGAGGATCAGAAACTGGCCACATCGGACACGGCCCCGGTAATGTCGCGTCGGCGGCAAACGGCGGCGGAAGCCCAAAGAAAGCGTTCTCCTCGCTGCAGCGGCACGGCCCTCCACACTCGATGCAAGGGGGAGGTCCGCCTGGTGGAGCGGCAAACATTTCTGGTGGGGGTGCTGGACTAGGACTGGGATTGGGCGGACCGATCGGCCGGACCCCGAGTCCTTCTCCAGCTGCCGGAGGTGCTCTCGGCACCAGTCCAAGCAATCGTACGGGCGTCTTGCATGGCAGACAACCACCTGCGATGGGGCAGCTAGGCAGCGGTGCAGGCATTGGTCGCCATACTGGTCCGGCGCGCGGTGCTTGAGGCTTCTAGCTAGTATACCTTTGGACATTCCACTCGATTTTTTCCTTCCAGCCCTATCAAGTGAGCTTAGCAGAGGCGGCCTGCCTCGCGCGTGCCCACACAAATCCTCCCAACGTGTATTCTGATAGCTCGATTGTCTCGACAAACATTCCTCAAATGACTACTGATACCTTTTGCGCGCATGCTGCATGAAGATGTGAGCTCTCAAGCGCAAAGACCTGGGCTGAGATGAGAGCAACTTCAATGATTGCGTGATTTAAGCGTCACGATTTGATGTGTGCGACGGCTCCACGGGCTCTTTTGTTAGCTGTCTCAACGCCTGCAACCGTCATCATGTATCTGCACGACTCGCCAAATGCGAATGGTGCATTGTGAGGGTCAAGCCAGCATCACTTCTTCTGGTTCAGATTTCGGAATGTTGTCAGTCACGAGTGCGCTTTAATTGCGCCGTCTGCGTGGGATCCAAACCCAAACGCGCCTTTTTACGCCCACGAGCATATGCCGGAGACGCCTTGCAGACGGCGCCTGTCGGGAAATGTGGGCGGTCGAAAAGACTGCCAAAGTGCCCTCATCTCGAGATGTGGTGATATCGGCGCCATAAGAGGCACGCGAGTGCAAATCACTCATCAGTCGTGAGTGCATGATATATCATGAGTCGTGACTGAGTGCCTTGGACGCACGGGCGGACACTTCGTGACTTCGTGACTGGAGGATTTCGCGATGCTTACCTTGGCTTTGAACTCGGACGGGGCATATATATGTGATGATGCCAATCTTCGATTTACACCTCACCCATCCTTGCACATCTCACACCATCTCTGACTCAACATTACTCATCGCTGCTATTCTGCTTGTGGGCATCGCTAGACCTCTCCCTGTACCCAAACGCTCGTGACCAGCGCTTCCTCTTCCCTTCTGGATCTGGTATCCACAACACGCTGGTATTGCGATCAACAGCTAGTGCCACGGCTCCAACACGCTAGCAGCACTGCTCGAAGATTACCCGCTTCAAAGTGGCTCATTTTCCAACCTTTCGCAAGCCCACGCCCGTCCGATCAATCAGAGTAAAGGGAGCAGCAGTCAGCATGGCGAGGGTGAGTACTGCCAATGCGTCCTCTCGCCCTACGCGACCAAACTCACCTCTCCTTGCGTTCTCGAGTCAGACTACGAAGTCGCCCGAGGCCTGCAAATGCGGGTCAAGGAGTATGAGAAGTGACCAGGGCATATCTTTTTGCAGCATCCGGAACCTGGCCGCCATCCTCCTCATCCAGGCACTGCTCTCGCTCTCGACGTCCGCCACGCCTGCTGCATCTCACCGTGCCAGAGCGCTCGGAGCTTGGCCACCAGGGAGTGGCGTCACATACCCGTACGAGCGCAGCGTCCTCTCCCCAGATCGAGTGGCACGAGCAGTGAATTGGAATCTGGCCTCCTGCTTGGAAGGTGCCAGCGTTCCCTACGCCTCTTCGAGGACGAACAGCACAGATGCGTATTGGGACGCCGCCCAGTCCGACAACCTCAGGTACCACTTTCATCCCTCTGCCATTGCATATCCTCGCGATCATGCCGGAGTCGAAGAGGCTGTCAGGTGCGCGACCCGAGCAGGCAACACGGCTGTGAGCGCGCGGAGCGGAGGTCACAGCTTTGCTGGATTCGGGAGCGGAGGTCAGGATGGCAGTCTGGTCATTGACCTGGGCGCTTTCGACAAAGTCGTCTATGATGCCGGCAAGCAGACAGCACAGATTGGACCTGGCACGCGCCTTGGCGATGTGGTCAAGGAGCTGTGGAAGCAGGGCAAGGCTGGTATGCCCCACGGAACCTGTCCACCTGTTGGCACCGGTGGGCACGCGCTCTGCGGCGGCTTTGGACCTACTTCACGTAAATGGGGCATGGCGACCGACAACATCTTGAGCGCAGAGGTGGTCTTGGCAAATGGCACCAGCACGCACGTCTCTGCCACTTCAAATCCGGAGCTGTGGTGGGGTCTGCGGGGGGCTGGCTCCTTCTTTGGCATTGTCACTTCTTTCGAGTTCAAGACGTACAACGTAGACAGCCCAATGGTCTTTCTCGAGTACCGCTGGTCTCCATCTATCAAGTCAGCAGATGACACTGTCAGCCTGGTGGAAGCCGTGCAGGCATTCTCGCTCGACCAGCGATTACCGGCCGAACTCGGCTTCCATTTGCAGTTCCAGCGTCCCAATGGCGGTGATCCGTCTGGCGGCACAATATCCATTCATATGCGGGGCATGTTTTCGGGCGACCTGCAGACGTACAAACCGCACGTCGAGCGACTCTTCGCAGAGCTAGCATCGCACAACGCGCCGCGACCTGATATGTCCACGGAAAAGCAAATGGACTACCTGACCATCATGGAAGAGTGGGACGACTTCGGATCTCCTGGCGATAAGCTAGACACTCTTGCCGAGCGTCTGGTGCACAACAGCTTTATTGCGAGGACATCGCTCAGTATGGGTCAAAAGGGCTTCACGCACCAAAGCTTGCTACCCCTTATGCAGCTAATGTGGGACGACATGAAGTCCAGGCAAGATCCTGCGAGACCATTCAGGAATTGGGGTTGGAACCTGTACATGGAAATGTTTGGCGGTGCGAATGCGAGGCACAGAGATGCTGATCTCATCAGAGATAGCTCCTTCCCGCACCGAGACGGACTGTGGCTCATGCAATCCTCCATCGGCACAGCAGGCTTCGGGCAGTTTGGGGACGACGCACGGCAAATGCTGGACAAGTTGGATGACGTTGCTGCCGAAAGCATGCGAGCTTCTGGACTGGATCGACGCTCCTACTCTTGCTACGTAGACCCCAATCTTTCGGAAGAGCAGTGGAGAAGTCTTTACTATGGCGATGCGATCCCAAGGTTGGAAAAGCTCAAGTCTGAAGTGGACCCTACCAATCTCTTCCGCAATCCGCAAAGCCTCGTCCGGAAGGTGCCCAATGACCCTCACAATGGTCAGATCAAGATCTCGCACCCGCTGCCGCGGTCGTCTTAAGATCACCGCTTTGCTTTCTCACTCTGTGGCAGTGGAGCAGCGTCATCCTTGTTTGCACGTCAGAATTGCTACGCCTGCGCCACAAACATGCAGCTTTCGTCTCCTCTTTGCACCTGTCAATGTCATCGCTGTACACTTCTTCAAGGCTGTGAACAACGGCGAGCGCGATCTTGGCCTCTTCCTGCTAAGCTTGCGCCGCCTAGACGCCCGCTCGCTCAGCGGGCAGAGAACGCTGATGGCCCGCATATTACGGCCTCTGGGCACCCACGTTGAGCGCCATGTCAGTCAGCGAGGACAATCAGCACGCTCACCTTGCTATACGCTTCGCTAGCTTCGAATACTTCACGCGATGTCGCATGTGCATTGTAGTGAGAAATGGTGATGCATTTGCTCGTAGCTCCATCACTTTGAGGCAGCTTGTCGGCAGATGCGAGCGACATCCGCTGATCGGCTCCACCCTAGCATGCGACCGACGCTTTCCCTCTGTGTAATCAGCCAGACTGCTACTGATCCTCATACCCATCCGCGGCCCCTTCGTTCCCCTTGCCGAGACTGCGCTGCCCCTTACTTTCCCTGAGCAGCAGATGACATCATCTTTGCATTCTCCTCCTGGAAGCGAGCGCCCACCCTTTCAGAGTGTTTGAGCCACTTTTGTGTGCAATTTGCCACGCAGGCTTCCTGCACAGGGTGATCAGAGGGAATCGTATGCCAAAGCAGGTGCAGGTGCACAACCGTTGTTAGTGACAGTCAAGCTTGATGAGCGACAATGAAGGAACAGCGACTGACTTCTTTGGTGCTCAGAGCCTTGCTGGTGAAGTCGTTGCAGCAGCTGTCGAAGCATCGCTCTACCAGACCAGTGTAGAGCTTCATGAAGTCCTTCATCTGCTTCTTCTCGATGATCTGCTGCATAGCAGCTTGCTCGGAGCCGCTAAAGCTGGAGACTGTGCGCCCCAACAGAAGGAGAGCACGGTCAGCATACGATGCGATGCAGCGTCTTCTCGATGATCAACCTCGAGCTTTGGAGGGACTCACAATCCATGATGGCTTGGCGCAAGGGGAGATCTCCACTTCTGTGGTAGGCTTTGTAGATGTCCTTTGAGTTGCGACCGGGCGATTTGAGCGCGTCGGTCTCTTTAGCGTGTGTCACAGCTGCCTGCCGGACCGAAAGGTATGGATGCCCTTTGATGTTGCGATTCAGAATGCCTAGAAGTGGTGAGGGTGAAGTGAACGGTGGCTTGGATGGCGCGCACAGCTTCAGCGACCACTAAAAATTTCAGGGATCAAGTCGTGGAGGCGTAGCACACCCGAATCGTGAGCGAGGGCAGGCTGCATGCCGCTGCGTACGTGCAGAAGCGCGGTTGCATGGCTTGCGAGAATCAGAGTGGGGCGCGCAATTATGGTGGCGGTATAAGCCCCCTGCGCGCGCAGTTGCCTGACTGTGACTATAATCTGAATCTACGCTGCATGCGCGCGCGCGGGGAAGATGTGTGTCATTCTCGGCTCGCGCGCACGCCGGCGCGTCTTTGGCCCGCCTCCTTCTGGCGTCCCGTCAAACCTCGGACTTCGCGCACTCTGGACTGTCACGCCTTCCTTGCATGCTTCCTGATCATCCATGATCTCTCTCAACGATCGATGCTCGATACCTGTCTGATCACGCTGCCCACAATTCAAGCCTCGCTGCTACCGCTAGTCTGCTTCTCTTCCAGCCCAGCCCAGCCCTACTTCTTTTTCGCTGCCCAGGCTCTGCTGAGCGACCTTCGTGCACCTCTTTCCAATCAACACTTCGAGCTTTCTGGGAGAGGTGAGATTCCTCCTCTCATGAAGTGCATCAAGTGCAAATCCTTCATGAAATCTGAGCAAGGATTGGGCTATATCCGACGGGTGCCTTAGTCGCGTCTTTGCGAGCAGTACGTCAGTTCCAAGATGGGCGACGCTGCACGCCGCGATGGCAGTATCGACACGGCAGCTCCCGCAAAAAGCCGTATGACTGCAACGGAATTGGCAGGCTTATCCCCGTATTCAACACTCTTTTGTCAGGTCAACGCCACGACACAATGGCGGCAAGACCTTCGTGGGTTGTACTCACGAGCAAGCGAGAGGTTTCCGGATGTATGCTGGGAGGCTGGCGCTGATACGTCGGGCGAAGGTAGCACTGCTCAGGGTGACGGCGGGTCAAGCGATGCGGAGGGAAGCAGCAGTAGCAGTGGCCATTCTTCCTTTGCCCATCCGACCTTTTCCATAAGCGCAAGTGGGAATGGTGAGAGCCGTGGTGAAAGGATTTGGGCCCATAAAGGTGAGTTGTCGACCGCACGAGAACCATTGACCGAGCCACGAGGCGAGATGCAGACCGAGCGTGACGCGAGGAGTGCACTGACACTGGCTGACCACCTCTCAAATAGCCATCTTGTATGCGCGAGCGCCCAACACATTTCAAGCGCGATACCTCAAGCTACAATCGCCGGCTACGAATGTCGGCGAGAGCATAGCGTCCGGCAGTGTCATTTCTCTGCCATCTCTGAGGACGCCTTCTCCTGCGTTGTCTGCTTCTGCTCAGTCAAAGGGAAGCAGTAAAGTCAGTGTTGGCTTAAGTAAGCGAGTGCGGGTCAAAGGCCCCGCACCGCCCAGCAGCTTCAGCATGGCCCGCTCAGAAAGCGCTGCGAGAAAGAACAAGGTCAAACGAAATCACGCGGGTAGTGGAACGGAGAGCGATGGGAACGACGCCTCTGCATCCGAAACAGAAGATCTGCGACACAGTCATAGCAATTCCTCGTTGGGGATGAGCATCGGAAGACCAATGTCTCGTGGCAGCATCTCGTCCGCGCGCACTTCATTCTCCCTTGGTCGCGACGCGGACACCGCTTCAATCTCGGGTGCCAGCGTGCTCAGCTCGGCAAGCACGATCAGGGCCCCGTTGGCGCTCGGAGACGTGTCGCCCGCGTTCTTTGAAGCTACGCTAGAATACCTCTACACGGCAGAGGAGAGCATGGTTGAAGCTTTTGAATTCCTCTTCGAAGACCGGCCAGCTCTGGCAGGAAAAGCGGAAGAACGTCTGGAAAAGCTGCGCCAAGATCTCGTATTCATGTGGCGAAGCAGGCTCTACTCTGATGTTCGCATCATGCTAGACGATGCGTCTGGTGGTGGAGCTGTCGATGCACCATTGCAGGTGCGCACAATACCAGACAATGCTTCTGCTTATTCCATCGCAGCAACGGTCACAGATGCAGGGCATGGTGACGAGGAAGGTCAAGGCGGAGAAGGTGGACCGACATTTTTCAGCACACATCGCATGATGCTTGTGTCTCGCAGTCCCTACTTCGCCGCCCAACTGCTTGGTCCGTACGCGGACTCTCACACCCCGGTCCTCCGCTTGCCTAGCCCGCCTTTCACACCAGCGAGTTTGCACTTCACCCTCGGCTTCCTCTACACTGGGACTTTGTTCTTCTCGAATCGGACCTTCGACCTAGCGACTGCGTTCCAGCTCTGGAGATCCGGCGCGTACCTGCAAATGGACACGCTTCAATCTTTGATTTCATCGTTGATCGCTGCCGATTTCTGCCACAATTTCGATTGCTCGCCACCCTGCAAAACGTGCACGAAGCGAGTTCCTCGTGTGCTGGCATTCGCTTCTGCACCTGATGTTGGAGATCTACACTTGCGGGACAGTGCACGTAGAGCTGTTAGCGGTCCGCATTTTGGCTCTTACTGGTTCAAGGATGTTGGGTCTTTGGACTACGCTTCACGCGGCGCTTTAGTGGCGGACGTTTGCCAGCGCATCGAGGCGCATCCCCCTGCCGCTCTAGCTGCTCTCGGGCAGCTCGTCACCATAAGCACGCGCATAGATCGTGAGCGATCTAGCGCATGGGTAGACGCGCTGCGGTGGATGTGTGAGAGCGTCGAATCGCACATCTGTGCGATGTTCGAGCCTCATCTTGCTACCATTGTCGCAAGCGAGGAATGGTGGGCACTTTTGGACGGAGTGGGATTTGCGTCGGATGTGCTCGAAAAGGCTATGCTACTCCTCATGGATGGTCTCAATGAGAAGCGCGCACCCATGACGTACCAACTCATTGTAGGTAGCGTCCTTTTGAGAGAAGAAGGACCGCCGCCCGAAGGCACGTCGAAGCAGCTTGTTGAAGACGCGCGGGATGGCATTGTTCGCTATCTACGCAAACGATGGATCAACGTAAGAGCTCTATCGGGATTCGATGTAATTGACAATTGGGCATTGAAGGAGCTCAGTCATGAGCTGGATGTTCCAGTCGATGATCTACTTGCACCAAAAAGTACCAAAGCCGCAGAGCCAGCTCGTACCCGCACGGGACTGCGCGCAGCTTCTACAAGCAAGAAGCAAGCCCCGGAGGAGAGCGAGCGTGTTGGACCCATACACATGCGTGCCGAGGCCATGAACAGAGCCGCGGCTCGAAAGTCTGCAGGGTCGGCTCAGCGAACGAACACCAGTGGCGCAGCCACAGGAGTAGTCAGGCCACCTAGCACAGCCGCAGCCTCATCCGTCATGTCCCGTCCAAGAGGATCCTTCGCACCTTCAACGGTCTCGTCCACAGCATCGCCCCTTTCACGAGCTTCATCGCCGAGCAGCGTCTCTCGCGCCGCGTCGCCATCGAATGCTAGCACGCAAGCTAGGAGCTCCGTGCGGTCAAGCGGAAGCAGCGTTGCTAGCGCTTCAAGGCCGACACCTGCCCGCGCGACCTCAGCTGCTGGATCTCGGTCCGCAGATGTGACTACACCATCAACCGCACGACTTGCAGCTTCCTCGCAAGTCAGAAGAGCTCCGTCTGTCGCTTCGCTTGCCTCAGCGTCTTCATCTGTCGTCGAATCACCACGCACGCCGACGAGCTTGGCTGGGAATGCGATCAGAACGCATACCAGGACCACGAATGGCTCCGCACGGAATCGTCTCGATAGCAATGCAAGCTTTCTCTCGAATCAATGCACATCAGCTGCCAAATCTCGAACGCCTACAGCGACGCATGCTCTGGGCGCTGGTATCGCGAGCAACTCTAGTTCCCCGCGTCCTGAAAGCGCCCCTCAGAATACCCCACCGAAGCCCGCTCGCACATCGTCGCAAGCAGTGTCGCCCGCTACATCTCAACGAACACCCACTGCTAGTCTGCGGTCTGTTCGAAGCAGCACGAGCCTGGCGGCCGATGCTGCGCCAAACACGCCGCGAGCGAGTGGACGACCTGCAGTGAGACACGCTCCTTCTGCTGCAGGATCTTCCCCATCTAAAGCAACGGCGGCTGCTGACGTTAGAAGACACACGTTCTTGAAGGCTACACCCAAGCCGGCGCAGGCAAACTTGGGCGCTCCTAAAGTCGGTGCAAGTGGGACCAGTGGAACGCGACAAAGGCTTTCAAGCACGGCGTCCACCGCCTCGTCTGTCGTGTCAGCAGCTGCTGGTTCCCCTGCAAAGTCGCCTCGGAAGGCTACATCCACTGCAAGCTTAGCCTCCGTCGCGGTACATAGCGGTGGCGCCCAGCGAGCCGCAGCTGCTCCATCTGCATCCCGCACCCGCAAAATTTCAGCTCAGCCTGGTGCGCCGGCAGCGCAAGTTTCGCGTCAGCCACTTACTACAACGAACGGCGTCAACATGACGGAACCCATATCGAGCCCTGTCGAAAAGCCTTCGCCTACATCTAGTCGCTCATTAGCAGCAACTGATCTTGTGAGCCTTGCGCTCAATGGTATCAGCCTTACCCATGGAATACCTTGCGTCGTTTCGCCTTCCATAGGTGCGGGGGATCCGCCCAAGCGCGCCTTACGCTTCCGAGCTGCGGTCAAGTACATCGGCCCCCTAGAAGGCCGCTCAGGCGCCTGGGTGGGCGTGGAAGTCCCAACACCGCTACCTCAAGGTCTTGAGAGCTTGTCTAGAAATCTCAACGATGGCGTCTTTTCTGGCAAGCAGTACTTCGAACTCGGACAGCGGCCGCTGCATGCTGAAACGCAACCTGCCGTCGCTCTGCCCGCCAGAGAGGCGCGACAGCTCAGAATAGCGCAAATCGTCGGGGAAAGGCACGCGCAGAGGCTGGGCGAGAATGTTGCGCCGCATGCGCGAATTGCAAGCGGAGTCAAATCGGGTACGCTTTCGAAGGACCCCGCAAGCGCGCAACCAGGCAACACTGCCGGGCTGTTCTTGCGACCTGCCGAGGTGTTGTGGGTCGTGACCTAAAGCGATGCACGACTGCCCGCCCCACTACATTGCATACTTCATGCTTCATTCTTCACTTTCACTTCACTAGCCCTCACATATATACCTCGACAGCCTTGGTGCATTCCTGCATTACAGCGACCTTTGCTCTTCTACCATAGTGCATGAAGCCCGACTCTCATTCCCTTCGCTTTCACTGGAGCATTGCATTGCGCTGTGCCAAAACCTCGTGATCTGGTTCGATTCGTTTGCAGTCGCAAAGAAGGACTGGTGCGAGCGCATTCACGGCAGCCGTTTTGAGCCAGTGGCCTCGACTTTGCCCTTCGCAATGCAGAATTTCTATGCATATCCCAAGCGTGAATAGTAATGTGAAAGAGATTAGTCGGCGACATGGAAGAGGACAGCTGAACAGGTTGAGATTCGGACGATATAGAGCTGAGCCGGGCGAGGCTGGGGCGCTTGCAGAGCAAACAGTGTGACTCCGCTGTGACTTCGTGTATTCTCGGTCTTTGGACCTATGAGTGCGATTCACTCGCTGCCCTTCGTGAACGGTCTCCAAGGCTTGAGGGGTTCCTCGCTCTTGGTGTCCAAAGCGTTCGTGCCCGGACGAGGGCCGCCAAGAGCAGTCTTGTCTGCCTTCTTGGCCGTCTTTCCCGCTTTGCGGGAAAAAGAGGAAGATGAGGCTGCGTCGTACAATGGCCCCGTTCTTGTGTGGTCCGAGCTTGGCAAAGAGGGCGGGGAGGGGACGGCTGTGCCGAAAGGATTAGGACCCGCACTATCCATTGGCACAGCATCCGGTGCGGAGCTTGAGCTGAGCGACGCGCCGGATGAGGTGTACGAGGACTGGGCAGCAGTCGGTAGTGCGCCATGCTGAGCAGTGCTGTTGTTCAAAGCACTACTGCCTCCATATCCGTGTCCTTCCAAAGCATCCGAAGGCGAAATTGCGTGATTTGAATGAGAGCTGAGGGCTTCCATCCATGCTTCTTCTCTCCTCATTGCTGCTGCGCTGCGCGAAGACGCCACCCCGTGCAACCACCCAGGCAACAGGCTCTTGCCAACACTTGGACGAGTGCGCATGGCCAGGCCAACCCGTCTGGTCTTGTTCAGTATCCGGTTTCCGAACGAGCCCACGACGACAGCAGAGATGAAAGCTACAGAGCTGGTGGCGTAGAAAGCGAATGGGTGTTCCTCGTACCCGCTCATCAAGTTCATGCCAAACAAGCCCGCCCACAACGTCCCAACGCTGATGCCGAGCATTCCGATGGATGTCCTCAAATCCAGAGTGAGCAGCTGATTGCGATTATTGTCGAGAATCAAGTCGATAATCTCCCTCGTGCCGTCGATGTTGCTCGACATGGCCTCGCTCTGCGCTATCAATTCTTCCAGCTGATGGTCAAAGGACTCGAGCAGGAGCTGCAGCTCAAGGTGTTCGCCCGTATTCCGGCGAGAGTGGGTGAGGTACATGGCCTCCATGTCTTCATCTTCCTCGAGTACATCCATAATGCATCTCTCCGAGCCTCTGCATCTCGCTAGAAACGCTCGGAGCTTTCGAGTGTAGAGAAGCAGACTGAGCAGCTTTTCTCTGTCGATATTTTCTTCCAGCGCCTCGAGCAGGTCTGTGATAAGATTCCGAAGTACTCCAAGTTCAGAAGAGAGCGCAGAGAGCACGGATGAAAGGATTGATTCGAGCGCTCTGAATTCGTAGGGAAGCGTGGAGTGAGGAGGCTGCAGAGACAAATTGTGCTGGAGCGCATAGATAAAGGCACTGTGTAGCGCGGTGTCCGTCGAGCCGTAGCTGCGCAAAGCAGGGCACAGTAGCAATCAGGCGCGAGTGAGCATGCCAAGCAAATTTACACTTGCGCAATCCCGCAGAGACCGACACGGACCCCACATCCGCGGCTGTCTTTCGCGAGCACCACCAACGCTTGCCTGCTCACCTATCAAAGAGCAGCACCTGATCCTTCTTGACGAGCGCCCTGATGTGGAGGATGTTCACCAAGAACGCCTCCCCCCTGACCAAGATAGTGGGCACCACGTTGGGTACTCGGCTATCCACCTTTCTGAGGTCTCTGGCTTCCAGCTTGTGCTGAGCGCAGAGGGAAGCTCTGGAGAAAGATCCTGACACAACCTCTACGCTTCCCTTGGCGTCCAGGATGGTGCATCGCAAGGGCAAGGGCTGAGGCAAGGAGGCAGGTGCCAGAGTCGCATCCCTCTGTCTGGAACTCGTAGAGAAGAGTGCCTTGTGCGCTGGGTGGAGCAGCCTCGACACAGACTCATGACGGTATCGACGACCCAACGCGCTTTGACTATTGAAGGTGATGGACTTTGCCATCGGCACGGGGCGAGGCTCAGCCCTTGCCTTTCGCGCCTCTTGGGGTGGCTGATCTATCAAGCTCCAAGAAGAGTAAAGTGCACCTTGTTTTGCTGTCTCTCCTCTCTGACACCTCGCGGAGAGCTCGAAGCTAGTCGTTGCAGAGCTTGCATCAGTCGTCTGCTTCCCTCTATCCTTCTTCCTGCTGTCTCGCCTTCCGCTGAACGAGCGCAGCGGAAGAGCGTCCGCGCAAGGCAGGCCTACTCGTGACGTGAAGCCCTGGGCATGGCGATCGATTGCGCTGTTCGCATACAAGCGAGGGCCCAGAACATAGCTCGCAACCCTTTGAGCCTGCGAGGCGCTAGGCCGGCAGCGACATGCAATGACGTGAGTGGCTGCGGGCCGATAGCTGGTGCTGGCTGTGGGAATGTAGCTCCGAGCAAAGGTCGTTGGAGTCGCAGACCGCGCCAGGGGCGCGATGGAAGCCATCAGAGGGAGGGGAGGGAGGAGGGGGCCAGCAGCTGCAAACGAGGGGACCGACCGCGAGTGGGGGAAGCTCGATAGTGCTAATCAAGCCGAATATCTACGAGTGTTGATGTGGCACGCAGGCCTTCTGAGTCATCGCAGCCAGAAGCTAATCGGAATGATGAGCTGAGCAGGATGTTTGGTGAGCGTGCAATCATCAGTCCGATGCAAAGCGTGCCATATATATGCTGCATGCCATGGGTGCTGATGCTTGGAGGATTCTTGATTAAATTCGCTCTTCGCCGCGGCACGTGCCTGCTCGTCGCGGGCGCCCTCCACCCAGCATGCATCGCAGCGGGGAAGGTTGGCAGAATCCTAGATCCAAATTCTTGTTCGGCGTGCTCTCCCGCACGAAAGGTGCCGATGCACGGAGAGCGTCACGTGCATCGATGTGAGACGCGGCTGTGCATGCTCCCGTCAATCATTCATGATTCTGTTGTGATTGATTCAAAGTCTCGCGCATCGATGTCGACCAGCTGGATTCGCGCTGGTGCGAAAGCCCTGAGTGCGACCTCTTTCCCTTTCAGACACATGCCCTGTACGCACCGGCATGTACGCACTGCCATCATCATCTGCTTCTTGCGTCGTTCAGCAGCCACGGCCGCGATCGTGAGCTTGCCTCGAGGGTACCCGAAAGGGCCTCTCTGACGGAGGGTGTTCTGACGCCGGCGCACAAAGTCATCAAGGGTCGCTGAGCGAAGGGTTAAGGCTCTAGGCACCGTCGGCATCCTGCTACAGCTTCCCGTGGCGACGCCTACTAGATCCTACAGGACTCGTCCTCACTTGCTCTCGTGAATCAGAATTAAATCATACGTTGCGCAATTTCTCCTCCGTGCAACCACATTTTTGCACATCGAGGTATACGTCAACCTCTCAACAGACGCACGCATACATCAACGCTTTCACTGCAGCCATCACTCAGCTACTCACCCAAGCTTGACTGCCTAGCATGGCGACTCTGATCAAGCCGCTGGCCTCTGCGGAGGAAGCCACGGTGCAGACGAGCGTCAACACCACCATCGCCGCAAGCAGTGCGAGTCCAGTAGCTATGCCAGCCCTCAGCTCCGCGGCAACGTCTGGCCCTCCATCTCCTCAAGTGCACCTCATCGTCCTCGCACCATCCGCTGCGTTGCCAAGCGAGAAGTCCGAAGTCAAATCGTCTGAACTCCGGCCGATCCTGACGTCGATATTTGGACCCATCGCACAGCAGCTAAAATCTTTGCATCCGACTGCCAAGCTGTTGTACAGTATTGTGCGCTATCCTCGTGTCCCTCAGAGCGATCCAGGCTCCTCTCGCACCGCTCTCGACGTTGCTCAACTTGATGAAGAGTGGCAATCGGACTCTGGCTATGGCAATTCACCTTCGCCTGGACAAGCCTCTCGACGCGTGGAAACGCGTCAGTGGAAGGAGTGGACATCCAATTCAAATCAACTCGAGCCTCTGCAGGCCAAGGACCTTGCTCAGCGGTTCGATGAGGGCGCCGAATCATCTCGTCAGGCTTGGTACGTGGAGTTAAACGATTTGCTCTTGGGAAACAGCGAGAAGCTTGGACCTTCTGATGCTCTATGGGGTCTTGTGCGAGTGCTAGAGGTGAGTGGGGAAAACATGTCGCCAGCTTTACACTGCGCACTGACGTCTGCCGTGTAATCTTTGGACACAGCACTTCAAGGAGACTGATCCAACCGGCACGCTCCCAAACAAGACCATTAGCCTCTTCCCTCCCACCGGCAGAGTAGCTGCTAGACATGTTCTGCATCTTTGCCGAGCAGACGATTCCCTGCATATCCAAGGCTCGTTGCCTCGGCCTGGAAGATCCGCTTCGGAGGACTGGACCCTAGCAACTGTCACTGAAGCTCTTAGAAGCCTAAAGGTGCAATTCTCCACAATCGTAGTTCCAGCAAGCAGGGACGCAGGCAAGCGAGGAGAGTGCGACGCTGAGCGTCTGCATGCTTCTCTTGCCCCGACGCGACCTGATGGGAGCGTCGACGAGGACCAAGATTGCTCGGGATTGGAAGCGCACTCGCTACTTGGAGCGGGCTTGTCAAAGAATCTGATACTTATGCTCAGAGGCCTGGCTGTAAGGAGCGCCGCATCGCGAAAGAGATCCCGTTCGCGAGCGTCCCCCGAGTCACTGCGTTCGGATCAGGCCAAGCGGCTCAAGAGTGCTGCAGCTCCTACCGCGGGTTCCGGAGCATCCACAACGCTCTCAGGTCTCCCTGTAGCAGGCCCATTGGGACAGCCAGATGGCGGTGCGCCTCAGGTAGCAGGCACGAACACGACGTCCATGAATGCGGCCATGATTCAACAAGCTGCTGCTGCTGCCGCTGCTCAGGCTGCCGCTCTTATTCCGGCGCACTTACCTGATGCACACAAGGCCATCCTTCGGTCTGCTCTCACCAGACTCATGTTTGTTCAACAGCAGCAAGCGACGATGATCAGGAATCTTACCATCACCCAGAGAGCTGAGGCTGCTACGGCTAGCAAGGAGCGCCAGATGGCACTCGAGCGACTGAGGGCGAAATGTGAGTCTGATCGGATACTCGCTTGGTTCTGTCAAGCACGCACTGACGAGGGCATTTTCCGTTGACAGTGGTCGCTGCGCACGAAGCTATAACTGCGCAGTCGAAGGCTCTGGGATCCGGTGGCGGTCCTCCCGACGTACAGAAGGCTCTCGCTGCATTGGTACACATCTCGCAGGAAGCCGAGTCCATGGGAGTGCACCTGGGCTTGAGCAAGCAGGTCTTGGCGGTCGCAGCAAAAGTTGCGAGCGGGCAGAGTGCTCCCAGTGCAAATGGAAGTGCTCCCGCAGCTGCTCCTCCTCAACAGCCTTTCCAGGCATCTGCCACGGCCCCAGCTCAGGCAGTAAACGAGGCCAACGCCAAGTTTGGGCAGCTGGGATCTGACTCTGCAATACGAGGTGTTCCTCCACCTGACTTTTTGCAAGCCACAGGCAATGCCACTGCTGCACCAGCCCAAGCTAGCTCAAGTCGTCCGACACCCTACTGGTCCGGTCCGATTGTATGGAGCGTCAACGATCCAAATAATCCAGGAATGAAGCGCGAAATCGCTTCATTCGTCAGCGCATCTGCAAATTCTCGTACAGCCAAGGAGAATCTCAACTTACCTTGGCCTGCCAGACTCAACCTGGGTAGCATGACGCCACTGGACATGCCAGCGCTGCAAGCTTATGTCGGGACCAGGCAGACGCCCGCTGTGCTTTTTACGCCTCGACCACCAGGCCAGGCCAGCCCTGGCGAACCAGACGTGCCTGCTCACAACGTGAAAGCGTACGAAATGCTCGCTAGTACCTTGCGAGACCGCAAATGCTGCGCTCTGATCCCTCATGGTGCGCCTGGAGCTGGCATTGTGCTTGTGCCTATGCCCACCGTAGCCGCTCAGATGACGAGATTGTTGGGGTTGGTCTTCAAGGAAGCGGCACCGCTACAAGCTCTGGCAAGCGCTGCTTCGACTGGAGCTTCCAAGCAGGTCGGCACGCAAGTATCTGGTCGACCGTTCGCCGATCCCTCTTTGGAAGCAACTCGGCCGCCACAGATGCCAATGCCTGCGCAGTCTGGTCATCCATCTGGCCAGATACCGCCAGTGCAGCAGCAGCCCACTCAGCGAATGGGCTCGCGACCACCAGAGGCACCGCCTTCCAACTCACTGCAGCCTGGTCCTGGTGCGGGCATCCACTCAGTGCCGCCTGCACAGGGACCCGGGCAAGGTCCAATGCCAGCTCAAGCGCTGTTCCAACCACCGCCACCGCCGTCCAATCAGGCGCCGAGGCCCGCAGCGATTTCCACCACTCAGGCGCCTCAACACGGTCCACGGCCGCCTGCTGCGCCTACGAGCGACGCTCCCAATGCCTTGCAAGCCCAACAAGCTCAAATGTTTGTTCAGCGTCAGATCGCCCAGCTTCAGCAAGCTCGACTCCAGCAACAACAGCAGCAGCGAGCAGATGGCCTGCCTGCTCCTCACAATGGCGGGGCGCAACAGCACCAGCAGCCGCAGCCGCAGCAGATGGGACAGATCACTGCTTCTATACCGCAAATGGTTCAATTCCTTCAGCAGCAAGTGGCCTCGCAGCAGGGCGTGCAGCCTCAGCAGCCGGCCAATATGGGCCAATTCAGCATGCCACCCAGTAACTTCCCGACTCAGCCAAATTGGAATTTCGGTGGCAACCAAAATCTTGGCCAGGTGCAAGAGCCTGGCCAGCCCAGCAACATGGGAAGCGTTCACGCCGCACCCATGTCGGGCGATTTCAACCTTTCCAGCACATTCGCAGCGTCTGGCTACGGTCCACCAAGTCAGCAAGGCGCACCGGGAAAGGTCCCGTGGAACTCAAGTGCAGTGACGGGTGGGCAAAGCAACGCAGGAGGCGTGACTCCTGCAGACGTAGCAGCTCTAGCTGCCCAGCTGGGTCTGAGCCACGCTGCGTTCGGCGCTGGCAACCAGGGCAACAATCCGGGCGTCTCGATGCCTCCTCAGCAACAGCCCCAACAACAGCAGCCCTTCGCTGGAACGCAGTTCCCTTACAAGTCCCAAGCTGGCCCTCAGGGTATGCAAACGTCGCAGCAGCAGCCAACCGGCATGTGGCCTGGTTTCAGTCAGCAACCCCAGCAGCAGCAACACTCGGCAGCTTCCCTTGCCAACGTTGGACTAACGAATGAAATGTTGCAACGCATGCTTGGTGGAGCTCAGTAGGCGGCTTGAAGACTTCGACAAAAAGCGTCCACTTGTACCTGCAACTCGCGGTCTGGCTTGTTCATGAGTGCCTACATCACCTGTCCACATCTATCCATCGCCACTCGCCCGCTTCGCGCACCGCCGGGTGCTTATGTCAACATGTACTTGTAGCAACACCGCCTTCTCTCTCAATCAAATTGGCCGCATCACGCTGCCACATGCAGCCACGCCAAGTGGGACGTGGCGTGCCTCTTGATCTGTGAAAACTATAGCCCGCGGAGCTTTGCACCGCAACGACGAGCAGTAAACTCCTTACACTAGACGCGTCCTTGGGCATCGTATCTGGGGTCAATCTAAGCCACCAAGGTACATGACAGGTGGTCTTGCCGGTGGCTTTGACATGAGTCCTGAGTCCTCGGAGTCGAAGGGCTCAATGTGGTGGCTTGCTGAACGCCGCACGCAGAGGCGAGACTTCAGCAAGCATGAAACGGGCAAAAGAGCGAACGTGACCGTGGAGGCAGACGCGTTAATTGCCTTTGGAGTGCGTGCGCATTGTGGCTTCAACGGGCACAGTCTGAGTTTGCTCTGACCGTCGTCGAAAGGATCCTGCAATCGGACACTAGAAGTGTCGCATCTTGATCATTTGGCATCGTTGTGACCGATGTCGGAGAAGGTAGAGATGACAGAAGATTCCGTCAGGCGCGGCTTGTCCATCTGTGTCACTGCGCGCTGACCCATGCTTTCACGGAGTCTTGTCGCGCCACGATCGGGGGAGGTGTGAACTGGTTTGTCACGCCATCGACCATCAGTCAAAGAGCACACAGCCCTTTTGACTGCTCGCAAAGAAGGTGGGCTATTCACGTGCCTTGGATGGGCATTGCGAAGCATTCGTTGGGCCAGAATAGGGTCAGACAGCAACGCATTGGCAGCGTCTTTCACGATCAAAGGCTTGTCGTTGGCGAGGAGCGAGATTGTGTAAAGACTCTGCGCTCTGTCCTGACCATGAGCTATGGCTCGGTGCGCAATATTCTCATGGCTTATGGCATAGACGTGCCGCCAGCAAATTCGCCAACGGCGACGAGATCACACAGATAGTGCGTCATCAGACGTCGCGTTGACGGCGATGCCCGTGCGCTCAGCCTGCTCTAACACGCAACGTGCTACACATAGAACCCAGCATCTCCTCAAAGCCCTGCGTGCAAGAGCGCGACTCTTGACGTTCTGCGCTGAGTTTAAGAATAGCGAAATTCATGGTCCAGACTTGATCGTGAGGGCTGGAACGCAACGAGAAACCGACGGCTGACAACGCTGAGACATGGCTTGGTCGCGCGTACCGCCACTCAAAGCCGCGGGTCCATGACGCTGCGAGCTAAGCCACTCGGAGGTCGCGATGCACAACGCAAAGTATCGTGAATGCTGACGCTTACAAGAACTCCGTTCAAGCCGGAGTGTGGAACGTCGAATGCAGAATGCGGCCGCTCGATGATGGAGGAGACTGGCCCACGCACGGCTCTAGCCTGAGCTTGGATACAAAGATTCGAGACCAATCCAATGGACTCTACAACCCACCAAGGACTGGCAATAAGACCAGCTCGCATGCTCGACCTCCATGTTCAACCGCGCTTACATGAATCACTCGCCACACTTACTGATGTCCTCTACTCTATGACTGATGACTCTGTGTCTGGGTCTGAATCCCACGCAGGCAGCGGGAACACCTGACCACTTGGGTGTTGACTGTTGACAGGGTCAACCTGTCGAAACTCAGTCAACTCCGATTTTGGTGCCACGTGGAACTGCGTGGACCGCTCGCAGTGAAATACCTCCACCATCCTGCCCGCACTCTGATTCATCGTGAACCGTTGAAGAGCGCAATAGTCTTGAGTGTGTGATCTGCACAGGACGGTTGCCCACGGTGACGACTCACAGCAGTCAGTCTGAGGTTCATCACGTTCGTAAACGTGCGGATGGAAGCACATCGGAACTAAGATTCACATCCCTATTTGCCTCCGGCGCCAACGTCAGTCTAGTAGTGACTCTGCGAAGGTGCGGAGGGTCTCACACAGATTCTTGCTTGTCCAGCGAGCCAAGGTGCACCTGCAGTGCGCGGCAATCTTCGATACGAATGGTGAAGCGCCTCAAAGTTTCATCAGGACGTCATCAATTGCTGCTGCTGCGTGTGGGCCCGGCAGTCGGAGCGGACTAGGCCTGCGTCGATGCAGCTAGACGTATCTGCACCGCGAGCTACTTCGCATAGCGTGCTGCGGAGGAAATCTCTGCTGCATCTACATTTGCATTGCATGCTGCAACTGCACAAGCATGCAGGCGAAAAGGGGTAGAGGCTGCACAGGGCAAAAAGCGAGCACAGCTGATCGGGCAGTAACCTGACCCCAGGCGACCTGCCTGGCATCGGAGCACTACTGTCCTGGAACCACACACGAGAGCAGTTGGGTTTGTAGAGTGAGAGAGAGCGTCGCTCGTGCCATTGCGAGTCTTGAGTGTTGAACAGGTGCTGATTCGTGGTTGTGTGCTCAGTGACGGCCACCGACAAATTAGGAAACTCCAGAAGAGAGGAGCAAGAGACGATACGCACTGTCACGAATGCCATGGTGAACCTCTAGACGCAGCTTCATTCTCCTGACAGGCCATCTCTTCCTTTGTTGAAGACGCGAAGGGCGAGGTCTGTGTTGCCGAGACGGGAACCCCCTGCTTTTTCCTGCGTTGGAACCGCGGCAGACTGCGAGCCACGACGGTGCCATCAAGCTAAAGTTACTTTCAGGCACGACCGTGCAGTACGGCTGTCAGCGTCCCGGCCTCCATGCACAACTTCACCTAGTCGCCGCTGTCTTCTAATTTTCGTTGCCCGCACAGTGGATAGTCGCCTGCGAAGCGTCTTGTCTGCTGAGGCTAAAGCGGATCATCTCATAACATCGTGACAGGATCTGTGTGCTCAAGACCGTCAGTGCACACATGTACGTGGCGACGTTAAAGGAATACATCACATCACAATACTACTGGACTACAGTACTCATACTTATCAAATTACTGCATGAATCGCTTCGTTGGCCGCCGATCAGAACAGGGTGCTGGCAGCGGGAAGTCGTTAGCGTCGAAGAGTCACGGTGGTATTTACTATGATTCCGAGCTGAAGTCCACTGGCGAGACTACAGGCACGCGTTGACGGTGTCTGATCCCTCTATCGCCGGCAGCTTCGTGACTCTTTGACGTTCACTCTGACTACAACAGTAGCAGACCCTGGACCCGGTGGAAGTTGACGTCTAGCGTAGTCAGTGTACCCCGACGGCTCAGCTGGCTCCACGAGATCCTTGTCGGCGCTAATATCGAATTCAGGCCAAGGCGAGATTGCGAGTCCGAATTTGAATGATGTACAGCAGGCCAGGCCAGAATTGGGGTGCTTGCTGTTTATTTGGTGGCAGCGCACCCCAATGCCCATTGTTTCAGACCGTCGCAGGAAGCCAATCACGAATCACAAATCACTTGGAGCCTGCAAACCATGTGTCGCGGGCGAACTTGTGCGTCAGCTCGCAGCTCGCGCTGTACTTCTTTACGAGGTCGCGTGACAAGATCTTGGAGACGCACACACTCATCAAGCGCCTTATTCTCTTTCGTGGAGTTCACCAGGTCGCAGATACGCTGAACTCATCATTCGCAGACCCTACTTCTTCCCTAAATTCACCAACGCGAAGCAAAGTCAGTCGGGAAACGCTCTCACAGTCACGAGGGTAGCGGAAAGGGGTGACAAGTCGTGACTGCAGGCAACTTATTTTCGTTGCTTCACGGTCAGTCTGCTGTGCGCTTGAGATGAATTCACTACGACACGCGGGCTTCGCTGCATGGCCGCTCATTTGCTTCCGTCCTGATCATAGCCTTCCCCGCAATCATCATGCGCGGCTTGGGAACCAATTTGCAGCAATTACGTAGCAGAATGAATCAACGGCAACAAGGGCAAGCGCAGTGCTCATAGTCAAAGTCACAGGTATCGCTACCGATGCTTCGGACTGCCAATGGCCACTTGCCTCACTGTTGGTGTTCAAGGGCGAGACAGCTGAGTATGTGCTTGCGTAGCCCAAAAAAGGCCGGACAGGTACGATTTCCGTAGTCAGTGTGCTGCGTCCCTTCGACTCTGAGAGCAACGCCGCGCCCATACTGCTCGTACCTCGGCCGTCACATACATTGTTTGCGCCACTGGTCAAGAGATCGCAAAGCTCAATCAAGGATCTGTGCGTGACCTCGATACAGCAGCTACTGACTCTTGACTATAATCACGCATAGCGCCGACTGCAGGCTTTATGACGCTTGAAATGATGTGGAATCTTTGAGTCGGCGGCCTTGGCGAGTCGGTGGTACATACAGTACACAAATTTCGAGGTCGCCAGCGCAGGCCCTCCTAGGCAAGCCTGAAGGGGGTTACAGCTTGCTCTGCGAGGATGCAAGCAGTGGTCTCCGTCATTGCGGTTCTCAAGCGCCACATCAGGCACAGCAAGTCACGACTGATACCCAGACGCGCCAGTCACGAATGCTGCACGTCACACAGGGGCGTTTCAGGGCTCAAGAAATTTGAAGTGATCCGCCAGCCAGATCAAGGATCAAACAATATGAAGACGGTTGCGCCGCCATTATGGCCTTCCAGCGTTATCCGAGAACCGGCAGCTGCGATTAGAGATCTGCGCCAATTGTACATGTATGTCGTCGTGTCTGCTCGACGTTCTTCAAAGAACGCTCGCTCCCTGATCTGCCGCACCCTCTGGCCAGCGTGCGGCTTACAATCACATGAATTCAACTTGCCCTGTAGACTCACAGCGATCCAAGCGTGCTGCCTGCCCCAGTGCCCGCCTGGCTGCATCAACGTTCGCGCAGCTTCTCGGACCAGGACGATGTCGGAGCAGTCTCACCCCGTCTATTTTGTACCAACACTTCACGTCTGCCTTCTGAGACCACTGTGTGACGAACGAGGGAATTTTCATGTTCGCAAAATCGTGAGTCCGATTGGATGAGTGCGTTGGTCCTTGGGTTTGCCCTCTGCATGCTGCACTGAGAGGTGCAGCTCAAGGGTTTGCCCGCTGTTGAGCTAGCCGCATGTGCATGACGCTACGCGACGAGGTTTGAGTTCGCCACCGTGACCGGTACAGATTCACCGCTCGGAGCAGGCAAGCTACTGTTGTACTGCACCGTAGCTAGGAGCAGCAATTTCCAACCCCGACGCCCAATTTCCGCAAGGTGCTTCAGTGCCACAACGGCCCACGCTGCGTCGACGATCGGTCTGCCGTGAGTGCGCCCATGGCGGCCATCAACGGCTCTGGCGAAGGTCTCGCCCTCGGCGTGCGCTGCGCTGTCTGACGCGCCTAGCCCCTCTCTCGTAGTCAGCCAATGCCCGACTGACCCTCGACTCGTCTCGGACTTTACTTGCCCATCTGGGTTGGAAAGAGTCCTGCACCAATTTCGCCAGGCTTGCTTCAAAGGCCTTACCGCGACAGCACCTCCTCTGCACCGGCCGCACAGTTGTGCCATCCAATCTTCTCCGGCTCTTCGCCCTCCCGCATGGACCTTCTGCAGAAGCGAACCACACACGCACGCAGCTAGCTGCACGCCGCTCACCCAGCACTACAACCATTGGCAGCAGTAGTGGCAATCTTTGCAGCGCTGAGACTCAATGCTGCACGGCTTGGTACAGTAGCGGGTGTTAGCTTGCGCCGACTTGTGCGACAGCAGGAGCATGCTGCACAATCGAGACAGAAGAGGAAAGCCGTGTCTGGGTGCTTTCTGACTTGGGGCGTTGGTGCTTGCGCCTGCGCTGCTGAAACTTCTCGTCTTGGTGTCACAAAGTTGCCGCTGGCAGCCCGCCCGCCTACGGTGGCCGGATCACCGGACCAACAACAGCGCACCTCTAGCTGTCGTCACGCTCTCCGAAGCGGAGCCAAGTGCGCTGGTGACCCAGTAACACCAACGGTTCCCCACTGCTCCCAGGCCCCCTTCTACGCAACCCCTCCGCTGCTTGGGCACAAGTTCCATATATATTTGCCAGCATTCCCTTGCTCCCCTTTCACAGTACAGGCCGCAACTCAACATTATCGTCACACAGACAACGTCACGTCCCTACCTCATACAAAAGCCTGGTTTTCTGTTTGGCTTCCAACACGTCAAAGGAGGTCACCCTCCTTTCTCCCACACGCGTCGCCAAACGTCGTCTCCCACGCCCCCGCACGGTCCTCTTCGACATATCTCGACCACGACCTCGCGACCCAAGCTCTCTGCTCAGACCTCTGGCGCAAAATTTCCATTTCGCTTTCAGGAACTTGTCCAACCTCCCCCTCTCAGCGGCGTCTCCTTTGCCACTCATCCGTTCGTCGATTCGCCATATTAGAGTGCCTCCAAATCTCCGGTCTCGTCTGATTGCAACCTTGTCTAGACGTCTCCAACATCGAGCTACCTTCCCTCTTCGATATCTACCTTGAAATCATTCCCAACCATGGCAACTGCAGCAACTTCATGGCCGCAATCCGCCATTGCGCCCCAGCAAGCTTCTTGCTCACGGTCAAATTCTAGCGCAAGGTCGTCATCGAGGAAAACCTCGCGCGGAGGAGACTATTGTGACCGGTTCTACGGGCATCAAGGTGAGCAATTGATGACGATGGCGCGTTGAGTCGATGGGAATGATCGTTGACCGTCGTGCTTCTTCCGCTCGCGATCGCAGAGCTCGCCGAACTGTGCGAACGTGTCATTTCTGCGCTTTTCGCATGCCCGCTCGACTCGACGTCGTCATGCACCAGTTCATCCAGCTCTCAGCGCGTTGCTCCTCGTCTCTCCGAATTCATCGCATACGCTCTGCACCGCACTCGACTTCCGCTGGCGGTCACGCATCAGGCGCTATTCCTTCTCAAACGCCTGAAGTCGAGATTCCCCGCAGCGAGGGGTTCGTCCGGACATCGGCTTTTCATTTCAGCCTTGATGCTTGCCAGCAAATCCAGCTGTGACGACACTTACAGCAACAAGAGCTGGACCATCGTCGGACAAGGCCTTTTTAGCCTTCGCGAGGTCAACCAGATGGAGCGCGAGCTCTTTGGCTACCTTGGATACAAAGTGAATGTTGAGAATGAGGATTTGGTGGAGTTCGTTCAGGCCCTCGACGAAGGAGTCATTCCCATGCCCTCCCCGCCAGCTCCAACGGTTGCACCCGTCGCACCTGCTCCCACAGCAAACCCTACAGAGCAACAAGAAACGGCACTACCTCCACACCATTCGAGCGCGTCCGCTTCGACCGTACGACACGGCCGCGCGAGCATCGCAGGCTACCCTGTGGGGCCGGCCACCTGCTCGGCAGCCGTGGGACACGCCAGCGCTCCAACGGGCGCAGCTCCACACCTCACGCGGAGCCAAAGCGTCTCTGGTCGTCAAAGCTACCGATCACATTCGGCCGCCCCCACTCATCACTATCAGCAACAATCACCGTTCGACGCGCGAGAATCGTCGCGACCGTACACGACGCCAACTCACAACGTCTCGCTGTCGGCCGCAGCAGCGGCAGCGGCGCACACAGCTGCTTTCTACAGTCATGTCGCACCGTCAGCTGCATCGTTGGCGTCCTCAAGAGGCAGCATCTCGTCTTCCAGTGGTTCTTCAGAAGGATATGACAGCACATGCATGACACCCGGTTCCTGCGGTGACTCGGCGTATTCTTCCAGCGGTCGTACCACTCCAGACACCCCACCATCCGAAGTAGGCGGCAGCCCGTGGATGAACGACAAGGCTCACCTGTATTGGGATCAATCAGGCGAGCCAGCAGGCACGTACGACAGCCACGTTAAGCAGTACCACGATGGACAGACTTACGACAGTCAAAACGCAGCCTCAGTAGACCATCCTTATGTTGCCCGTGGCGGTGCCCCTAGCGGACATCCTTACACCACTTGGTGACCACCTGCTCGCACTGTCTCTCCCGCAATCCTCTTGCCGCCTTCCTCGCCGCTTCGAACAATGCGTCTCGTACACCATCCGCCAAAAGGAAGCCTCTGAAAAGATACCAGCTTCTCGCATCTGCTGTTTGCGATGAAGCAAACCTTCCACCTTCGTTGCTCACTCGCTCTACGGCCTTCCAGGTCGCCTCACCTGATCTCTTTGCATGCAATTCCCCTACTGCACCACTTTGGCTGTCTATCTGTACCAGTATCTTCTGTTTGCGAAGCTGCAAGTCGGCGCCGAGGTCACAGCGGTGTCTGGGTCTTGCACCGGTGCAGCCTTTTACCATTTCGTTCATTACAACACACACCGTCGGTGCCCCTCGATCGCTATGATCCCGGCCATTTGCTCAAATTTGTCACCGTACCCATCACTGCTAATTGTCCATTGAGCACAAATGCAACATTGCTAGAAGCTTCGCTGCCCGCGTCTGCCCTCAGTGTCTCTTAGGCTTGCAGTGTGACCCAACGGACCGTGCGCTTGCTCGACTTCGCTAACACGATTCGTACGACCTGCTCCCTGACGGGTCCGCCAAGATGACGCGTGGGCCTCGCGCCACTTCCCGGCCGACGCCCAGAATGGCGATGCGAATGGCACGAGAACCACGCATCAGAAGCTAGGCAAAGCATGTCTCGCTTTCAGAGAGGACTTAGTACCCCTTTCCTCGGTGTTCGACGCCATGAAGGGGCCTGAGCGCGAATAAGAATCGGAAGAGGCGCGCCGTGCGAAGGTTGCCACTGCGGTCGGTGTCTCTGCCTATAGTCGCCCTGTCTGACCCGGCCCTTCCTTCAAGCGGCCCTCGCGGACCGCCCCCCCGCTTGGGGCATCCTGGGCGTCTCAAGGGAAGCAGTACCAAAGGCCGCCGGAATTTGGGGCGGCGTATGACGATTCACAGTGCGCGCCTCGCGCCGAGCGATGGGACATCAGCACAATCAAATGTGTGGCCCGCAACGGTCCACATCATGTTACGCTACTCAAAGGATCCGAGCGCACACGACGTGGGCGCGAAAGCCTTGCATCAGGCAGCGCAAGTTCCGCACGTCGTAGATCGTGGGCGTTTTGAAAGCTTCAGTCAGCCGTGGAGCGGAAAGGTGTTTCACGTTTGGAGAGCAGCTCACGAGCCGCCTCCGACCAATCGAGACCTGGCCCAATACGAGTGGCTCGATCATCCGCCTTGACCAATGCGAATATCCGGTCACGGCCACCCGCCGCGCTTGCGGGAGCGCATAGGTGTGTGGGTACTCATCAGACTCCCGCGCTGACTCGGGACTCATGACCCTCAAAGCTGCCGGCCAAGTCGTGAGTCGTGTTTCAGTAGCATGAATGCTCGACCCGAAAAGCTCTCGAATGGCACCCTAGGATCAAGAATTCCCGCCCCAAGGAAGTCAGTCACGTGCACAGATTCGGTCACGTGCTTGTGGTGCTGACCTGCATCGCTCTTGTCCTCGCGCGCACGGTAGAAACTTTGCCTGCTTACATATCCTTTGTCCTCCCAAACTCACACTTTTGGTGCGGGCGGATGCTATGAGAGAACGACGACGTCTGCGCATAACGCTTTCTGAGGTCTCAAGTGGATCAAGATTCGCATGAAGCAAGCACAAGGGAAGAAATGGCAGCGTGCAGCGTGCAGCGAGCACAGCGACCCTCTTGTCCTTGTTGCAAACATGCTGCTCAGTCGCGCCAGAGACCGGTTCCTCACCTGAGTGACTCAAGACTATAGCCTTGGATCTCGCAGTTCTCCCAGCAGCAATCTGGACAATGGAAATGGTATGGATCCCGCGCAGATATTTGTTGTGCTTCTCGAATCGGTGCTGCTCACTGCGAGCAGTTGTGCCGACGCGATGGCTTGTCCTCAGGTGTGGCTTTGACAATGTCCGCTCGATAGGGTCCTGCCCTGGAGGACGAGCGCCTCATTGTCGTCACAGAATGCGCTCACTTCTCACAGCTTTCTCACAAGGCTATTGAAGCAAGGGTTTAGGCCGACGCATTCGCTCACTCGACTCTCTCATTATGGTCGGGCAGTCGCAACTGAACCTCGAATGCTCACTCCTCTTGCTTACCTCTTCCAGCGTCTCCAGCTAGCTCAACAGTCACTTTGGCACAAGTTGCGTTCTGCCACCGTCATCACCTACTCCACCGTACGCATACCATTCCGCCCTCTCGGAAGCCTCTTGGCTTCAACATTGCGTCAAGATGGCCGCCATGAAGGGCAGCATACGCCTCATGTATGCGACCTTGCCAGTGCGGTACGCACCGCTCACGGTGGTTGCCGTGGTCCTCTCCATTTGCTCAGGCGCCATACAGCCGCTGATGACTCGGATCATTGGCGACGCTTTCGACGCCTTTGCCAAGTTCAATCCGACTAGCATGCCAAACGATCAGATCCCACAAGAGAGGAGGGATGCGTTGATGTCATCTGTAGCCACCTCCATCTGGAGGCTCTGCGCTCTTGGCGTCGGAACAATGATACTCAGCACATCGATGATCTCTGCGTGGATTGCCTTGGGGGAGCGGGTAGCGAGCGGGTTAAGGCTGAAGGTCTACACCGCCTGCGATCAAAAGCGCCTTGATTGGTACGACTGCGACATGGGTACAAAGAGCACAGGTCAGGAGCATTCCGAGGACGGCACGGGAATCGGTGCGGGTGGTCTGATGGCTCGATTCGCACGGTGAGTGGATCTGCCCGTCCGCCAGATCTTGGGAAGACGGATATCTGAGAATCAAATTTGCGCATCATATCAGCGAAATCGACGATGTTCGGGTCGCGTCCTCGCAGACTTTTGGACAACTTCTGCAGTACGTGGTGACGACCATTGCCTGCGTCGTGCTCGCCCTGGCCATGCGCTGGGACTTGACACTCGTCGTCTTGGCATCTGTGCCCCTAACTGCCGTCATCGCTATCGCCTGCGAGGTGATCGCAGCCAGCTCCCTCGCTGAAGAGCGCACTCTGTCTGCCAAGGCTAGTGGAAACGTAGAACGGGTAGTCAACGCGATTGCGACAGTCAAAGCCTTCAATGCGGAAGTCAGGGAGCTGCGCAATTTTCAGCGCTTTCTTGCAAAGTTGCAAAGAGTCAACCTCAAGATTACCACCGTATGGGCTGTGCGCACCGGCGCAACTTCCGGCATTGCCCTCGCCATGTTCAGCTCTGGCTTCGCTTACGGCAGTCATTTGGTGCAGAAGGGAGCATGTTCGCCAGGCACAGTCATGACTGTCTTTTGGAGTGCTTTGCTCGCAACCTCCCACCTTCAGCAGGTCATTGACACTTTGAACATCATAGAGAAGGGCAAAGTCGCGAGCGCCAGTCTGCACGCGCTGTGCGCGGAAGGTCCCAGCCGAGGATCAAAGGCAAGTAGCCAGCCTCCTGAAGATGGGCCAGTGAAGAAACTCGGGCACCAACAGGCACCATCTGTCTCATCTTTGCAGACATCGCCAAACTTTGTTAGCTCACCAGCATACGACGAATTCTCCTTCATCGGCACCAAGCCGGCCGCAGGCCCACGTCACCCGCTCTCTCCGCGGCTGACTTCACCTCGAACAGCGGTACAGATGAAATTTCAAGAGATCCCTCAGGCAAGCCGACCTTCTAGCCCCGTTCAGAGCATGCATTCAGAATACGGCTCCGAGTCCAAGTTGACGATGCTACCCGCCAGAAGTCGAGGGCGAGGCAAGCACCTCAGGCCCAGAAAAGTTGGACCCGTCGCGGCTATGCGCCGAATCCGTCCAGAAAGATGCTACGGAGAAATCACACTGACCAATGTTGGGTTCGCCTATCCCTCGCGTCCTGACGTTGCAGTGCTCAAGGGTGTTTCAATGTACTTCGCTGCAGGCGAGACCACTTACGTCGTAGGAGCTTCTGGGAGCGGCAAGTCCACCATCGCACAACTCTTGATGCGGCAATACGAAATCGAAGATGGTAGCATTCAGCTGGACGACCAAGACATCACCTATCTTGACGCGGATTGGGTGAGAAGCAAGATGGCAAGTGTCGATCAGACGCCTATCGTCTTCGACCTGAGCGTGCATGAAAATGTTGCGCTGGGGCTCTGTGGCGTCCTGAGCGAGTCCAACGAACAAGTCAGTGGTGTGTCCAATCACGTACCTGCGGTGCCGCGCGAGGACGTCATCGCAGCATGCCGGACCGCCCTGCTGCACGAGTTCATCATGTCGCTCCCTGACGGCTACGACACTCAACTAGGAGCCCGCGGAGCAAGTCTTTCCGGCGGCCAGAAACAGAGGCTCAGCATCGCGCGAGCAAAGCTTCGTGATCCGAGCATTCTCATGTTAGATGAAGCGACCAGCGCACTAGACCCCAAAAGTCGGCTTTTGGTCAACGAGGCTGTCAAAGCGTGGAGACGTGGTCGCACGACAATCATCATCACGCATGATCTCTCAAGCCTGGGCGATGAGGACTTTGTGTATCTGATGCACGACGGCCAGATAGCTGAACACGGGTTCTGTGGCGATCTTCGCACTCGTGCGGGTCCCTTCTGCGAGCTCGCTGAAAAGCAGTGTCTCGCGACGAAAACAACTAGTATCTACGAAGCTCTCATCAGTCCCACCGGCCTGGATCAACGCGCCTCACTAGCTTTGGAGTCTCTCAAAGTTGGCCCTGACCATTCAAGAGCGGCCATGTGGGGTCAGAGGCTGAGTATGCTGGTCTTGCCGCCAAATGCAGTCGCGCGGGACACTCGACAGTGGTCTAGAACGGTGACAACGTCCACTGGCGCGGAGAGTGTCACACTCGGGCAAGACACCAACAAGCATGATGCCTTGCATGGACTCCGGCCCCTGCAACTCGCACAGCAACAGCAGCACCGAACCTTCGAGGAAGACATCGAGGTGGTAGAATGCCTTCAAGCTGCTGGCGAATACGTCAGCGCTCGCCGACCCCTTCGAATGTCTGATGCGTCGCAAGACGAGAGCATGTTCCGGCGCAGACGCTGGGATCCTGAGGAGCTCAGCATCGCAGCAAGTGAGAAGAGCCACTTTTACAGCAAAGATGATGCGGTCACCGCGAATGCGCGAGATACCGCAGTGGATCTCAGCGGGGCATCAGAAGTGCCCGAGGTGGCCCCGGCCTCTATACGCGAGGTGGTCAAGAGCGCGTGGCATCACCAGCCCTACAAGGTTCTGCTTATATTTGGGCTGACGACGTGCGTTGCAGCGGGAGTCGTGCCCCCAATCTTTTCATTTGTCCTAGGAAAGCTTTTAGCCACCATGGGAAAGGTCGACCAAGGCAGCGAAGTCATCAAATTCGCGCTCATCGTGCTCGGTCTAGCGTTCGTGGACTTCCTCTTTCGCTTCCTATCTTTCTTTACCATGGAGTTCAGTGCCGACTTGTGGGTCCGCCAGCTACGAGAGCTCGGTTTCCGACAAATGGTTGCTCAAGACAAGGCATGGTTTGATCAGCCTGTTGCCGCTGCCGGAGTCATCGTCACGCAACTCGTCAAAGACGCAGACGATGCGCAGGCTTTCATCAGTCGCATCGCGGGCCATCTCGTGCTCATCGCAGCCATGGTGCTGCTTGCATTCGTCTGGGCGCTCGCCGTGGGCTGGCAGCTCACTTTGGTGGGCGTTGCTCTAGCACCCGTCTTCATAGTCGCCGTCGCGCTTCAGTCAAGAGTGGTCACGAAACACGAAGTGCGCAACAAGACCAAGAGAGAGGCCGTTGCCAAGCGATTCTACGACATGGTCGCAAACGTCAAAGGCATAAGATCTATGGCCCTTGAGCCTGTATTTCGTGCCAACTTTGTTGATGCCGTCAAGGAGGCCGAGCAATGCGCGCTCAGAGCCGCTCCAGTCTCTGGCTTTGGCTTTGGGCTGGCAGAAGCGCTGACCTACCTCTCGGAAGCTCTGATGTACTTCGTCAGCGCGGTGCTAGTCTCGCGAGGCATCTACGACCTGGAGAGGATGATGATCGTCTTCAACTTGATCATCTTTGCAGTAACATTCGCTGGTCAAAGCATGGCATGGCTGCCCGGCTTGTCCAAGTCTGTCCAAGCAGCAGGGGACCTCAAGCGACTGGTCGACCTGCCCGGTACGTCGAGCGAAACTTCTGGTCGATCGATGCCACATGTACAGGGCACGCTTGTTTTCGACAATGTGTTTTTTTCATACCCACTGCGGCCAGATGTCCCTGTGCTGCAAGGTATTACGCTCAACATTAGACAGGGCGAGCGAGTCGCTCTCGTAGGCGACAGCGGGTGCGGCAAGTCTACCGTTGCTGCCCTTCTTCAGAGGCTTTACGAGCCCAAAGGGGGCCGCGTCCTTCTGGATGACCGACCCATCAGCGACATCGACACGCGGTATCTCCGAGAACATCTCGCGGTTGTGAGCCAGCACCCGAATCTTTTCGACGCAACAGTGAGCGAGAATATCGCCTATGGGGCTAGCGGTGGTACGCCGACGAGCGTCACTCAGTCAGGCCTCGAGAGAGCGGCTCGACGTGCGCATGCCGACACTTTCATCCGCGCGCTGCCATCAGGCTACGAGACCGCCTTGGGTGAGAATGCCGGGCGAGTGTCGGGTGGACAAGCGCAGAGGCTTGCTATCGCTCGCGCGCTTGTGCGGCAGCGAGCTCGCGTCTTGATCCTCGACGAATGCACCAGCGCGCTCGACCCGGTCTCTCAGGAGGCAGTTGCGAATGCTCTGCTTGGAGAAAGAGGATCACCTCAGGATGCCTGCAACACGCTGACGACGCTGGTAGTGACGCACAAAGTGCAGATGATGCAGCGCTGCGATAGGATCATCGTGCTGGAGGGTGGACGAGTTGTAGAACAGGGTCCTTACGAAGAGCTGATACGACGCCGAGGACCCTTTGCTACCCTCGCTAGCGGCGGCAAGTGGGATGCCTGAGCCACAAGAGACGAAAACACACACACACTCTTTCGCATCAATGTCACCCAGTCAATAATTTGTACAGTAGCTTCGCCTTGATTCATTCATGATTCCAAATGCGGTCGCGGTGACGGAGTGGTCGCGGTGAAGCGATGGCATATTGGGCAGAAAGTTGGATGATGCAAGCCTCTCGCCGATCGCTTTGTGACTTTCCTGCTCTTCACGACCTATGAACTTGATCACGGTTGCTTAAAGAAAGGGGCTTGTATGTTAGTATGTGGAGACGGCCTGAATTGTTAGTGTGATCGTGAAAATGATGGCAAATTTGTGTGCTCAACTACACGAATGCTTGAGCATTCGTACCCTGAGGCCTATAAACCTTTCCTCGACTCGGCAAGCTTCAACCAGAAACGCGCCGAGATCCCAGCTGATGCTGTACGCTGGCACGTGTGCAGCTGCGAGCAGCCGCGTCGGAGCGTTTTGGAGCGGTAATGAGGCTATTTGGGCTGATGATCGTTTAGCGCATTTTGCGCTGCATTAAGGCTTCGCAATGATAGCGAGCATCATAAGTCTTTTTTGTATTCGTAACTCAAGACTGCTCTTTGCACAAGGGAGGACACGAGTGCAATCTGATCAAACAGGGGTGGATGCTGCTGCCTCTCTCTCTCTCTCTTTCGGGAGAGGTGAGGTGGTTCTTTCGTGGTTCTTCTATTTCACCCGAGGAAGTCGATGGTCAATTGGAAGCGTGCTTGGCTTTCAGCAGCAGGAAAAGCTGATGGTCGGGCCCCTGGCTCAAACATGGCAGGGGTGGTGCAGGGCAGACGACATTCAAAGCGCTCAACCTCTGGTGCCTCGAGCGCGAAACGCTCCGACAGCTCGGCCATGTCCACCGGTCCCCAAAAAAGGCTCCATTCACTCGTGACCTTGATGGCCAGCAGACCTCTCGCAAGTTTGGATGCATGTAGACAAGTAGCGTCGGATGCAGAGGGCGTGCATTGATGTGATCGATGAAACATGAAGTCAAATTTGCCGCTCGAGCCGGCGGCGCTGATCTGTCGTCCTCGATGTTGCGTCTGGCTCTCTGCGTCGTCACCTCACCTTCCCATGTTCTCGCTCGCTATTTTCCGACACCAGTCCCGCTTACCAGGGACACGTAGATCTCACTTCTGTCCATCTCACTAGTAATCACGGTGCCCCATTTGCCAACGTGCCACAGCGTCAGACACCTGCTTCGTCCCCTTCAAGATGAGCATGAGCATGGACATGCCCACGATGGCTTCGAGCAGCAGCTCGGCCATGGCCGGCATGTCGAGCATGATGAGCTCTGCTATGCCCTCGGCAACATCCAGCATGTCCATGGGTCACAGCCACAGCGGTGACACAATGACAGGCATGGATATGGGAGAGTGCAGCATGAGCATGCTGTGAGTTGGTCCTGTGCTTTTGCACACGTCACCAAAGCGGTCCCTTCTCACCCTGGCCTACCTTCGCGCCCATCACAACAGAGGTAATTGGCAGACAGTGGGAGCGTGTTTCTTGACATCATCTTGGAGGTCAGTGCTATGCGCCACCACCACTGGTCCGCGCCTTCGCGCAAGGTGACACGTTGCAGCGCGCTCTGACGCTCCGACCTCCCTTCCCACCCCCTTCTTGTTCGGCATCACAGGATATCTACAGAGGCTCAATTTGCGGGCACATGCATCGGCGTGTTCATGATTGTGGTGCTGATCGAGTCTGTGCGAAGATGGGGAAGAGAGTGGGACAGGTACATCATTCGGACCGCCATGGCTCGACGCAGAACTTTGCAGCAGGAGCGTCTTGGAGCACGCAGCTTCAACGCAGCGACTGTCCCAGCTGCTCGCCACGATCAGCCCGTCGCTTCTTGCTGCGCTGATGACGTTGCAGAGACGCAAAGCGGTGGGCATCACGGTGCACCTTCAGGAGCTCAGAGCAGTGCGGAAGCAAGTCCGATGCAAAAGGATGCATTGGCGCTGGAAGAAGAGGGAGGAGCACCCATCGTCTTGACGCACAGCGGTAATGCGGCGGTAGCAGGAGCAGCGCGCGACCGTCTCCACCATGAAAAGCCTCCAGCGGGGGCTGCATACCTTGCCAAGCTCGAAAGGGCCTTTTTTGGCTTGCCAAAGGGGTCTGCAGGCGAACGAGCTTTGAGGTCCAATTGTCCTTCCTGCTTGAGACCAACGGTGCTGCAACAATTCATTCGCAGCTTAGTGTATGCGGTACAATTCACCGGTGCAGTGAGTCTTCTACCTTGTGGGCCCAGCTTCCCAATCTTTGGCTGACGATGAACCACCCTTCCCAACGGCAGTACATCGTCATGCTCATCGCAATGTCCTTCAACGGCTACATTCTCATTTCCATCGTTCTAGGAGGCCTAGTGGGTCACTTTTTCAGCACGTGGGACACTCTCTGCTTCGAGCTTGAAGAGCAAGAAGATCCCTATCTGCTCACGACCGGCGGGGGAGCAGGAGCAACAGGCCTTGGTTCCAACGCCGTGGCTCCCGCCACTCTGCAGCACGATGCCGGCGAGAAGACGACGCAGAGTAGAGGTCAGGGTCACGATACGTATGGTCAGCACAGCGGAGCCTGCTGCGGCTGAGGGACCCAGAAGGTCACCTTTCCTCGTTGGTTTCCTGTCTCCTCTCTTGAATTGGTCCTGGTCTGACTCACGCACTCAAGTCACCCACCTGACTGTCGGCTGTCTTTCTTACCCTCACGAACCTTGCAAACATTGCAAATGTTTGACAGCACGATAGAACTGTACTAGAATGGAAGTAGGGGTACATGTATGCGATGGAATGGCAAGAATACAGATGTGCCTGAGCGTAAAGGGCGAGAAGTGCGACAAGATGTTAGGCAGCCAGGGGTATACGCGCCGAAAAAGATCAGCTGCGTTGGGTGAGGCGGCCGATTAAGTCTCGGTGTGAAATCGGAAGAAGACAACAGAAGTGATCGAAGGCAGACCTGTGGAGTGCATGATCGCCCAGGGGAGAGTGTCCATGTGCCGGACCGCTGGCACACTGGCGAGTCTCAGGTCGTCTAATCGATGGATGCGTCAGGATCCAGTACGAATTCAGGCGCGCCTTCTGCGCTATCAGACGTGCCTTCTTCTCCATCCGATGACACAAACGAAGAGTCGGCAGAATCCAGCACCGGCGTGTCCTGATGCTCGGCGTTGTGACTTGGGATAGCCGTTGCAGCTTCGGATGGTGAGCTATTACCCGTCAACAGGCTCTGATCAGACGCCGTCAGCAGACTCGTATCTGTCCCATCTCTGCCTGTATAATGATCCTGGGCATCCAAAGCTGGACTGTGACCCACATCGCTCGCGCGGCTGCGGTCTGGAGTTTCCTCGACCGCTTCCGCGTGCCTCTTGCGCCTAAGCTGCTCCATCTCTGCCATCTCTATCGGGTGCAGAACGCGTCCACCTCCGCTCAGCGATTCGTGTTCCACCTTGATCTCAGTCAGAGCAGCTCGACCTCGAGCGAGCATCTGCGCAAGGACGCCATTGCATCGAGAAAACGTGGCATCCAGCTCGGCTTCATCTCTACGCAGCGCATCCTCGCCCTCATCCTCCTCATCCTCGTCTGACAGTGCTGTCGGCGCAAAGTCTAGTCCAGCAGCGTCTGCCCCTTCAAGCCCATCCATGGCTCCTGGTAAGACGCTGTATCTTCCCTCTCCCCTCAAACGTCTCTTATAGTCCCTGATTTCCTTTGCCTGCTTCAATCGCGTCTTTTCTAGCCCCTCGTTGATGCTCAACAAGCTCTTATTTGTAATCTCCAAATCTTCTAACCTCCTTCGCACCCTAGCTTCCGCCGCTTCGTATGCCTGAGCTGGCGTGAGACCAAGCGGTTGCTCCGTGGCTGGTGACAGTAGCCCCGTCTCGATCAGACTGGCAAAAGGTGTTCCATTCGTAGAGTCTTTGGTCGCCATGTGAGCAAAGCGCGCTGAGAAGCCAGCGGAGCCTGAAGCGCTTGACGCGGCAGGCTCGAACGTGTTCGCGGACAGCGCGCTCCCGTTGGAGTGTTGATTCGCGCTCCACGCTTCGCGAGACTCTTCTAATCTTAAGGGCTGTGTAGCAGCATTGTTGCTCAAACCACGTATATGCAGCTCAGGTCGGTAGCTGGCAAAGGGAGGATTGGGCCCGGGAAGCCCAGTCGGGCTCCTCAGCGGCGAATATGGCATCGCAGAAGATCCGCTGGAAGAGTTTGCGCTGGTAGGCTCGGCAGGAAAGTCAAAGCTGCGAGACTGGCCAGCGTACTGGGACACGCCAGGCGAGGAAGCCGGAGAGGTGTATGGAGGAGCAAGTGTCGCTGAGCTCCTTCGCCCTAAGGTGTCCGGTGCAGTTCCGAGCCTCGCCTCGGGAGCAGCTAGCGGGCCAGCTTGCAAACGCTGATCTGGTCCTGGCGAAGGGGTGCGACTGCGTGCAATCGGTTTCGGCCTACCATCAGCTCCTATGCGAGACGAAACGCTGCTCGTGCTGGACTTGGCCGGCGAAGCTAGGGCGGTGGCGGCTCTGGTGTGGGTGCGCAGCGTTGGTCTATCGTCTTGAGGTTGCCTTGCGGCGGGATATTGGGTTGGCGTGATGACGGTATTTGGCAGCGGGGTTGCGCTGGCGATGGGAGAAGAGGAGGACGCATCAAAGCTGCGATTACCTGCCCTGCGCCGATCTTTTCGCTGCGTGATGTATGACGGACTCTGTTCGCCAGACGCAGTCGATGGCATGACAATCTGCATAGAGGCGCGGACTACTGGAGGTGCGGCCGCAACACCAGGAGAACTGAGTGCTGCTCGACTCGTCGAAGCAAGGGGTGGATGTGGCGATGCAATAGGAGCGCTTCGAGAAGAGGGGCCAGCGCTGATGGTAGAAGATGCCGCCGAGCCCAGACGTCTCAATGTGGGCTGCGATTCGACGCTGGGCGCAGGAGGTGACATGGCAATTGCGCCGGGACCGAGCAAGGTGCTCATATCCACACGAGCCCTCACATTTCCGGTGGGAGTCTTGCGAACGGTGGCGCTTGGTGAGGAAGCAGTGGATGCCGTGGGTGGAGATGCGATGCCGTGGGAGATGGCAGCGCGAGGAGCTCCGTAGGAGGATGTAGGCCTGGATGATGGCAGGCTGCTGGCGTGCGAAGATGATGGTGACGAAGTTTCATGACTCAGGTCTATCCTACCCATCACCTGCCATGCCAATGGGAAGCAAGCGAGGAGTGAGCTGGCTCGGCCTCACTCTCTTTGACACTTCAGCGACCTTTGCCGCCGCCGCAGCCGCCTTTGCTCGATCGTCGTACTCCCTCCACCTCTTGCGACCAGGATCGGTGCCGTCTTGAACTCACCTTCCTCTTGGCTTGGGGTTGAGCCATGTTGAAGTGTGTGAGCACACAGCGCTTGGCTCCACAGTCCAATGAATCCACTATTCATACACCCGAAGCCGGGAGATGTGATGTTGCATGTGGAGATGGGAAGAGGCGCAGTGACGGAGCCTGACCCTTATGTTGGCACGCTAATTAGCCGTTACAACCATATCAGACTCACGACTGGCCCGCGTCGCGCGCACCACATTCGTGATCCACATTCAAGATTCTGATTCACGATTCACGATTGTGCTTCAAATTCAGATTCACGGTTATGATCGACGACGCACGTTGCACGTGATACCATCACGCGCCTGTCAAGATTCAAGCTTCCTCCATATGTTCACGATTGTTCGAGCAGCAGCTGATAGGCGGCTTCGAGCGGGCGCCATATCCGCAGACGCAAGCCCCTGAACGCGCGCGCCATCCCCAAGCAACCGCTTTCCCCGCCAAGCAATGATGGCCCGTGTGACGCTGTCGAACCGCTCTTCTTCGGCGTGTGATGATCAAGTCGTGAGTGTTGAAGACTCATGCATGCTCTGCGTACTCCTCGTGAGCGCTGTAGGTCTCCAAGGTCCGCTTTCGTGAAATGAGTCTGCTGCGACCAGCAGCCCACTTCTGCCCGCCTGACCTTGCAAATTAATCTGACCCAAGTCTCACGGCTGTACACAAACAACAGTCAGAGAGTCTTGTAGTCTTGATCGAGTGATGATCGAGATGTACTCGTGATGCACGTGACTCTTGAGTGTTGACTGGGCGCTACACGCTACCCCTGCACACACGCGGATCACGGCTAGCGTGCCCTGTGCCCCAGCATTGGCAGTACTCTCCCCCTGAACTTCTTTTGAGCTGCTTCAAGCGCACCTTGGTCACCACCTCATCCCTCGTCAAAGACCTGACCTTGCAACCTGCGCTTGCTACCAAAGGGAATCAAGCGACTGGCTGGGCTTGACGTTCGTGTTCCACTGGCGCTCACGCAAGCGCCGGCTGCCCATCTTGGATCGCTCCGAGCGGCGATAGCGCTGGACACAGCTTGCTTGGCAGCACGCCCGCACTTGCACTTCATCTCGGTACCTCCCTCATTCCATCTCGTACCCGCATTTCCTTCATGAAGCTCTAAAAGCTGAAGCTTCCATAACGCTCTTCACGAACTCTTACGACTATCGCCACGTCTTTACGCCCCGCAACTTTTACATATTCAAACATCTCAAAGCTCAGCATACATTCGCGCATCCATCGCCGATACCACAGGCGCGCAACCTCGAGCACCTCGCCGCCGTCTTGGCTTCGCTGCTGTCGCGTCCCTTCACCATCATCCCAGAATTGTGTCAACCACTTTGGCGAGACCGACGCTGTAAGCGCTAGACAATGGCGCCAGACCCCAAGCGTCGCGTTTCTGGCCAACATCCGCCTTTCACGCCTCATCATCCGCTGCTGGGTGTTGGAGCGTCATCTGCGAGCACCGGTGTAGGCAGTGTGGCCAGTCGAGTTGGAGATTTCGAGCAGCAGCAGCAGCAAAATTCCGCCGCTCGGAGGCTAGCAGCTCCATTGCCGAACGGTGGAGGACGGAGGAGCAGCGAACCTGCCATTCAGAGGCCTGCTGCTTCGCCTTCCTTGCTAGCACGCAAAGTCAGCGCCGAAGCGGATGGCGAAACGAGGATACCATCGACTTCCGCCGCTCGATGCGGCACATCGCCAGTCGATCTGACGGGGAAAAGTGTTGCAGTCAGGCAGCTGAGTGGTCCTCGACCGCTGGACGGACCTGCTTACGACGTGACATACGGCCAGCCAGGTAGAACGAGGAGCATCGCTCCAGACCACAGCCGCCCTCGAGGCGAGTCGAACGAGGCGAGGACTGCTGATCAGTGCGTCCGCGACTGTCCTTCTGTGCCCCAAGCGCGCGTGAACCGACCTTCGCAACCGCGTTCAGGGGTAGAGCGAAGCTATACGCAAGGCTCGTCATCCTCCACACCGGGATACTACTTGCCACCCCCAGGCTACAGCGGAAATGACGGCTCTTTTCGAAGATTTCCGCCGGACTTTCCAATCTCAGGCGAAGGCTTCGACCAGAGAGCGGGAACATGGAAGCAGCAGCCAAGTGGCGCTTGGACGTGGACATCCATACTCGACCAGGGTATCCTTCCAAGTTTGACGCACACCGATTGGAGCTTACCTCAAGCCAAGCAGATTTTGAGCTCCTGGGCAACATTAGCAACGCTGCTCGCCGGTACTCAGACCACTTTGCTCGGCTACTATAGGCAGTCCAAAGCGCTGGACAATACCGTTACCAGTTTGGTCTACGCCGCCATTGTTCTTGATGTGTGGGGCGCCCTCTTGGCCGTGGTGACCATCATCTGCTCCATCACTCTGCAAAGTCCCGAGGCTTCGAGTCGCATCAACTTCGGCGCAGGGACTGATGGAGGTCTAGCGCTAGGCCCATTAGGTCTTCCTCGATTCGCCTCCACTTACGCCTCCGACGATCCTTTTCCCTCCAAAGCGTCTCGCAGCGCGGTCGAAAAAGTACGCACACCACTGAGCAGCCGGAGTCTCTGCATCTTGGATCGCTTGACATACGCTTGCGGCTTGATCATACCCTTGGGCGGATTGTGTGAGCTCATCTCGCTAGCCATATTCAGCGTCAACCAGCTCAAACACACCACCGAGCCGCACGGCGCCCCTGCGCTGTTCATCGCTTTGGGTCTGTGCTTTGCGCTGACTTTGATCAGTCTAGCGACTGGAGCCGTCGCGGGTCATCGCCACGATCGGCACTACGAGCGCGACAAGCAAAGTTCTGGCAAGGAGGACGACGCTGATCGGCCGGGCAGTGGACACGCGAGCGCAGATTGGAGGAATCGTCACCATCATCACCAGCAGCACGATCATCGCCAAGGAGCCGAAAGACGGTATCCTTGGAATCGAAATGGCAAAATATCATCCCCCTCTGCAGTCGCAGACGAAGAGACTCTTCATGACCCATTCGATGAAGAGAAGGGCTTGCTGTTCAATCAGACAGGGCCCATCTGAGCCTCCCTTTTGTCTTTCGCCCGCGACCGCTGCTTCTCGCCTCCCTCTTCCGAACCGGACTCAAAAGATCCCTCCAATCAAGTCACGCTGCTCACGCATTGCAACATCAACTCCACGGACCTTGACCTTAGCATTGCACCTTTGATCTGGATTGCTCTCTTCTCTTGCTGAATCATCATTGAGCTGCTGCAAGAAGCTAGCATACCTCGCTCCACTTTAATACAAATATGACCGATTCTCGATCGAGATTTAGCTCCGTAGACCCCAATGACGCATCGCAAGCCTTGAGCAAAGGTGTTTGCGATGCCTAGTAGAGAGAGCGGTGATGGTACGCTGATACATAGAAAAGAGAGGTGGATGCCGAGCGGAGACGCGCCAGCTCGAAGGTGTCAAGCTGCGGGTGTATGAGAAAATTGATCATTTCGTGCGAGCCTAGTCGATGAGCTTGGCGTACATGGGGATCAAGCTTTGAGCCAGCGTGAAGGAAAAGATGAGCTTGGGTCCTACAACGAGAATCTTGGGCACGAGACCTTTGAAGAGCGCGCTAGGACCCTCATTCTTCAGCAGATCCTTGATGACCGTAAGACCACCGACTGGTCTCTCAAAGTTGGCCTGCTGAATGCGCGTCTTGACGACGTCGAGGGGAGCAGCGACAGTGATGGAAGAGACTGATCCAGCGATGGAGGCGATAAAGTTTTGGGTCCATGTAGTCTCTTTGGAGCCTGGCGTCGATCCTAGTGCTTGATGAGCAAATGCAGACCCACCAAACAAGGCAAAGGAACCGGGCGCATTCCGCATGGCAGTGGTTCCTGCACCCCGGTACAGGCCTGTCCCTTCGTCTGCCACGATGCGCAAAAAGCCTCGAGATCGGAAAGCTTCTGGGTTCGTCTGCCTCTTGATCTTTAGCACGTCCAAGGGCAACAGCACAACTTCACCAACACCGATGATGCTGAGACGGGCAGAGGAAGAGGAGACATCAGCTTCTGCGCAGAACCAATCTCTGCAGCCTTGGAAGATGCGTGGTGGGTGCGTGCGGCGCCATACTCTGCCTCACCCTCGCTCGTCAGACTTTGACAGGGTCCCAGCCCGTGCACAGGTCTGACTTGGCCTGACACCCGCGTCATCCTTCTCCTCCTTTCCCCTCCTCCGCAACGACAATAGACTGCTCACCTTCCGGCTGTGGCCTGCATGATGCTCTTGCCATTCTTCTCACCAAAGGTGTTAGTGAAGGCAGCCTTGTGGTTGCTGACCAGGTAATCGTTCACGAACGGTTGTCCGCCAAACTTGTACACCCTCTGCAACACCTTATATCCCGCAGCGTATCCCAGACCTGGAAAGAGGGAGATGAACTTTGTGCCGATGGGCGCGCTTGCTTTGTCCTTGAAGACGATTTGCGAGACCTGCAAAGGAGGACAGAGCGATGGCCGTCAGCGATGCGCAAACATTCCAGGCCGGGCTGGATGACCATGCCAAGCAGTCTGCAAGCGCGGCGCAGACGTAATGCCAGCGAGTCGAGCGGCAAGCATCCGATGTGCTGAGCCAAGCACGTACGAATAGCCTCCCTGCCCGCCGGCATGCTCTACGCTCGGCCTCGCATGAGGATCTAAAGTGGCTCACCTGTAGGCCGGCTTGCTTGTTGGACATCAGCCGCTTGGCCACGGTGTCTACCGGGTGAAAGATGAGCAGCTCTGCGATTCCCGAGGTGCCGGAACCGAGCACTCTGGCCGTTCCAGAGTGCTTCTTTTCGCCCACCGCCAGTCCGGGTGCCATCTTGTCCAGCGAGTCGAGAGACTGATGAGAGGATTGGGGGGAATGTAATCGCGCAGAGGAAATGATGCGTCGCTTGGCGCTCTGATTGGCAGCTTTGAGAGGGAATAGCGACGGATGAGAGAAGTCAGAGACTAGAGTGAGCTGCTGCGCTTGGAAAGCTCCGTGTCTGGCTTAGCGTACTACTGTTGTGTATCAGATTGCAGATTTTCAACACCTGCGCACCCCTTGGATCCTGACACTCACCAAACGGCCACCAGTGCTATACCCAAGAGCGCTTGTAGGAGAAATGCGATTGCGGCTGTGAGCGTGCTGTCGGATGAGCTCGCAACACAACAGCGTTTCACGTTGACCAGTTGGACGGAGAAGCGTCGGCCAGCTCAGGCGCCGGGAAGATCTGTCGAGGCTCGTCGACCCGCAACTGATGAGAATAACAAGAGCCGTGCGTTGATGCAAGCCGATCGAGCTGATGCAAAAATTAGGACCAAAAATCGTGATTTGAATTTGAGTCCGATTCAAAATACAGGTCAAGTGCGTTGAGTGCGTCCATTTCTTGATTCAAGATTCAAATTGCAGCCGCGATCTGCCGAATTTGCTTCACTTTTCGCAGCGGCGGCGAGATGCAGTCACGTGATCACTAACACCGTCGGATGCTGGCAACCGCGCTCATTCCTCGATCGAAATCGGTATACAATGCGCGTAGGCAGGCATCGTCAAAGGCCATGACATCTCGCTCACGATGTCCTCAAGCATACAGGCTCGGAGCCTAGTTCTTTCAGTCTTGAAAAGCGTTTCAAACTGATTGATGAAAGTCAGTTTTCCTTGATCACAAAGTGATCCTCTCAACGATGTGCCTACTCCAAACGAAACTTCTTGACAACTTCCCAAAGCTGAGGCCAGATCTCTGCGCTGGTATTCCCCTTCAGATTGGCAAAGAGAGGCGGTCTGGACAAGGACATTGTAGGGCTTCTGTAGTAGTCCAGTATAGGTGCGACCTCACGATGATGCGTTGCGAGTCTCGTTGCGAATGCATCCTGCGCAGAAGATTGGTGATGGCGCTGCAGGGTGAGCGGGGCGGGGGCGGGGACACGCTAGGCGACGATCACGTTCATGCTGCGTCCTCACCACATTGTCGTCCGGTCGCTGCTCTAACGGCTCGCCAGTGATATCGTCCAAGCCCTCTTTCAAGGGCTTGTTGAAATTCGTGTTGCTAAGAGTGCAGCACATTGATCAGCGTGTCTCCTCGCCCATGATCGCCACTGGTCGCAGATTCGGCATACGCACTATACACGTCCAGAAGCGGGATGCACCCATCGATCTGCTCAACGAAATGGCGTCATGGCGTCTCAGTGGGTCTCAGTCGGCGCGCAATGAGGCATCCTCGTCCGCGCACCTAGAATGCGGGCAAGCACCACATCTGGTGGCACGTCTAGGTTGATGACGAGGTCCAGTGGGTCACCTTCCTGTTCCAATGTTGAGTCCAGCAGCTTGGCTTGACCGATGGTTCTCGGATATCCATCTAGCATCCACGGCTGTGCACAGAAGAGCGGCTTGCAGTGTCAAAATCCGGCGCATCGCCAATACTTTGCAAGCCAGTGCCAAGCTTCGGCTCACCCCATTGCGCGCAGCCTTGAGATCGGACCAGATGACATCCATCATGGTCTGATCGGGCATGAGCCCTGACATCGAACACGTCGACACTTCAGCGGAATGTATGCGCTCGTGCACCAAAGCAGCAAGACTGACCTCCATCCTTGATGACGTTCTCGGCCTGTCGGCCCACCTCCGTCTTTCGTCTGATGTGCGATCTCAAGCTGTCCCCAGCGCTGAAAGTCTTCAAAGCTGGCGCATGTTCGACCAGCCTTCCGGACAGCGTGCCTTTTCCCGAGCCCTGATGCAGAATGAGACGTGTCAGCGAGTCACCTTGGGGATGCTACGTTCCATACGCACAGGCGAACCAATGATGAGGGCACGAAGTGGGCTTCGACCAGCCATTGTAACGCGTGTGCAGACCAAAGTCTCTTGCTTTGTGACTTGTTCTTGGTTGTACCACGTCTCTGCTATAGCTTCATGACCGCCATCAGGCGAGAGCGACCACAGTGAGTGCTCGCGTCATTCTGACGCTGGTAGTCGATATCAAAGATCACACGGCATCCGGAGTAGGTCGGGACCATCCACCCACGACTGCGAGTCACGCATGAAACGAACTCGAGCCGTGCTGCATGCATGCACCACTCTCCACACGTCCGCACGTCCGCGCAGAAACGGAATGCGGGGAAGCCGTCACCTCGATCGTGACTCGCGCACAATCACGAAGGTGTTTGGCGCAGCCTCTGCGCTAGCACGTGAAACTTGGGACGTTCCTGCTCGAACTTTGACTGGCATCAAATTTCTTGACTTTTCGCTGACCTCAATGACATGATTGGGCCGGGTGAGGACACTCGAATGCAGCCCTATGCGCACAACGAGCCGAGTAATGGCGAGCAATTTGAGGCCTGCACCACCGAGGCGCGGACTTGCGCAGACTCATCAAAGTCGCACAAATCCAAGAATGAATCAGATCGACACCAATCGTCACGTGATAGTATCATTGCACTCGCATGTTGTCACGACTCTTCGAAGCATTGTCTGTACGACTCCTTTGGAACGTCTCGCCTTGAGCTAGCGTGGCATTTAAATGCAAGGCGAACCACAGGCAGCCCCGTTGCTGACCGCGCAACCAAAATGGAAGCTCGAGGCATTGTCCAACCCGTGGCGATGGCGAAAAGTGGTCAAAACGCTCGGCCGAAGCAATTGCAGATCGAGAGGGAGAGCAGATTTTCCCAGATCGTGGCCACTGTGGCTTCACGACGAAGCGCGATTGCTGGAGCTCTGACATGGCCGTTCCGCACATAGGTCCAGAGCCCACTTTGGCGCGCGCGGGGGGCTCGATGCAGTCGCAGTTGATTGAAGCTGCGACCTAAGCCAATTAGCTTTCTTGAGGGCGACGCGGCAACGCTTTCGCTTTCAAGTTCAAGCGACGACACAGTCTTCGCGAATCTTGAAGCCGTACATTTCCTTGTCAATCTGAGCCTCGATTGCCTTGAAATCCGAGCGAGACTGTCAACCCGCATGGCCGCGAGATGTTGGACTTGTGTAAGAGAGCGCTTACAAGCGAGCTGTTGCAATCGAATCACTCACCTTGAGATGTTCGTAAAGGTCCTCAGGGCTGATGAGCCCTCTGAAGTGAGCCGCGTCCCTAACGATGGTTGCCAACTCTCTTGGTGAGTCGATGATATATATATTACCCAGCATCTTTAGCGCCTCAAAGTGTTGCGTCACACTCGGCTGTCGCAGCGTCAGAACAAATGCGTGGTAAGCGTTGAGGTCAGCGATCACTTTGAAGCCGCCGTCGAGATTGATGATCTGCCTTCGTAGGTGCTTGGTGAGAGCACTGGAACAGGCATCGGAATAAGCAAAATGATGAGTAGGAACGAGCGCAGAGAGCAGCGCTGATTACTCACGCGTATAGGCGCATGCCAACCTCCAAGTAAAACACCTCGAGCACATTCTTGTCGGTGCTGCCCACCAGCATGCGACAGTGATCTCGCAGACACTTGATGCAGTCTTTTGCAGCTTGTGTAGGGCCAAGATCGGGATCCTGGCCAGCCGGCGGGCTGAAGTCGCGCGGGTCCTGTCGAGTCTGTAAGATGTACTCTGCCTGCCCCATCAGAAGATCCAAACCGGCATTAAGTCCCTTGGCCACGCTTTCATCGAGCGCAGCTTCGAAGCGTTTCTTCTCTCTAACCACAATGTTTAGGAAATCAGTGCGGTCAAAGTGTCTACCGAGTTCTTGATCAAAGTAGACCTGGACCATCTGCTGGATGGTGTCTCCTACGTGCACGAGCTCAAAGAAGTGCACGAGCGGCATGACGTGCTCAGCCGTGCCTTCCTTGTTCTTCTCGTCAAGCTCGCCGGCTCCAGAAGCGGGTGCACTCTGAGCTGGATCCCAGCTTTCGATCTGCTCGGTAGCCTTCCGAAAGCCAGGCACAATGTGCTGTTCGGCCAAGATGTGCATCGCAGCGGCCGCGTTCTTCTCGATCTCCTCGTGGACGCGCGTGCCATAGGTATCGGGGTATTCGGCAAACGTCTCGATGCGCTTGATGCAGTCTCGATTGACGTGTATGAGCTGCAATGCTACGTCGAGTGAGAGCAGGAGCTGAAGGCGAGATAAGGACTCGGCAGCCGTCGACGGCAGTGCTGGAGAGCTGGGCACTCGGAGCTGAGGCGTGCCCGCACGAGAGGTAGCGGACGAAGAAATCCCCAAGGAAGGCGTGGTCCTCCCGCCAGAAGTCAGTGTTGGAACAAGCGAGCTTGGTCGCGACGATGGGGTCACGGAAGCCCCTGAGCCCACGATCTGGGTTGCGCCAGTGATCGGCGCCGGCACTTGTGCTGGTCGTGCGTTGGCAACTGCGCCCCAAGCCTCTACCTCTGCGCTCCATTCATCCCTCTCGGTTTCGCCGAAAGGGTTATCTCCGAACCCGCTCGGTCCTTTCTCGTTGATTTGGTCGTCGTCATCATCATCCGAATCCTCACCGTACATGCCTGGACCAGCGCTACCGCCCTCAGCGTCGGCTTGGCTAAAGTCGATGTACCCTTTGGCTGCCTCGTTCGTGGCTTTCTCATTGAGGCCGCTTGGGCTTCGAGGTATCGGAAGGTCGGCCTGCTTTCTACCTGATGCGCCATCTTGTGATGGATTTGGGGTCAGCGTATCGCCATTTCCGCTGCCAGTAGCGCCACCTTGCCATCGCATGGGGTTGATAGCTGACAAACCAGTACCTGCGGTCCGTACAGCTGCGCTCCCGACGTATAGAGCTGTACGCGGAACGACAGTGACTGGTAGCAGTAGCACGTCCTTGAAGCCTGAGAGCACAGACCGCTTTACTGCTGCTGGATTTTGGGATGCAAGGAACGCCGCAGCATCCGCTCGCGTGCGCGTGGCTTCGTTCTCGACCTTTTCAACGCCCGAAAGGTGCACGATGAGCGAATTGCTTCTAAACAGCCACAGCTAGCTGTCTACACTCACATCTTCTTGCCACTTGCGTGCTATCCGCAGCATCGCTTCCGAGACCCACGTCCTTTCCTTTTCCAAGTATTCGTCCATGTGCTTCTCCCACATTTTGTAGACGACATCCTCACATCTGGTCTTAGTGACGGTCAGGGGGTCTTTATCGGTGATGGCCATCAGCACGTCGACGAGCCGAAGGGCTTGCGAGAAAGCGGCAGCGCAAGAGCGCAGGAATAGATGCTCTGAGTGCTGCTTTGCTCGTTGCAGGAGGGGCAAGATGTACGCAGAGATCTGGGGATCGTTGTGCGCTCCGGAACCATCAGCTTTGTCTGAAATTGCACCAGGAGGCTGCCTACAAAAGACTCACAGCACTCTCGGCCACGTCTCGTGCGTACCTCAAGACAGCATCCTGCGTCGGTGGAAACACCCTGGCAATGATCTCTGCTTCCTTCCCCACTGCTTCTAACAGTTCGGCCATGAAGACATCCATGGCCGTGAAGTCGAGTGAGATGCCGTCCGGTGGTCGTGAGCTGTCGGGCGTTTGCAGGGACGAAGCGTCAGCTCACAACAGCATATGCAGCGCCACGTTACGCGCGTCATGCAACACTCACACGATGTTTCTTCTCGAATCGTGCTTTTTGCCAATTCTTTGCGCCTCACTGATGACCAGGCCCATGTACTTCTCTGCAAGAGCGTTGGCTCTCGCGTCCTCCTCGAGTGCCAGGCCAACTTCCCAAACCGCATGAGCAGCGTTTGCAAGATCCGCTTCTGCTCGTCGAACGCTGCGCGCCGTATCTGCGCCATGTCTGGCCGCCCTGACGGCATCCGCACGGCGGTCCAGAGTGCCTTCGAAGGTCATGAAAGCGTGATCGACCAGACTTCTGCCAGAGGAGATGACTCCTTTGCGCAGCTCTGCAGCAGGGACCTTGGCTGATCCTGATCCGCCCACACCTCCCTCCTCGGGAGGCAGCAGCCACCTCAGTGCATTGGCATGCAAAGCTGCACTATGCGATAGGCCCAAGTCGCCCCCTAGATTGCATCCCACAACGCCTCCGCCTCCTCCAATCTGAGCAGCGAGACCGTTCAGCTGAGGTCTGAGCCTCTTTGCCAAGGCACACAGCCTTCTGAAATGCACGCTCGACTTTGTGCAGAGAGGCAAGGCGGACTCGGCAGAGTAGCTGAACAGCGACGTCGGTTGAGCAGGCTTTTGCAGCTTCACTGGCGAGATTGGCGAGAAGCCGGATGAATTGCTGTTGTTGGAGCTTGAGCCGCCTCCGAGAGCTACGCTCGCAAGACCGGCCGCTAAAGAGCCTCCGGGTACGCGTGCAGGAGGCGCAGAGGCAAAATCGCCAAAGCCGTCGTCCTCGTCGTCAGCATTGGCTGGTGAGCCATCAATAGAGGGCTTTGCGAAATCGCCAAAGTCGTCATCGACGTCGTGTCTAGCTGACAGGCCACCTTGTGCGAGATGCGGAGACTTGGAGGCGTCCCCATTCTTGCTGCTGGGTGACAATGCACCATTCGCGCTAGCTTTTGCCGCGATCGGCTTGTCTCTCCTCCTACCGACTGCACGCCTCCTCCATGGATCGTCTCCTCCAGCGTCACCGTCTTGGAACAAAGACTTTCGATCGGACTCCTCCTCGCCGTCCACCTGAACCCAATCCAGCCTGTCCAACCTCTCTTTCCAGAGCCTGTCGTCGGTGACGACCCTCGCAAGCCTCCTTCCTGCCAGCTTGCAGCTTCCGAGATCCCTCAGTGGCACGTAGCCGAGGATTGTGCGAATCAGGCTCTCGGGCAAGCCATTGATGGTCGGCTCCTTCTTCTCGCCCGCTTTACCCGTGGCAGGAGAGGTCGGCAGTGCCTCTCCATGATCCGCGTCGTTGCCGGTGGACAGAATGACCGAAGCGCGAGCATAGGAGCCTACGCCCCGGCCTCCACCAATCCCTGGCGCTTGGAGCGAGAAGCGCTTGGTTGGTGCCAAAGGCGCCCAAGAATCCATCTCGAGGCTTCACCAAGACGGCTGGTCGCGGCGCAGCTGATGCGAGCGATTTGAAAGAGCGCGCGAGTGGCAGGCGCAAATCAGAAAAGAGGGAGGCTGCTTCTCCAGCCAATGATGTTGAGGTGTTGACGTGCTTGCAGCATGGCGCACTGTTCAGCATTCACTCGTGACTTGTATCAGGAGGCGGACGCTGTCCGAACCACTCGCCCGTGCTTGTAACGTTGAATTTGCACAATGCGGTAGCAGCCTGGAGGGTAAATGATGTGATGGTAGTGCCGGAGTCGTGGGACAAGTGGCTGCGCAAGTGACAGCCATGGGTTTGCGTGGCCGGGAACATACAGCCTGGATGAGTTTGTGACTTGCCTAGATCTTGCACGCAGCAGGCAGCCATCCAGGATGTACAGCCTTTGATGAGTAGAATCACAAACGCGATTCACCATGCAGCAGCAGGAAACAACCGAGCATCACGAATAGCGGCGGGGCTCATTCACGATTCACGATTCTGTTGTGCGAGTCAAGATTTCATGGCCCGTTCACCCGTCGCGCCAAAAGCCAGTCACGTGCAAGCCATCATGTGCCGCATATATATGGTGAACTCCAAACTCACCACTCACGACTGGCTGGTCAGCTCGCACGACGTGTGTAGTCGAGAGTCAAACGTCATCTGTAAAGGCTTCTCAGAGAAGCATAGCAGGGTCAGACCTCAGTTCAGTCCGTCTCGGCTCAGGGTTTCTCTCTGACTATGTGCGTCGACCTCTTCAGTGTCCGCTGCCGCCCCAAAGGGTGGCACTAGCTCTGGCTTCGATCCGCAGGCCCTTCTCCTCATCCTCCCATGCTCACGCTCCAGTCCGCTCGTGATCCCTGATACATTGCGTAGAGACTGTAGACACCTAGACCCGCTCTCGTCGTTGAGCACATCAACAAATCAAGACTCCAAGAGAGCGATTCTTTGTGTCATTGGGCAAACGTACACGTCACATGCTGAGCCACACGGCGCAGCGAGAGAAGCGCGCCGCTCAGAAGCCAGACTGAATCAGGTAGTCCGCCAACCCCTCAACGACCTGAGCGAGCACATTCCTTGTCAGCCTGCGATGGCTCAGGTATCGATTGTAGAGGAGAACGAAAAGCGCCGATGTGACACCATACTCACCTTGGTAGCTTGACCCGGGACGATGGGGCTGTTGTATTGACCCACCAAGACTGCCTGCGCTGTCTTCACCAGAACTATCGTTGCGCAATCGGCGCGACGGGGTCAGAACTTGTTGAGAGGCGATCATAGGCGAGGTGAAATTGTGACTCACTTATGCCGCCGGCCTATTGTGAAGCAAGGCGTAAAGCACGAGGAGGGGGAGCAGCTCTCGTCAGCAGGTCTGACGCGACCAGGTCAAGGGTCGCCAGCAAGGTACGTGCGTGCGAGCCTGGAAAACTTGCGTTCTTGTCATCGACTACAGTGCGTTGCGCCACAACCAAAGCGCTGCCTGCTGCGACGCCTCTGCAAGCCAAGCCTCTCCGTGTCCAGCCTTATCGATTCCTACTCCAGCGACCAGCGAGAACAGATCATCGCGGCAGGCCGAAACCTCAAACGGAGAAAATCTGGCCGCCCAAGCAGATTTCTACACCGCCACTTAGAAGCGCGGGGCAGCCAAGCGATGCGATGGTGCAGCTTTCAGGCCAAGAGGTCTTTGAGTTGCTCCTACACCTTGACTCACGCCCTGCTTTCCATAAATGCTTCTAGGGTTGGCGCTGAGGGTAAAGTATTTCTTGCCACCCGCATGAATGCCGCCAGCCTGGAGTGGTGAGGGATCATCGAATCCACTGACGATAGCTTGTTGTTCCTGAGGCGTGATCTGAATATTTGAGGTGGCGATGACCGAAACGCGTCAGACGTGGCAGCAAGGGAATGGATGGCTGTGAGGGGTTAAGCTGGCCGACTCACGGTAAATCCGGCGCTAGAGGCCCACACCCCTCCTTTCAGACCCAAGATAGCAGCTGCAGTGACGTTGCCAGTGCCAACCAAATTGGTATCGACGTAACCTGTGATGGGAAAGCGGGTGGCGTGAGGGGTCAGCGGCTGCGCGCTGTCTGTATCCTCCTTCTGCAGCTGCCACGATCCAAGCGTCGTGGAGCGCCAGGGCTGAAGAGCAAGCGGAGAGTCCCGCACTGGCTACCTGCAAATGTCGAGCTTGACCATGCTTCCGCTCGAACACTCACCTTGCCAAGACATGATGCGATGAGGCGCCGATGGGTTGGCTAGTGTCCTTTCTTGAGATCAACGAAGCTGCTTCCGTGCGATGTCGTGAAGTCTATGTAAGCTGAAAGGGTCCTTTGGTCGATAGGGTAAGCGCGAATGAGACCCAAAGGGTGGAGTGCTTTTGCGCAGTCTGGTCTATGATCGTGGATGAAGACTGACGACTTGGACTCTGACTGACGGACATTGGTGATTCTCATCAGCATTCGCGATTGCAAGCGTCGCGGAGACCAACACCGCCGCGGGTGTCTTCGATGTTTCGGTCGAGCACGAGCCAGCTGCTGGGCCGCGTCGCGCGGCTTGCGCCATCCATCGCGCATGCTGCAGCAGCGGTAGATTCACGGTTCAAATTGCTGCTGCATGCTGGTGAGATGCAAGGCAAGCAGGACGCGTGCGCCATTTCAATCGTGAATTGGGGCGCGCCATCCCCCACGTGGGCCCGCCAGGCTTCTCACCAAGAAGCTCATGATGGCTGATGCATGCTGCCTATACCATCGTCAATCGACAGTCTGTGAGTCGTGCGTGGTCTCGAATATAACAACGCTAGCTAGTCAGCCAAATCTCCACATCCATTCGCACTTGATTTTAGGCTTTCACTGTCCTGTATCCGAAGCCGTATTGAGGAGAGCCATCGACCCTATTTAGACCTCATTGGTTCGCACTCTCGAGGATCAGCTTGCCGAGCCTCTCGAAAGGCCCTCAGTACACCCACCGAGGAGCCCAAAGTCGAAGAACGCATACAGGACCAGGTGCGCCATATCGTTCGGCAGGCGCTGAATCAATCATGTCGGCAATCGGATCCATCTTTCGCCCTTTCCAAGCCACCTACAGGTACATGGTGAGCTAGCAGAAAGGCAGCTTGCCTGGTGTCAGCGCCGCCAGGACTCGAGGAATCGTCTTGACTCACAATGCCCAAATCACACACAATCTCGTTCACAGCAATGGGCAGCTCACGAGAAGCCAGAGATCTTCTTTAGTGTTCTGATCGGGAGCGTTGGTGCGTCTCATGCGACACTGTCTCGACGCTTTGTGGGCAGGTGCTGCTGCAAGTAAGTCAAGTCTCGAAGCTGACGTCATCTCTTGCCGCACACGCTCGCGCAGGTCCCGTCTTGGTTGTTACAGTGCCCCCTTTGAGGAGACGCTATGGTTACATTCCGGCCGAGCCCATTCCTTCCAGCTTCCCAGGTGGGTGCATCGCAGCCGAGCGCTGCAAACGAGATGACGATCGCTCATCGTGCCTACCCCATTCTTCTTGCATCTGACAGTCCCACAACGGGCAAGAGAAGAGGTGACGGAGTACGACGATGAGTAGAGCACTGGGTACAACAAGCTCCGAAGCCATCCGCACAGTCACGCCTTAGACGCCCTCAGCTCTTTCAATTCATCAAGATTTGCACCGCTGCATGAAGCGTGTGTGATGCTTGTTCGCAGCGGCTTTTGTGGTGGGAGGGGCGAGAGTACATCAGGTGCCCGCGTGGGAAGGTTTCAAGTGAAGAGGAGCCAGATGCTAGGATAGGAAGTGGTCGTCTTCTCTTCCAGAGACGCAAATGGCTAGACGAGGGAGAGGAGACGAGTAATGTATCTCGAGGTGTTGTGGCTGTCCTATGCATGCTCGAACGGCTGGTCTTGGATGGCGCCTTGGCGCCAAATACTTCTTGTTGAGTAGCGCAAGTCAAACATCAAAATCGCGGTCATCGAGCTCGATGGGCATCGACAAGCTCGCTTTCTGCACTTTGAGTGGGCGTGGAGGGAAAATACCGGGGGTGCTGACGTTCATTTCGTGATCATCGATTGGTGCAACTCTCTTGCCAACTTGCGAACGTGGCGAAGGCGTAGATATGCGTTCGTTGGGGCTGCGCTCAGAGAGTGGGCGGAAGGCCGTGCTCGAAGGGATCGTGCTGGTGGGACCGGGTGAAATCTCGCCAGACGTTGCTTGCGGGAATGCGTTAGCTGACGATGACGAACTTCCCATCGGTCGTTGCAATGGATAGAATGGTGATGGTAAGCGTGCGCCTGCTACTTCTGGCGACGCCTGGATCGAATCATGCTCAGCCATGACCTGATCAGAGGTCTGCTCGACTTGCGATCGAAGTTCGGGCTTGGGTGTCGTTGCACCGATGCGCACTATCAGCTACGGCAGCGAGGGAGCGCGCAAGCCAACACAAACTTACGATAGACTGCGAATCGTCGGCCATCTCAATGTCCTCTGTGATCTGCGATGCGTCTTTCTGGATCGCGGATCCCTGAAGATCGTCAAAGCCGGAAATCTTCGCGGTAGGACACGCAACTTTCCATTTTCTCAAGGTCTCCGCCTCGGCACCGCCTCTTGGCGTGAAATACCTGGCGTTTTTCTTGCGCACAATGTCCGCGGTCTTGACTACTTCGAGCTGCGACGAAGTGGGTGGTGCAGTGAGTATCTGTGGTATTCAAGCAACGCAATCTTCAAGGATAGCTTCAGGCTCACCGCAGCCGGCGTAAGTCGCTTGAAGGGCTTTGCGTTCGGAGTCGCCTCCAGATATCCCTCGTTCTGACATTGCGCGCGCACGAGGGCAGCTGTCGCCGGAGCACACCCGAGACGCTTTGCGAAATTTCCTACCCCATCCCATCCTTTCTCGTGCAGCTTGAATAAAGCGCGGCGGACTAGCGCAAGGGAACCCAGCTCTGCCAGCACGCTCTCGCGCAGGGCGTCCTGCTCAACTGTATGCAGGGGGTCGCTTGCAATGGAGCATGGGCTTGAAGCACAATACAGTGGTTCAGCGCTGCAACAGAGACTGCCAAGCTGCAATCAGTACATTGTATGACTCACTAGCAGACGAAGTTATCCGGTAAATCGACGTCTCTGAGGTAGCCATAGCAGGCTCCATGGAACTAACGAGAGACTTGCAGAGTAAGTGCTGAAGTGTGCTACGACATCTTCTCAGGTGCAGCCAAGCCTCACCCATTTCTTGCACTGATCACAGTGGACCATCAAGCCATCATCCTGAGCGCGGGCAGCGTCTCGTGAGATGGGCGCACAGCCGGCTTCACATCGACGATCTCCGCATACCTCATAAAGCTTGCAATCACAGCGCACCAAGGCGCCGTCACTTTGCAGGCCTTGTTGCTTCTTTTTGTTGCCGCCTTTGCTTTTTTTGTGACGAGACTGAAGCATGACTTGGGTCAATCGTAGCGCCGGATCTTCATCCTGTCCGTTGGCTGATGCAGACTCCACCCCCGATGTCTCGACAGCAGCTGTGTGCTTGACGGGTGCAGCAAAAGTAGGGCTCTTGGTATGCGGCGCCCTTGACATGCTTCGCAGACGCGTTGATGAACGAGTCGGTACTCGTCGGGACTGAACAAGCGTCGCTTGCGTTTGGGTCTGAGACAGATGGTCAGACCCGCTGGCCGCGCCCTTCAAGGGCTCAGCCTGCGAGAGACTTGGCAAGCTTGCACCTGGATTGTCAGATGCGGCATCCTTGGAAAGAGCACGATCGGGAGGTTCATCCGCCCGGCCGGACTGAAGCGCGCCACTGTGAGTCCGCATCGGCGTGGGAGATGCTGAAACCGAAGGTGATTGGAGTCCAGGCGACGCGAGGTAGTCATTGATATCAAAGGACGGCGTCGGTAGGGCCTTCTGAACAGCCGCCCCAGAAATGTGATTCTCTTTATTATGCACCAGGTTTCCATGACGATCGGACGCTGCGGACCGTAACGAAGCGTCTAGAAGCTGCGTTGCTGGGATTGACATGGTGTAACCAGGACTGTTGCAATTCTGCTCCAAGGCTTGATTGATTGAATTGTCCGTTGCGTGCAGCTCTCGCTGGATTGCTTTGGCTACGAAGAGAGTGACGTCATCAAGATCGTCCCTGTCATCCAAAGTCTGACCTCGTTCGCGAGCTTCGGCACGGCGCTGAGCCACCTGCCAAGCCGAGGGTGGAACCGGGCCAATCTTGCCTTCCGCATCACGAAGTCCGAGAGGAGCACCACGTTCGGGTCGACCGAGACCCAAGCGTTTGCGACGTTGACGATTCTGTATGGCCTTGGCGCGTCTCGAAGGAGTCATCAAAGCTGGACTTTCTTCTTCTGCCTCATCTTCCGACTTGATCTCCATCTCTTGAGGAACGGCTTGCTCCTCGGCATCCCAGATCACGACACGCGCCATAGCGCTCTGTAGTTGTGATTGTTCTTCTATCTGTTTCTGCTCCGCTAGCGACTTTCCTTGACCCTTCTCCATGACCTCTTCGGGGGATGGGAGGAGGTGTGCAATAGAGCCGACGTGGAGATTTAAGCCATGGTATCCCGTCTGTAGGCAGCCGACCTGCATCTGTGTTTGGACAAGAACTCACGTCAGCAATGCATGCGCACACAATCTCAAGCGAGCGCGTCCTACCTGCTCTGCTCTATCCGATAGCCCCTGAGTTGTGTACACAAAATGCTCGCGCTTCGGATCCGCGGCTCTGAAGTGTTCAGGCTAGAGACAAAGGAAGCGCTTTTGAGCAATTGTAAGGTCGTAGACGCCGTGTAGCGAAGAAAAGAGCACCTACCTCGTATTCAGGCGGACAATTGTCGTTGTAAGAGAGCTTGAGAGTACTGAGAGCAATGTCTGGTGCTCAACTTCCGCCTTGGCTTCTACTATCCTCGCCACAACACCTACAGATAACGATGTCCTGGGGCATACAGAGAAGGCGTGAGGGTCTACTCTGCTTACCAGTGCCGTTCTGCTACTCACTAGGCAAGTCAATGAGTGACTGTGTCAACGTGATCAAGGAGCGGATGATCGACTAGATGGTGAACGCAGGTGCACTGAGTCAGCTTCACCACACACATTTGTACGCTGCATTCTCCCTTGCTCCCCTGACTCATATCGCACCTGAGTGGAAGAGCGCACATCGCGCATCGTTGGCAGAGCCTCGATAGGCTCCGCGTTCCAGATGGATATGTCCCTTAGCTTGTCCACCATCTCAAGGACAGGTAACTTGATTTTGCTGCCTTTGATCGCACGATACGTGAAGCTGTTGGAGAGCAAAAGGAACTTCATTGAGCAGAGCAAGCTCTCCACATTCCATCTCGGGCAGCTGCCCGCTCACTTGAAAGTGTACACCTCAATGACCTCGTTCGGATGAGCCTTGTCTATGGAGACAGCAAATACCAAGGACTGGAGGTAGTTGCGCTGCAAGGCGTCGCACACGCCCTCCTCCAAGTAGGAGAGCAGCTGATCGGCTTCCTTTGACCATCCTCGCTTCAGCTTTTTGACCTGCCATCGAGCCACAGGAGCAGGTGAGCGCAATCTCCAGGACCCTTGTGTGCAGTTGGCTGACCTTGATGCTCCCATCACGCGAGGTCTTTATAGGCCTGCCTTGGTCGTCAAGCTTGGTATTGGCGCTACAGGATTTTGCGACGATGTCAGTCAGCACTCTGGTACATTCAGTCGTCAGAGCGCTCCATGCACCCTGGAACTGTAGCATCCTCAAAGTTCTCTTCCGGAAAGAGCGCTCTGAACAGTTGCAACAGGTTTGGAGAATCAGCAAAGCTGCACCGAGCTTTGTATTGGTGCTTTTGACGAACCTCAAGTACGTAAAGCAGCCGACCGAGGTCTCCATCAGCGATTTTACTGCCTGTATGCTGTGTGTAACTGTCAATGTGGCCTGCGAAGTCGGGCAACCTCAATTGTCAGCCAAGTTGAGCCCCTCGAAGACGGGCATTGCCATGAAGGGTACGCGCACCTGCTCAGCCAACTGTTTCTTCGTGGAGATTAAGCGTTGGTGTTGTTGCTGCTGCTGCAGCTGTTGCTGGGATTGACGTCTCCGCTGACATTCGAAAAGCGAATTTTGGAAGTCAGCAGCTGAACTAGTTTCAACGCCATCCAATGCGCCTCACCTGCAGCTGAGCCATCGTGCCAAGAAGCGCGGAGCTGGGACAACGGAGGTGACGACGATGAGAATCGAGAGGTCAACAACGCAGGTAATGGAGGAATAGCGGGCGGCCCTGGAAGGTTGTGGAGAGACGAGAGAGCTTCTGGTTGAGAGGGTGAACAGCGTATATAAGGATGCGGCAAAGGGGACGAGGCAGCGCCTTACGATCGCGATGGTTATGTGAGGCGAGGCCCATCAGTAGAGCCCAGAATTGACGATGCTTGACGATGCAGGTGCCTGATGAGGATGTCCCAAGCCGGAGAGTTGGCGCCCGTTCCATTCGAGTGGGGAATAAGCTGCAGGCAGTCGTGAGTGTCATGCCCGAGGCGCACCCGCAATTCGATCTTACCTCGCACGGCAGAAAGCCTGCGTTTCGATCTGTGTGCTTCGAATGAAGCTGCTCAGAGCTATGCATGGCGTTCTGATTCGGCAAAGTGACCTCGTGCTACATGTCATAGGTCCATGATATATATGCGTAGAGGCGCAATACGGTCCGCATCAGCTAGGCGTCGACTGGATGTGCCGCTGCTTGTTGAAGATTGTGCTTGCGCGGGCATGTCAGCTCGCGAGCTGGACCACGGCTAGCTGGCGCTCGCGCACCGATCAAAGATCTCTACTGAACGCTGCGGATGTCCCTCTGGCGTCCTATAAGTTTGCGCCATGACCTATATGGCTGTGGCTTTGTCCACCCATCACAGAGTCATCTTGTTTCGCGGGCATGCAGCAATGAACAATGAAGCGTGCAACGTTAACGTTCATATGATGCAGTCAGGGTTTGAGCGATGACTCATCGATGGTGAATCGAAGTGAGACTCTCGGAAGTTTCAGGTGAATGATTGAGCTGGAGGTTGCGACTGCATGCATGAGCGCGGACTGGCGGCTCGATCTTGATACTGCGGCATGCGTGCACGAGTGCTGCTGCTGCTCCGCCGAGGAATGTCCGCGGTGGACCGCCGCACCTCTAGCTTATACATGTGCTGTATATGTATAGGGACCTGCATCGGTCAAGGTGGCCTTTGAGTCTTCGGAGAGTCACTCTTGACTCACAGACTGAACTTACTCAACAATCAGAATGTCCCGAAAGTCGGCTGAGCTGCTTTAAGTGCGGTGCGCAAGCATCCGGCGCCGCGAGTCATCCACGCGACCAGTCAGCCACGCAGTCAAGATCGAGTGCCGAGGTGATGTGCGTACATGGTATATGCTGCTGTATACATATAACGACTTTGGTCATTCATCTGGACTCACACGAGATTGTCACGGAAGGTGTCCTCTCGAGTGACAAGCTCGTGTGAGACTGATTGCGACCGACTAGCCGTTGCCACTTGCCGGGAGCTTTGCGGAACGCGGAAGCCCGGGAAGGGGGCAGGACTTATGGCTCGGTGGCTTCGACTTTGACTCAAAACCGATGGCGGCCAGATTCTTTGACTGCGCGGCTCCGCGCACGCGGTTCCCATTCCGGCAGCATTTACAGCATGTATATGCTGTAGGCGCATCATGCTTGCTCGAGAGTCTGATTCAAAAATTGGTGTATATACAGCCGCGAGTTGCTGGAGTCAGAGTTATGAGTCTGAGTGTAGCTCTGTGGTGTCCGCGTATGCTGAAGTGTGACTCACTGAGGCCGCACGATCGAGTTGTACAGCCGCGCAAGTAGTCCATCCAAGATATCACGCATGGGCGAAGCATGGAGTTGAAGCAATTAACTTGAGGACTTAAAGCATGAAGTGTAGATCACTGAGGAATCAAAAATGTAAAGTGTGATCGTAACTTGGATCAGGCATACATCATGGCCTGCCAGAAATTCTGATGAGAATTAAGGTGGATTCACGATTCTTGCCCTGGCGCTTCTCGCGCAGCAAGTCCGCGGTCCTGCCTGCTATAGCCAAGGCAACTAACATGCACGTCCACATGCAGCTGAAGCCCGAAGGAGCCACGAGTTGCAGCAGCAGCAGCAGCAACTCTTTGCGCGCATCGCCTTGCCTTTGAGCCTCTTATTGCTGAGGCCTTTCATCTGTCGTAAGGTGAGACGGAGGAGTTTCCGAAGGCACACGTAGTGACTGCACTTGATGCCATGAAGCACTATACTCGCTTTTGTTGACCAAGCCAAAACTCAAGAGTTTAGAGTCACAGTCAAGAGTCATGGGTAATCGTGACTTCTTGACGGAAATCCACGATTCAAAATTCCAAATTAATCTTCGATAATCAAGAATTAAATCAGACGTCGGCGCGATGGAAGGGTCGCTTCCGTACATGCACGCACGTATGGCGCCAAAAGGCGACGATTTCAAGTCTGTTGTGAGCGTTGAGTGGGAATAGCGGCAGCGACTCCGGTCCGCTTCTATCCCTTCACCTTACACCACACGACGAACGCCAATGGCGTTCCTGTTGAGCTCCTCTTTCCGTGTCGCTTGGTGACAATCTTGAATTACGCGGTACCAGCAGACCCCTGATGGCAGGGCAGCATTTCAAGATTTGGGCGCGAGTCTCGAAAGAGTATTTAGATAGAAGCACCGCGCACGCGTGACTGCCGCATGTGGAGGTCAGGAGCTTTGCATGCATGCATGTTAAAGCTTTTATCTGCAGTTACCACAGCAGCAGGACTTGCTTGTACGCAGCCATGCAATCCCCGGCCAGAGGGGCGGCAACGTGATGGAGACAGCAGCACCAACAAATAGCAATCAAGCGCCATCCCGCCTCGACTCCCCCCCACCAACCCTCAGAGGCGGGAACGTGCAGGGACCGCGACTTGGCCACCTCATGCCTGCCCACGCCATCTCGCAAGCCACTGGCTCCCTACACGCAGACCTGATCACCTGGAGGAGCGACCAGATCCTTGATCATCGCGCCACGGCTCAAGCGGCGCATCGCGCCGCGTCAAACCATGACAGCTCTCGTGGCGCATCCGGCCAGCAGAAGAGCAGCGAGCCAACTCTTGTTTCTTCAGGCGCCCTTGAGCGTCGTCACCTAGTATCAACGATGAGCGGTAGCACCGCACAGCAGCAAGGGCAAGGGCAACAGGACATGGCAGTAGGCGGACCATCCCTGCTATCTCTGCCACCAGAGCTGCTACATCACACCTTCTCTCTGCTACTACCCGAATCGCCTACCTCTATCCACCCAGCTCCAGAGATGACAGCAGTGTCTCCCGTCCGGCGAGTCCTGTCGTTCGGTGCACCATCAGCCAACAGACCTTTCCTGGCCCTGTCACTGGTCTGCAAGTCGCTAAACGAGATCGTCACTCCTTTCATCTACGCAACTGCCTCGCTGGACCGCGTGCGGCAAGCTCGACTTCTTGCTCGAACCATGCTGACCTCGCCGAGAGCTCAGGAGCTGTCATTGCTCATCAAGCATCTCAACATTCCCAGCGATGGCATTCTTACTGCGACTGATAGTCTGGCAGATCAACAAGCCTGGCCCTCCAGCCTGGACACCATTTTCCGATGTACGCGCGACCTGCAGAGCTTGTGGCTAGGTATGAGGCCCACCAACATTGCGTTTGAGCAGCTCTCAAAATCCTCAGGTGTCGCGATCGAGCCTAAGCGCGTGAGCCTCAACAGCTTTAGGTGGGTAGCGTTCCCCGCTCTCTTCTTCAGTCACGAGACACCTGACTCCGGCTCTCTACACGCAGCTACCACGCCAATGAACCGGCGACCCGTTCCCTACCAGCCTTGAGGGAAGTAACGCATCTACATTTGATCAAGATGCACTTCGACCCTGCCCTAGTCCAGCTTCCAATCGGAAGCTCTGAAGGAGGGCCAGACGGGCACGTCCCTCGAGCGAGGGACCACACGCTTACTCTCGCTGATAGCGCCGCCCGTTTGGCTGCGAGCTCATCCAAGCTGGCCCAGTTGCGCCTCTCCCAGGTCCCTGCCGATGGTCTGTGCAACTTTGCGGTCAAATGCGCGAATCTGTACTTGCCAGAGCAGTCGCGACGAAGATTGCGGGTGTCCAAACGGGTCAATGATTTTCAGGAGAGCCTGGTGCAATTGGCGAGGTGTAGCGCCAAGATGCCGTCATTTGGAAGGTTGCTAATCGAACTTGGCGAGCTTGGAGCGCTGGACGAGCCAATTTGGGCTCAACGAGAGATGCGGCACATCCAAGGTTGGGAAACAGGCTCAAGATCTAGCAGCCCAGCGACTCGCGGGTTGACACAGCCGCACATTGTGAGTCTCGCATCGGAGTCGGAGATGCGTCTGCATGCTGAACACAGGCTCTGCAAATGCTCTAATCAGGAGCAAATGTCGGATACCAACCCTGGCGTGCTCGCCTCTTTGGACCTACCAGCCAACATTGCCCTCACTGATGCCGAGGGAGCTGCTCAAGAGCAGCAACAGACGGAGGAAGAAGCAGAGCTGGAGAGAGACCGCACGGCTTACCGAGACACCTACTGGATGGACGTGAGGGAAGGCAAGGAAGCGCTCGTCGAGCTGTTTCGACAGCAGAGATCCAGCGTTCGGGATGCGTCAGGTAGCGCCTTGCCAGACTTGGAGGTCAGAGTTGTTGCACCGCGTCCGGGAGGATGGGATCGCCACGAAGCTCGCAACGAATTCTTGGCATCCGCTGCAGCTTGCCATGTTCGGACTCATGCGCCATCGCACCGCTCAAGCGGTTCCGAGCCGATCGAAGCGAGCTTCGCCGCCTCATCAAGCGCCGCAGACGACGACCAGACGTGCTTCTCGGATCCAGACGTCTTTCGTCTCGCAGAGGTCCGCCCCTGGCTTGGCTATGCTGCCACGACCGCTTGTCGGAGGAGCAGCATGACTCAATTCAGGACCCTGTCCACATCCACCGATATGAGGAGGGAAGGATCTGCTAATTCCAACAATCATTATCCCTTGGCCACTCAGAGAAGGTGGTGGACCGGGGAGTTGCCCCGCATGAATTCGGCCGAACCTCAAGCGCCGCCTGTGGATGGGACACAAGTCATTTGAAATCATACATTGAGTCACCATCTGAAGTGAATCTCTTTTTGATTCTGGTCGGCGGGTGCAAGGCGCGCGAGCAGCGAGTACTTTGGTGCGCGTCTCGTCGTAAAGCTTACACAACGGTGCCAAATGGTTCGGAACCGAGGTGGGTGGCGTCGATGGAGGAGCGCGGCAGTGAGGAGCAAAGGGAAGCAAAGAAGGAGTAGAGGACTCTGGCATTTTACACGAGAGCGGTCAAGCGACTTCGTAGCCGCGCTCATCGATGATCCTGTGAGCCCATTTGCCAAGTCTCTTGTAGGTGCGAATGGCCACCGGAAGACTCGTAGCCATGGTGAAGTAGTCGTGAGGTTCGTGGGCGGCAATATCGTGTTCGACGTTGCGCACACCCGCGTTGCGCGCTGCTGCGACGAACTGGATGCCTTCGTCGACCAGGCACTCTGCGATACGATTACAGCGGAGTGAAAGGGTGGACGGTCAGCGTTGTGCAGCCCACCTATAGAGCAAAGCCTTTGTTGGCACTCACCCAGTGCCCCATTGGCAACAAAGATGGGAGGCAATTCTGCGAACTCCTCCTTTGACCTGGTGTACGGGCTGACCCAAGTGTTGGTGAGGTCGGCCAAAGGGCCTGCGCGTTTGGCGTGCTTGGGACCGATGCGCTGCGCGTCGATGCCCCACTCCGGGTAGGCTCTGACGATAATGTCGTACTTGAGGTGTCTCTCGCGAGCGGCGAATGGCTCGTTGACCGTAGCCAATTGAGGCTGCGACGCGGTCAAAATGAGTCAGAAGGATGTGGTCGAGAAGCGCGGACCCATGTCGCGATAGGATGACTCACCGAAAGCAAGATTAGTCCAAGAGGCTTTTGGTCGTGGTCCTCTCCGTGCAGTGCAGGCATTTCGAAGCGCAAGTAGCGCTCCAGCTGAAGAGTGAGCCAGCCACCATACGAATCGCCACCGACAAAGATTTGGCTGGGCGAGTAGCCGAGGGACTGGAGGTGAATCCAAGCTCCAACAGCTTGGCTGAGAGGCACAGGGCAAGGTGCGAATGGCGCGAGGTTGTAGTCGACGGAGAAGACGTCGATGCCAGACGTTCTGGCCAAGTTCTGAGCGAGCGTCATTCCCATGAAGATGTCGCCTGCACCAAAGGTCACACCAGCACCACCATGGAAGTAGAGGATGACTGGTCTATCGGATTTCTTCTCATCCACCTCAGGTGGAGCTTCTCCGTCTTTTCTCATGAACCAAAAACCGCGAGTTTTGGCTTTGGCCCACTTGGGCTCCACCAAGGCTGGACCTCTGTAGCCTGCTGTCCTTACTGCACCTGTACCCTCCTTGCCAGGCTGAATGGCGAGGATACCTCGAAAGTATTCGAGTTGAGGAGCGTCGAACCAAATTCTGTCTCGCCTTCTGTTTTGTTTCTTTGCCGCTTGCAAGGATGTCTTGGCGAGCTGCTTGGGCAGCACAACCCTTCCACCCGGACCGCTAGCGTTGAGGGACTGCAGCAGCGCACCGAGCAGTCCAGGACGTTCTCGCAGACCTCCCTGCCTAGGTGCGATGGGCTGGAGTCTGAAGAAGATGAAGTTGCGCATAGCCCATCGCGTGGCTTCGATACCGAGCGCTAGGCGAAAAGACCATCCTCGGTGGGTTCGGAGCCAAGGCAGGGCATTCTTGGCGATGAGGAGCGGGATAAGGATGGCGCTGGAGGGCAAGAACCAGAGGTGGAACAGGATCATGCGCAGAATGGGGACAAAGTACTTGACTCGAGGTGGTCCCGCTTTGCGAACAGCCAGCGCGACGGCCGGATCGATCTTTGGCGCGCTCTCGATGAACTTGCCAAGGGGCGAGCTACGGGTCGCAGCGCCGGACTTGTTGGTGGAGGAGGTGGACGAGATTGGTGCCGACATGGTCGAAGTGTTCGGCCGCGTCAGGCGTGATACGTTTGTGCTACGTAGACGAGGTAGGAAGGGTGATGTGGTCGGACACCAAGAAGAGCGATCGAGCGTTGACCGCAAGGGCGATTGGGCTGGGCTGGGCTGGGAAGGAAGAAGTAGCGATGGCGAAGGCGGGTATCGCCAGGGGAAAGGGTGAGCGTTTGTGGGTGGCCGAGGTAGCAGTGCATGCAATCACAATCGCGGATATGAAGACGAGGCTTTTGGGCCGCCGCCCAAGATGACGAGCAGCTCGTAACGTCAGAAGGGCAGCAGCGGTCAGGCAGAAAGCGTCGGCAGAAAGCGTCAGCAGGGTGCTGCTGCTGCGACGTGTGCGCGGGCAGTCACGAGTGTAGTCAGTGAGTGTGGGGAAGCGTGCTGCTTGCTATGCTAGCTGTAGCCCAGCCCAGCAGAGGCATGCTGCGGAGAAGCTCGCTCTGACCGGATAGCAAACCAGCGCTTTCAAACCGGACCACCGAGCTGCTGCTGCTGCACGCTTGCATCCGCGCGTGCGTGCGTGCGTGCGTGCGCGTGCCTTTTTCCTTGCCCAGTGCGACTTGCAGCATGGTGCCTTGACTATGCATGTGCGGTGTTGTAGCGAGTTCCAGCGCTTGTGCATCGGGCACCGGTCACGCTAGCTAGCCGGGAGAGCAAAGATCTATAGGCGAGCGAGCGTCCCACCGTCAGAACGCCATCATGAGCGACAGCAGCAAACAAGCATGTTCAGCTGTCTCAAACAGCTTGGTCACGAGGGCGATTCGATGAGTTTCGCCTGGCTGATAATATGACCTCTAGAATGGTCTTGCAGGTCTCGTCGTGGACAGCGATCGGAGCAACAGCAATGCATTCCTTGGAGTCGTGGATGCTCAAACGTGACCACAGCAGCGTAGCGCAGGCACGGGGCGCGCTCTGCTCAGCGAGTCAAGCATGGACAGACACGAACTACTGCAGGAGTCGGCCTCTTCTCGCCGCTGCAAGCTCTTCCGGTCCAGCGAGGTACCAGCGCTCATAATGACGGTTGCTGAAGCCTCCGTCTAGGTTGCTTCTAGCTGAATTTCTGGTAGCTCGTAGACTGCGTATTGGCTGATCCTCCGAAGGGGCTCTTTGAGCTTCGGCGAGTGCCGCGGCAATAGCCTGTTCATGGGAAGCTTCTGCCTCGTCATCGAGGGCATGAACATGCCTCACGGTTGGAGCGTACTCAGTGACGGACTGCTCGCGAGGTAGACGATAGCTATACACAGATTGGGGCTGTTGCAAGCGTAGCAACGTCCACACGTCCTTGCAGTGGCGCAAACTGACGACAAGAGGTAGTCAAGTCAGATAGAAAGCTAGCAAGGCCTAAGTGGACATGAGGCTAGCAACACTCACCGCGCCAAGTCGAATTCAAGCGGGTCAAACGGTGGAAGCGCAACACACTCGGCACTGCTGAGAAGCTTCTGCGCACAATCTTGGATGGCGGCCAGTAGGCGATCTTCGCCTTCGATGGAAGGAATGGCGATGGTCTCTGGATAAGGATGGGACTTGTAGAGCTGCGAGACGTGCGCAGGCTGTTGCACGTCGCTAACGCTAGCGCACATTTGCTCATGCTCGTACAACTAAGGCAGGCATGGAAGAGAATCGTGGTCAGCGATTACCTGTGGATGCCTCCTGCCACCAGCATAGACTCACGTCGCTGTCTCTTCGAAAGATGCGCTGCAGATGCGCGTCTGCAAAAGACCGGGCGTTACAGGCAATGCCGAGTAGGCGCACCTGTTTCAAAATGTCCACAGGAGAATCCGGCTTGGAGACTACACACCTCGCCTCTCCTTCGTCATCGCGGCTCTCTGCCCGAGCGCAGCCGTGGAGCGACGTCAGGTTCCACAGCCCGTGTTCCGAAGACGGTGTCCATTCCTCGGCGTGCTCTTCCCCTAGACCGCCGTCCACATTCCGAGGCACGCCGACCGCGTGCTGGCATGCAAATTGGATCTGGTTTAGTGCGGCTCGGAGATCGTGAGAGACCGTGGGGCTACTCTCGATGTCGCATCGACGCTCGGAGTGTATGAGCTCGGTAGCGGGATGCAATGGGCCATTCGCAGCTACCCTGCGCTCCGACAGGGGATCATGCAGCGTAGTGGTGGTGTGGTAGAGCTCTGTAAGCTCATCAGAGTCCAGCATGTGACCTTCAGCCAGAGCAATGATTTGAAGATAAGGTACGGCTATGGAGGGTGTGGGGCTGCAAAACTGCAGCACTTCTTGCACCGGGAGATCCGAAAGAGGGACATAGTCGACATCTAGCGGGCATGCCGCGTCATTAGAACCGGCCTAGAGCGTATGGAGTGTCATTTCACGTGACTCACCGTTGCATGTAATGACGATCGGTCTGCGCGAAGTTGCTACCAACTCAACCACTGCAGGCCAGAACCCTTTGTCTTCTTCGTATAGAATGTCTGCTTCTTCTAGCAGGATCAAGCTTTGTCGAGCCGCACTGGGCTCGGAAGATGCTGTGGCAGGGCTGCCCTCGTTGCCGCGACCCATGAGAGCAGAAAGAGCATTGGTAGACTGACTTTTTGAGCCTCCGCTTGCCCCGCCTCCAGAGCCAACCATGTGATTTCTCGAGAGTGCGCCCACCGCGCCTTCGAGATCCTTTCCGCTCCGTTTCTTCATTCCAGGAAACAGTTCGAACACCTCCCACCCAAGCTCTGAAGCGCACGCATACACTGCGGCGGTCTTGCCCACCCCGCTAGGCCCCGTGAGGACGATGCAGTTCCTGAGATGCTGCGCTGCTGCAAAGGATCCAGGCGTGCTCGCAGCGTCTTTCATCGAGGCTGGAAGGAGTGCGACGGAAGAGGCTGGTGACGTTGGATCTGTGTCCGTTGCGCGCGAGCCTAGGTGCACGGGGGCTGCTCCGTAATCCGCATCGCCTGGAGGCCGAAAACTGTCAAAGTTGGAATCCTCGACTTGATCTCCCTCTGACGTTTCATTATCCACGATGAAATCAGCCATGTCGTCTTCGTCGCCAGAGCTGTAGCCGCTGGGCCCTCGTTTCTTTCTTCTGGTAGACGACCGACCAAGACGCCGTTGCGCAGACTTTTCCACACGTTTCTCGATTGCGCGACGCTTTGGAACGCTTGCATACCTCACGTCTGCGCTGCCTTTGTGATTGTCCAATCCGACGCCGCTTATTTGCGTTTCTCTCCTCTCCCAAGGCGACACCTCAAGCTCCCGCAACCAGTCTCGTAGGTACGTTGCCATTTCTTCGTTGCCCAGACAGTCGGATGCCGAACACGGACGCCAACGGTGAGTCCACATTTCGCTCGTGCGCTTCGCTTCATGGCTAGCACCACGGCTTGTGACAGTGTTCATAGCGCGGGTCAGCGCAGCAGGTAGCGAGCCATCGCGACCCCTCGCCTTTGCCAGAGGAACAACCTCTTCCAAAAAGCTTGACAGGACCTCTCGCGGCTCACCTCTCCTCGGGAAGGACATCGAGGAGGGTCCCTCGCCTGCATTTCTCCGCGATTCGTGGCTGCATATAGCTGCAAGCTCGTTGCACGTCTCGTCCACCTGGCGCGCTTTGCCTTTGTCCCGGGGAGCGCGCCGATCGAAGACCCGTGAAGAGGCTGCGAACTCTTTGTCTGACGTCGCCCGATTGACGTGAGCATGTCCAGGTCCTGGAAAGGGAGCCTCGATCTGAGGCTTCCGTTTCGCTGTCGCGGACACTCGGCGCAGCATTTCGAGGCTCCGCTGCTCATTCGCGTCGCTCACAGCTGCTGGAGCGCCTCGGGCTGGAGCTGCTGCAGGTGCAGGTCGTCGAGCGAAAAAGCTGTGCGCTTGCTCCGGTTTGGTTGCAGTGCCCTTGACGTCGAGGGATAGCTCGAGCGGCTGTCTGGATCTGTAGCTGACGCTGGCCGGAGCTCCATTGTGATGCTTGCGAGGGGACATGCTATGGCCCTTTTTGTCCTTGCGCTTGCCCTTTCCAAGCCGCACCGCAGTCACCTCGGGAGCTTCGGAGCTGGACCTTGCATCTCCCTCGACGGACTTGGCTTCGGACGAGCGGCCAGCTCCATCACTCTTGGTGCTGACCTCTTCTCGCGGTGTGCGACCCTTGCGCCGGCTTTCCTTGATCGCCTCTCGTTGAGCAGCAGCTTGAAGAACGGAAGCGGCATCTGCGGCCTCTGCCGCAGCCCGCCGAGGACGCTTGTTCGCTTCCTCGCGTGCGAGCGCCGGATCCTGCGGTGCTGTCCGAGTCTTTGGGGTGCTCTTGGCAGCCTGCACGCACACAAAGCGACGTTAGCAGACATCTATACGCCATCGGCTTGATGTGCGGCCACTGACCTTTCTCTCCTGTATACCTGCCGATGCACCCTTGTCGAAAACGGCAAACACCTTGTCTGTCGAACCCTCTGGCATGGTCGCCGCATTCCTGGAGCTGGTGGCACGCGACGAGGGAGAGGCTTGGATGACAGAGCTTCGTGGTACAGTGAGGGCAAGTGGATGAGGGAGGCGAAGCGATGGTACAGAGTGGAAGAGCGCTGCTGCATTTCGTCTGCTGTACTCGTGACTCTTGGGATACACTACTGGGAGCCGCTCCAGCGATCTTCTAATGCATGCAGCACACAGCAGCAGGCACACGGCCCTCTTTACGCGTCGCGTGTTCGTGCGCGCGCGCGCGCGCGCGATGGAGCTTTCGGAAAACCTGTCCAACACAAGTGGAGGCACATCATCGCGACGAGTCAAAGTGAAAAAAGGTACCAGCACCTCCCTTGCATTCACGACCGCAAAGGACATGCACCGTCATTGTCATGGCGTAAATCGTGAATGTCATCATTTCTTCAATCTTGGCGCGAATCAGCTTGGCGGAGTCTCTAGCCCGCGACCAGGGGGCCCCAACGCCAACGCCAACGCTCAGACTCGAGAGTGGCGCTGAAGGAAAGGAGAGTCCCACAAGCTCGCCAAAAGTCTCCTGTCCCCCTCCCATGGCCGCCTCCCGTGCTGCACCGCAAGATTATCAATCAAGAGCACATCGCCCACGTTCCAACTGACGTCGACTTGCTCCTCTGCAGTGATGCGCAGATTCTCCTCGATCCACTCGTTCTCGAACGGCGTATCATCTTCCGACGTGGTATTGCCGACAATGTATGCGGGCAGCTGAAAAGGAGAGGCCAAAGACTGCTCGGCTTGTTGCTCTCGCACCAGGTCCAACAGATTTCTTCTCCAGTGAGGCTTGATCTCTTGTCCTGCCTTGTCGATTCCAGCGTAAATGAAGCGCGTATGCACATTGGTAAAGTAGCTCGGCACGCCAAAAGTCGGGTGAATCCTCACACCCGGCGTTCTCTGCACTACGATGAACGATCCATCTGGCATCCAGTGACCCGAGTAGCCCCTTCGCTTCCACACCGCTACGCTCTCATCGTCCAAAGATGCAGACTCGTCCCAGCCACCTTCGCGTGCCAGTGACCGCACATTTTCCTCTACGATTGCCCTTTTGCTCTCCTCGGGCAGTTGTGCAAATGGCACCTCCCGCTGCAGAGCACCTTGCTCATCAGGGCCAAAGCTGTTGGCGTTGAATACGCTGTTGCCGCCAACGTGACCCTCCACATTCCCGCGGGGATGGTGGATGGCAAAAGCGATGCCCCTCTTGGTGATGGCCTGCAGATACGCGTTCAATTCGCTTTCGAAGCGCTCGTACAGCCTCAAACTCGACGCAATGGGCGTCTGGCCGCCTTTGTCGGGACTGGCGAGGCAGAAAAAGGCAATGTAGGATGGGTAGTGAGAAGAGAGACCGTACTCGTTGTGACTGCCAATGGCCTGAGTAGGAGGCCCTTCATTTGCGGTAGCGACGTTCTTTGCGTGAGGCCTGCGAAGTACCATCAGGCCCTTGTCGACGTGCGGAAGCCAACCGGTGCCGGATGCGAGGTTGTGCATGAAGTCGGAAAAGTCTTGAGCGCTCCTCAACGGTGTCTTTTCGAACTTGAGCACACCTCCCGCAGCGGTCAGGAGGTGCCGCAATGGCGACTAGAAGAGCGGGCGTGACGTGTGCGCGGGTCAGCAGGCGAGCAGGCGCGAGGGTAAGCAGGCATCGGCGTGTTTTTCGCGCACGCACCTGATCAGCATCGTGGTCGCTAATACGGACACCCGCTGGCTGCTGCGACAGTTCTTTTGCGGTCTGCAAGAATCGCGCAAGATCGACTGCTGGTTGCTCTGGCTGCAAGATGTGAGGAAAGCTGACAAGTTGGGGTCCTTGTCGCGTGGGGATGCTCAGCTTGCGCTGGTAAGAAGCCTCGCCGGTGATGAGCCTTGCGGATGCTTGCTCGGAGGGGTCGTTGGAATGCGTGCTAGGCGATGTGGCGCTGTGCAATGCGAGCGACATGCTGGCGAGTGTTGATTCGCTGTTGAGAGGAGCGAGAAGGATGGCGGTGGTGAGCAGGCCGTGTGCGCAAGATGCTCGTACGCTGAAAGCAGGGCTACGTGATTATACCGCAGCTTTCATTACACCGCAGCTTTGAGTCCACCAGCAGCAGCCATTCGGAGCAGCCATCGGTAGCATCAACGCAATCTGAATCACGACGAGCCATGCGGTAAGCTACGCGAGAGAAGGGAGAGCGTGGCCGAAGCGAGCTATACTTACTCACGATTTGCACACATGGATGGCACGACCGCGCAAGTATTCACGTCACTTTGGCGGGATATCACGTCATGCAGGTGCATATATCAGCAAGCAAGCAGCCTGCAGAGCCGCGGGCCGTGCGCATCCAGCGTTCGTGATTACAATCTGAATCACTGAATGGTGAATGTTGACTAGGCGCGGGGTGCGAGCACGCAGAGCACGCAGCGCACGCAACGCACACCCTACTCATCCCTCCATCCAGCTGCTGCCTCCTCTCAAACACTGCGCCCGACACCGATAAACGACGTGGCGTCCAGCGATTCTTGTCTGCGGCCGACAAAGGTAGCATTCATTTTGAAGCCATGGACCGAGCATCCACGCATCGGAGCAAACATCACGGAGCGGTAGGCGATGCCCTCATGGCACTCGTTTGCGTGTCTCCTCGATCTGAGATCGCAATTCAGCGCTCTCCCCGCGCTTCCACAGGGGTCGAGCTTGTTGAGCGCAATTACATGGTGGCCCATCGTCGCGCATCACGCTCGCTGGTGAGCGCAACTGCGTGGTCCTCTAAGCTGACCGTTGCACAACAAAAGGCGCAACCCGATCTTGGCGTCGTGCGCACTGCGCTACGCATCAAGTCAAATCAGAGTGCGCAGTCGATCGAGCAAAGACGATTCGTAGTTGCGAATCTATATATGCAGTTCCTCTACGTGTATTGCGTGACGGTGACGAAGCGAGCGCAAAGGGGAGCGAGTACTGTGGGTAGTGCTGAGGAGTGATTTCACGCGAATGGCAATGTGCATGTTTTCTAAAGGGTCTCACTATCGCTGCTGAATCCGCTTCCTACCCGAAGGCGGCGACCTTCTTTCGCGGCTACGTCGGCTCGTCCCAGCAAGATCTTTCGGATCAGGGTGTTGCTTGCGCGAGGATTGTCAAGGGTGATGTGATGACCCGCATGAGGTACACAGAATACGCTTCCGTGCGCGTTCCCAGCATCCTTCAACCTTTGCACCGCTTCCTTTCCTCCTTGGATGTCCATCCAGTCGTGTTCTCCGTACATGAAGCTGACAGGCACTTTGATTGGCGCAATGCGGTCCACCATAGGTTTGCGGGCATAGGCGCCAGGAGCGAGCAGATGAGCGAGCGCATATTCCGACGAGCCTCGCGCCATGAAGATTCCGGCAGTGTAAGAGTGCATCGTGCGCAGTTGCTCGTCACTGAGCGCTCCAAACCTCCTCGAGGTATATCTGCCTGCTAGCATAGGACCAAAGAAGAAGGAATTCCTGAGCAATCCGAAAGGCGAAAAGTTGGCGTCCCACAAGGTGGTTAGGATCTGTCTTCTGCGCTTCCCGAGTCTGGGCGGGGGATTGTGTTGATATTCGCCATCGTCTGAGGCTGAGGTTCCTTCGCTGGCCTTTTTGCCAGCTGCTTCTGCTTTTTCGGCAACGCGACGTGCATCTTCTGCAGCCATTGTGGAAGTGGAAGGAGCGACATCTGCTTGTTGCGTCCGCACTTCGGCAACGACGGGATCCGGCTCGCTGTTCGACAACTCCGTGTTGCCACTCCATTCGCGCTGCCGACTCGAATGCGTGTCGTGCTCCTGCTTGGCTTCGTTCTTGGGTGCGAACGTCTCCTCGCCCCTGTCTGGATCTACAGATGAGGCAAACCATTCAGCTTCAGTGCACATTCAAGTTACATCCCATTCGTAAAGCAGATAATTAAGACTCACCCGCTCCTATGCCAGCAGGCGAGATCAACACCAGGCGATTGACTCGCTCGGGGTATTTGAGAGTGTACGCAATGCTCAAGTATCCTCCCAGGCTATGTCCCACCAAGGTCATCTTCTCCAGTCCCATTACTTCTCTCCAATCCTCGAGACTATCAGTGAAGAAGGACTCAGCTGCTTCAACTCTCGTATCCGTATTTGCCTGAGCTGACTTGGGCACGTCAAACGGAACGCGTGCAGAGCGACCCATACCGAGCCAGTCGAGCGCATACAGGCGCGAATTTGGATGCTGCGAAATAGCTTCTAGGTTCTGAAAGTAGAATGCAGTGCCTAGACGAGAAGATGCGCAGCAGCTCGTGGCCTCAGAGAGGGGGTTTGGAAAATGCGATGTGCGGCTATGTGCTCACCTGCTCCGTAGCCGTGTAGCAGGATGACCTTCTCTTCCGATTCTCGAGGCTGGGGCGTGCCGATCTCGAGCATGTTGACCAGACGAGGGGCCTCTTTGCGGCCTAGCCAGCTGCCAATACCAGAAGTTGGCTTCTTATGCCTCTCTGGGCCGATATCCACTAGTCTGATGCTTCCCACCTTGCCATCCGCAGCCAATTCAGCTCCCGCAGTTGCTCTACCCGCATATCCATCGACATCCAAATCCGTGGCGTGTCCACCTCCTGACACTTTGCCCGCAGCTGCTGCATGAGCAACGTCTAGAGGAGCGTTGGGAGCATTGTCGAGTGTCGCAGATTTGAAGTAGGGTGTGGACATGCTGTAGAGGTGCAGCTCGGCTGCGGCCGTGTCCCGCTGTACTCCGCGGAACCAAGCATTGAGAGAGGAACGCCAGGTGGTGGGGATGGGTGGCGCTTGGAAAGTGGTTGAGGCCGCCGACGCTGCGGCGGATGGTGAAGCTGCCGTGGTGGCCATGTTGAGGTATTGTTGGAGTGGTGCAGGCTTGAAGCGCTGGAGGCTGCTAAGTCGCGAAAGCATCCACTTTCGCAGATTGCTGTATGCGTATGCGAAAGGGAGGGGGGAGGCAAGTGTCGGAAGGAGCGAGGATTCTATTTGAATGGTGTTGGGAAGCCTATTGAACTTCGAGCAAGATGAAGCAGCGTCAGAAATTTGAAGAAGAGTGTTATGCAATCATCTTGAAAGGATTCAGGATTGCGTCGGTGGGGTGGATGTCACGTTACGCAAGGGCAGAAAGGACAGATGAGAGTCACGAGTCTTCATCAGCTGACCCCTGCTGCGAGGCTGTGCGTTTTCACGCTTCACGCGTCATGTTAGGTTCAGCTGTAGGAGATCGGCTGCGATGCTCCGGCGGATCTCCGAACGAGGTCGACGTGAGCGCGCGGGTGTACGCGGCGGCATGCCGCGGCTGAGAGACGAATGAGCTCAGCAGCAGCTGCGCGAACACGCAATCACGAATCAAATGAGCATCAGCGAGTCGAGTCTGACTCGTGAGTCACGAGTGTGAGAGGCGCCCAAGCGGCTACTCCTCCACACTCACCAGCATGCGTAAATATATGCGTGCGTGCAGCGATTGAATATTCACCGAGCAAATGACCGCTGGCTGTCTGCATATGAGGGTGGAGTTGTGGCTTGCGTCTGTGCTGCTGGTGCTGATGCTGACTCACGCTCGTGACTGACGCGGTACACTCGACTCGATCCATGCACTTGGCGTGATATGTGATGGTGACGACTTCTCGCGCTCGAGCCTCTCACGAAGCGCGATTCTTGCAGCACTTGTGGCTTCACAGCTTTGATTGCTCACCAGCAAGACCCATTTAGCCTTGAGCGAGCCATCTATAGCTGACGTCTATATATATTTGTATGCTGTGGCACGGTCGACAGCAGCAGCAACGGGCCTCCTCTTTCGGCCAGACTTATCAACAAGCGATCTGACGGGCTTCTTGAAAGTGATCGACCTCTATCCAAGTATCCCACCACCCTCCTCGCTGCGACTGCCAGGCTCAAGTCTGACAACATGTCGCGCTTCGCAAAGGACAACGCTTCCGCCTCTCTCGTATCCCAAAGAGCTTTGGTCTCGGGCGGTACGCAAGGAATAGGCGCGGGCATAGCCCTTCGTTTCGCCCAAGCAGGAGCAGAAGTGTACATCATCGGACGCAACAAGGAAAAGGGAGAAGGTGTGATCAAGCAACTGATCGCTGCTACCGAAGAGCTCAAGAAGAGGAATGGCGAATCGATCCAGGTGGACGCGCAGCACGCCTTCTTCAAAGCCGACTTGAGCGATGTAGGAGAGATCAAGAGGGTGATTGACGAGGTGCAGCAGAGAGCCGGCAGCAAGGGCATCGATTGGGTGGTGCAGTGCCAAGGTGCGTGGCGGCGACGTGAGGTCGAGATGAGGCAATCACAAGTTGCGCCTCTTGATCTGCTTGCTCGCTGACTCGCCGCATCCTCTTGTGCTTACTTTTGCTGTACTATGATCGCAAGGCGGACCGCCAAACGGACGCTACGTTCCAACGCCTCAGGGAAGAGATTTCGGCTGGTCGGTTCAGGTGCTGTCCCGCTTCGCCATCGCGCACCTTCTCACTCAGAAAAAGCTGGTCAAGAGGGGCCTCTTTTTCATTGCTGCTCCTGCCTCAGGAGGCTCCAAGCCTTTGGACACGGATGATTTGGACTTCACCAAAGCTCATCAGCAGGGCACGTTCAAGGATGGGTACTTGTCCATTTATTACCAGGGTCGAAGAGACTCCAGCCAATTGGACAGTGTGACTCTGGTAAGCCATTATTTGCTCGCAAACGGGAACAGTGACTGAGCATCGAGGCTGCGTCGAGCTCACCCTCTCCACATGTTTCATGTATCGGTCTCACGCAGAGCTTGGCCGAGCGTCAACCTAACCTCGCCGTAGCGCACCTGTTCCCAGGCTTTGTCAGCACAGACGCTTCAAGCAACTCCAAGTTGCCGTTTCCCATTCCTCAAATTTCCCACTTTCTTGGCCCATGGGTTGGACAAAAGCCCGGACCAGGAGGCTATGCTGAGGCCCCTGTCCACCTGGCGGCACATTCCGAGGGTGCGTGGGCACGCTCCCTACAGACCTCGAGTCTGTCTACGTACCCGCCTCGCATTGCACCAGTGCTGACTTTCCTCCCTGCTCAAACATGCTCACCTCCAAATTTGCTGCCGGCAGGACAAAAATTCCTTCGTCTTGGAGAGGGAAACTTTTTCAACGAACGTTTGAAAAGGCTCGAGCCTAGCACAAACGTGCGAGAGAAGAGCGTCCGCGAGAAAGTGTGGAGCAAGTTGGAGTCCTATCTCCAGTGATTTTCACATCAGCTTCCAACAGACCTTGTCAGCTTGCCATCAAAGACGAGCGCGTGGCCGCCAATCACGCAATGGCCTTACACCAACTCTTCTCTCGGCGCCCTTCCGTCCGAACGTGTTCGACTCTGAAGCGTACTGTACAGCGTCGTCGAACGCACTGCGATTTGCTCTAATCGAAAAGTTGTGTTTCTCTGACGAGCGGCGATGCGCATCGTCTTGTCGAGATCGACTCTGGCGAATCGATCGGCTTGTGTAGTAATCATGATACAGTGTGAGTGCTTAGGATTGATATGAAATGGGAATCGCTGGTGGTTCGCGTGAAGTAAGATGTTTACTTCTAGGCTCGCGAAGGAGCATTCGCGCATGATTCGTCCCTCGCAATGGGCAGCGGAGGCCTCTGCTCCGCGAAGCGCGGGCGCAGCGGCTCCTGGCTGCGATCTCTGTACGTGTTCAATTTCGCTGTCTTTTGTGGTTCAAAATGATCCTCTTGCTGCTACCGCTGGGTCTTTGGTGCGCGAGTCGTGCTTCGTCGGCTTCGCGCTGAGCTTTGGCGCTCGTGCGATCCTGGAGCGCAGAAGTGGCACCATCGTCTCTTGCATCAGTCTCCCGATCGACCTCTGACGGGAATGGTGCTCTGCTCTTCTCGCTGACCACCGAATCGGACTGGCTGCTGGAAGACGTGGGGACAATTTCATCAGGAAGCTCCGGTACACTTCGAGGCTGTGTCCAGCTTCCAGATGCTTCGACTCCAATGGGAGGTGTGGAGTGATCTTCGAAAAGCAACTCGGCGACTGGTGTCTCTGGTAAATCTGCCATGGGGAGGATGATGTCGTCTTCGTTCATGACGTCCTCGTCAGAATTACAAGCCTCCTCAATACCAAAAAGGTCGCCAGGGCCAGAGCCTGCAGATGATTGCGCCGCGTCTCCTACTTGCTCCAGAAAAGCTTGCACCTCAACGCAGTCGGGGTTCACTCCGTCGCTCACTTCTGTGTCCTCCTCTTCTGCCTCCCTCTTGCGCTTGCCGCGGGCGCAGATCTTGCAATCGCACTCTTTAAGGGGCTCAATAATCTCGTCCCAGAGACTCATAATGCCCAGACTGGTCGTGCGACCAATGTCCCTCGCTGAAGCAGGTACGAGCGGCACGCTTGCTGGCTCGTCGGTACTGTTGCGAGCCGATACTCGTCGACCAGTGGCCCAGAGCTGTTTTTGCCGGAGAGAGGCAAGAATGTCGTCCAATTCGAAGGCAAAGAGGTCAATTGCAGCTTGCGTCTCATCTCGACTCGAGTTCTTGATGAATTTGGCCAGATTGAGCAGAGCGGGTCGGATAAGCTCTCTGATTACGTCTCTTAGCCAGTACTGCTCCGCAATTTGCTGCAGGCGCGGAGGCATCGGGGGAGGAAGCGTCATGACGATGCGGAATCCGTCGTCTGCTTGAACGCGCGCTGCAAACTTCGCATTCAGCCTTGGCGCGCCACAATTGCGAGGATTGTTCAAATCGAGATCGTCTGGCTCGATCGGCATCCCAGACAAGCATCCTTTGTGATTCTTTTGTTGCAGAGCTGCTTCGCGAACGGACATCCAGATACCTGCGGCATGAAGAGATGATTCGTCAGCTGCGTGTCGATGTTAGCCTGGATGAGCTGATGATCGACCTACCACCACGCGCTACTTGCGAAAGATATTCGTACACAGACTCGCGGATCGTGCGCTCCTCTTGCTCTTCGTCCAGCTCACGAGGTAGAGCGCTAAACAGTAGCCGCTGCATGTCGTCGATGGAAGGGCACCGTGCCGACCTGCCATTCTCTGTGAATACGAGGCTGTTCCTGTACTGGTCCATCAAGGAGTGATACACAGTCGAGAAACCAATGCGCCTGATTCTTGTAAGCATCCACCTAAAGTTTGATGTCCTTGCCAGCACAGCTTTCGTTTCGAACCATGCATGCTCCCAAAGGTGCCACAGATCTCCGGCATCGCCCGGTCGGGTTTCAACAAAGGCCAGGACAATGTTGCGCTGTTCGTTGACCGCAGACTCGTTGAGCAACTGAAGGGTACTTGCGTAGTAGTCAGGCCATCTCGTGTAGCAGTAGAGCCAATACTTCAAAGCAGGCGGCAGGAAGAGCGGATGATTGTCAATAACAGAGCTTGGGAAGCGTCTTTATAGACTTACGTTCGACGCAACTTCTTCCGCAGCATCGCTGGCAGACCAATCGCCCCAATTAATGTACCTCATCGCAGGGGCATGAATGAGCGCGGACGAGCCGCGAAGTAGGATGCCTAGGTGCTTCCAGCTGCGTGTAGGCTGGAGTCAGCACGTCTCGAACATCCCCATCCGCTGTACTGAAGCTTACTTACCTTCGATTCAAGGCTTCTTCAAGAGCCTTCTTGCGACAAGCCCCGCATGCATTACCCATTTGATTTGTTTCATTTTCGAATGCCTCATCATCCCCGGTTTGGACGATAGCGCAATTTGCATTCTTGCCTCCCTCGTCGAAGCACTTCCAGCAAAGCGCGCGGTGACGGGGAGGATTATGCACTGACTTGACAATGTATGAGTGATTGTTGCACATGGGCACCCATCCGAACGCAAATGATGGTCTTCTGCGCCCCTTTGACGATGTGATCCGATCGTTCAAGTAACATGGCACGCAGATATCGCGTAGCTTGCTGTAAAATCGCTCAAAGGGCTGTTCTGTCGGCTGCATTGGGGGGCCTGGGAACTGAAAGAACACCTCTCCAAGCTGCACCCAAAGAGACGAATTTTTGACTGGAGACTCGAGGACATACCGTGCGTCAGTGTTATTCTAATATGAGGCAAGTCAGGAGCGCATGGACCTCACTTGCTTGATTCCAAGAGGTGTCTAACAGCCGAAGCTGAAGCAGCCATTGCGTCAAGGCGACACCTTCCCATGCCAAAGCGTGACGTGTGAGTTTCTCGTCCAGATTGGAGACATCCATCCAATTGCCATAAACCAAGACCTCGCTTTGCAGGAACGCTTCTCGTGTCGGTATCAGCTCCAGCAAGATGAGTCCCAGCACATCTGGGCGCAACAGCGGCTCCGTCTCTGGGGTAGGCTCTCTGCTGCAGCATCTCGTCTTACCGCTCGCTACAATGCTCTTGCCACGTAGTCTTTTCGTGTCGCCTTTTCTCGACAGCGAGACAGGGACCTTGAGACCCGCTTCCTGGGCACTGGCAACGTCGTGTGGGTCGGGAATGGGCACAAGCTCTGCAGGCGAGCCGGCTTGATCACCTTGCTGTTGGCAGAAGGAGCCGCCGGTGCCGGAAGGGCTCGCAATTCCAGCCGGAATCGGCATGAAGCGTGGAGGCGTCGCGACAGCGGAGCTCTTTGTCTCAAGCTGCATGGTTGCACATGGCGCTGGATCTTGCACACTTTTGTTCGGGTCTGATTCTTGCGGCACGCTGATCCTTTCGGAGCGCTCTTGGGGATCTTCCAGTCGAAATTTTGACCAGCCAAGATCCGGATTAGAGTTTGAGTCTTCTGCTGGCGGGGATCTGATGGCTCGAGGTGTGCAATAGCCTTCGTTGGGGCTGCTGCTATTGCAGGTGTCGACTCGGCCGCGCACTGACTCGTCTTCTCCACTACTTCCGCTGGTATCGCCTGGGACTGTCTGTCTCACTTCTGTGCGTAGGTGGACTTTGGCGGATGCTGGGGCGTCGAGCTGCATCTCTCCAGGAAGATTCGAGCTGCTCATGCTGACCAGCGATCTCTCGCCTCCGTAGCAGCCCACGATCCAAGTTGTCTGGCAAAGACGACCTGGCGGTGCTGACCATCTAGAACCCAGCCAAGCCGAAGCATAAGGTGAAGATTTGGTGATTTCCCGAGTTGCGAGCCCCCGCGACGAGCCACGCGGTATGCACAGCGGACAGAGCAGTTCGAGAATGAATGTTGAGGAGGAGCAGGAAGGAAGCAACGAAGCAGAGTTGCTCGCAAATAAGACCGCGCCTTTCTGGCCAGCCGCTTATTTGCGCCCTCTCAGTGGAGTTGACGCCTTGCTCTGCAACGGAGGTGGCTTTTCCAGCTATCGCGTCCAGATCAGCACACTAGGAGGTGCAGGCCATCAGTTTCCTGGCCGGGAGTCCCGTCTTGAGTCACTAGTGAAAGCTCTGGAACGTCGTGATTCACGTGATTGGGCTTGATGATTCGAGGTGGACCTTTGAGTCTCGGGCCTTACCTGAGCCGGTCCTGCTATATAGTCACCAATGTAGTCTTGACTTGACGACGACGAGCCACGCTGTCTCTGCGGATTGGCTCCGGGGTTGACCGCAAATAATGTGCCAGCCGCGAGCGAATGTCCGCTTGGCCGCCGTTGTTTGACTTTTGGTCGTCACAATCTTCTGCTGTTGATGGGCAAGAAGCGGGTGGGCTGAATCTCTTCTCGCACATCGGACGCTTCACATGTCGTCGCCGAAGCTGTGCACGGGCGACAATTAAATGACGCGCTGATTGCTTGAACCAAGATTAGCATTCACGATTCGTGATTTGATTCACAGATTGGAAGGCCAGCAGACTGCCCAATTCACGATCGTGCAGACAAGCTCGCCCAATCTTGAATGCAGCAGCAGCCATCATGAGAAGAGAGAGTCACGAGTGAGTCACGTACAAGTGCGTGCGCACGCAGACAAATAAGTCGTGACATCTATGCGACACTTTGAGTCGCCAGTGGGCGCAGCCGATAAGTCGAAGCTAGCAGTCTCTCTCACCCCTTTGGCCGGCGAGCAGTGGCGCGTGTTTATTGCAGCGTGTCTTGCACGCGCGACTATACCAATCATTCGTGAATTTAGGTATATAGTTGCTGGGAGTAGAGGACCAGCAAGCCTCGAATTCTGCCGTGCGCCTATACTGCTGCTGCTATATAGAGCTGATATGAACGACCAGCAGCAGCAGTTGCGGGTGTTCCTCATCTACACCTGAGTCATACTCACACCATGCTGATGAGACTTCTGCTGCAATTAAGCCGCGACATTCCAGCATGGCAGATGCAGCATCGCGCGCCCCTTCGTGATTCGTGATTCGTGATTCGTGATTCGTGATTCGTGATTCGTGATTCGTGATTCGTGGGCAGCTTGACTTTGACTGCTCCAGGTCTACGTGGCTGTTCTTGTACCATGCTTCATCTTGCACAATCCATCTTGTCCAAAGGGATCGATCGAGGCGAGTCAACAATCACGTAATGTGAATAGCAGTCACAGTTGCGTATGCGCGTGTGATGATGGATTCGTTGTTGCTATTGCGCATCTCGTCGCGGCGCTGCGTGGGGTGGGTCAGACGGAACTGCAAGCGTCTCAGGTCTGGCTACACATAATGTTCTCGATTTTCTTTTACTACGCGCACGGACTTCAGGCAACATTACAATGTGAATCTTGAATCTTGAATCGTGAATCAAATCACGAGCACAGACTCAAGGATCCTGCTGCATGCTCGCCCGCCACGCGCGAGACGAAGCAGCCGTTCATCCGCCGCCGCGTTTGCACGCGTCGGTGTGACAAGAATTTTCAGCTCTCGATTGGCGCGCGCTGCTTGCATTGCTGCTGCTGCTGCTGCTGCTGCTGTTGGACTTGACTGCAAAAATTACAAGGGCTTTGCAGCATGCGCGGGCACAGAGGCCCCCCGGCCACCAGAGCAGTCGTGAGTTTTTTCAAAAGACATCGCAGCATTCACAGCATTCAAGAGAAGAAGCACATTTGACCAACTCAGGAATGCTCACCCTTGTTCGCCAACACCACCCGTCCACAAATAGCAGCCTCTCGTCCTGCGAGACTCTTCATACATTCGAGAGCCTTCGCACACTGTTCCCTAGTATCTCTTGAGGAGCACTTTACGAATCTGAGACGTCTCTTCGCCCCCCGTCAGCACACCAACGCGTCGAATCACGCTCCATTATCATCAATCCTCGCCTGATACGTCCCCGTCACCACATATACCCAGCTCCGACGTGATCAATCAACGCTACAGGTCGATAAGATGGACGTGAGTCTCAGAGCGCACGACGAGGTTTGTGTGCCTCGACTAGACGCTTACAGCCATCTTGTCACTCTCGCCATGGTAGGCCCAATACGTCGAGCGTCTGCACGCGCTGCTTCAGCAGTCGAACGTGCCAGACACCAACCAACTCCGAGAGGTAAGCATCCGGCCGCACATTCCTTTGAATGGCCGCCCAGCAGGATCCCGATGCTAAAAGCAATTTCTGTGTCCTTCGCGCAGGCTACCGAGGGAATCAAAGCTGCGTCCACACAGCAGCAATTCGTGCCCGCGCTCTTCGAAATCCTAGCATCCAGCCCAGACCTTGCCGTCCGTCAGCTCGCCGCTGTCGAGATGCGCAAGCGCATCCACAAAAAGCCAGAAACAGCGTGGGTCAAGCAAGCTGTCGACGTGAGGACTGGTATCAAGGCGCGCTTGTTGGATCTGTTGCCAAAGGAGGAGAGGTGAGTCCAATTGTGCAAGCTCCACACTTCAATCTTGCACAAAGTAATCACTCACGCAGCGACTCCTTATTTGGCTGCTGCCAACAGCACCCTGGTCCGGAATGCGATTTCACGTGTTGTGTCCGAGATTGCCAACAGAGAACTCATCGCTGGTACTTGGCCTGAGCTTCTCCCATTCCTCTTCGCGGCGGCAGACAGTCCTAACGCAACGCATCGTCAAATTGCGATCTTTGTCTTCTATACGGTGCTCGAGACACTCGTTGATGGTGGAGAAAAGTTGGAGGCCTACCTGCCCCAAATCCTTGCAGTATTTGCCAAAAGTCTTCAGGATCCCGAGAGTATCGAGGTCCGCATCACCACAGTCCGGTGAGCCAAAATTGAACCGCTTATCGACAACACGACCAGATCCTGACAGTCATACGCATTAATACGCACTTCCCCCCTTAGCGCCTTGGGCAAAGTAGCACAAAATCTTGAGGATGACTCGGAGGCGGATCTTGCGCAAGTGCAAGCCGCCATTCCTCAGATGGTTCGCGTGCTGCACGACTCCTTGGAGCAGTCCCACACAGATGGTGTCAAGCAATGCCTAGACGTCTTCGAATCTTTGTGTATGCTGGAAGACTCTGTGCTCGCCAATGCTATCCCCGACCTCATCGAATTCTTCTTGAATAACGGCGCCAACACCACCCTCGAAGAGGAGCTTAGAATAATGTGCTTCAACTCGCTCATCTGGGCTTGTCAGTACAAGCAAAACGTCATCAAGAACCAAAAGCTGGCAAAGCCCATCATTGAGCGCCTAATGACTGTCGCTGTCGAGGATGAAGGCGACGACTACGATGAGGACACACCTAGCCGTCTCGCCCTGCGCGTTATCGATGGCCTGTCGACGTCCCTCCCGCCCGCTCAAGTATTCCCGCCTCTGCACGAGCAGATGCAAGCATATATGGGACACGCCGATGGCAATCACAGAAAAGCTGCGCTCATGGCATTCGGCGTTGCTGTAGAGGGCTGCTCAGAATACATCCGGCCCCATATCGATCAACTTTGGCCTTTCATCGAAGCCGGCTTGCGCGATCCCGAGGTGGTGGTCAGGAAAGCTGCTTGCGTCGCAATCGGCTGCCTTTGCGAGAGCTTGGATGACGAGTGCGCCAAGCGACACGCAGTGCTACTGCCTATGATCATGGAGCTGATCAATCACGAGGAGACCCAGCGATCTGCATGCACTGCTCTCGATTCTCTGCTTGAAGTCATGGGCGAGGACATCAGCCAGTACCTGCCTGCCATCATGGAGCGACTGGCAGGTCTGCTCGAGTCTGCACCTATCCCCGTCAAGTCGACAGTCACTGGCGCTATCGGGTCTGCTGCGCACGCTTCCAAGGAGGGCTTCTTGCCATACTTCCCTCAGACACTTCAACGTATGCTGCCCCACCTGCTCCTCACCGAGGAAGGTGATCAAATGGATCTGAGAGGTATCACCACCGACGCTATCGGCACCTTCGCGGAGGCTGTTGGCAAAGAAGCCTTTAGGCCGTACTTCCAGGACCTCATGAACCACAACTTCGAGAGCATGAAGCTCGAGAACCCCAGGCTTCGCGAATGTGCTTTCATCTTCTTCGCCGTCATGGCCCGTGTGTTTGGCGAGGAGTTTGGTCCCTTCCTGCCTCACGTCGCGCCCTTGCTTCTTGGCTCTTTCAAGCAGAGCGAGCACGATGCAGTGCCAGGTGCCTCTGGGGATGGCATCATCAGTGGCGCTGGCGTCGGTACTAACGCCTCTGGCGAATACACCACTGAAGACGATGGCGACGAAGAATTCATCGATCTCGACGACCTCAATGACGCTTTTGCAAACGTGAACAGCGCCATTGCGGTCGAGAAAGAAGTTGCAGCAGACTCTATCGGCGAAATTTTCACGCACACCAAGCACGCTTTCCTTCCCTATCTCCAAGAGAGCGTGGAACAACTCGGTCATTTGCTTGAACACTTCTACCAAGGCATCCGAAAGAGCGCCGTGGCGGCATTATTCGCTTGCATCAACACTCTCAACGAGATGTCGAACCCCTCAACATGGCAGCCAGGTCTTACTGTGGTGAGTTTCAGAGGGATGCGCTAAATCGCTCGGCCGCGCTGATTTCGCGCGTGTGGCTGCCTACAGCAAGTACCTCTCAACAGCGACGTGCAAAATCTCGTCAACACTGTGATTCCTGCATTGCTGGATGCTTGGAACGACGAAGATGATAGGTGAGTGATGATCCTCCATGCAGCCGAAGTTGTGGCATGAATGCGAGCCAATGAAGGGCTACAACAATGATGATAAACATTATCTCAGCTCACTACGACGGTTGCACGCACACGATGCGGTCGCGCCGAGTGAACACAAAATTCTTACCCACTTTTCCTGAGAGATGTCGCGGGGAATGGGAGGTCTCGATCAAGTGGTGCTTTCGATCCAAGTACTAGCACTGACGATTATCTTGTGCATACCTGCAGAACAACTGCCATCGAGTTCTGCCAATCATTGGCGGAATGTTTGAACAAGAACGGTCCAGCTATCATCAGTCGTGAGTGCAGCGCGTGAAGGACACTTTCACTGTCAGGTCTAACCCGACTCTTTGGTTTTTGCCGATTCTTAAGAGCACGCGGACCGCGTCTGCAACTTTGCTGCCGAGATCCTCGACCAGAAGAGCTTGGCGCAAATAGACAACGATCCTTCAGAAGATGAGGCAGGCGCAGAAGACATTTCGGAGTACGAGTCCGTTCTCATCGGCGCAGCAATGGATCTCGTGGGCGCCATGTCCCACGTCTTTGCTCAAGACTTCCTGGACCCTCTGAGAGCCCTGCTGCCTAAGGTCACAAAGTACTACGTGAGTCGAGCATTGCGATGAGCAGCGCTTCTTGAACCCAAATCTGACAACGGTGTGGTGTGCTCAGTCACCCTCGCGCTCTACAACTGATCGTGGAGCTGCGGTTGCTTCTCTCGGCGAGATCATCATTGGTATGAAGGGCGCCATCACACCACTCACCGGTGACATTCTTACTACATTGTCAAGGGCTTTGCAAGACGAAGAACCTGCCGTACGATCAAACGCTGCGTTCGCATCGGGTGTGCTCATTGAGCACTCCGAGCAAGACCTCAGTGAACATTTCGGAGCGCTTTTGAATGCTATCCGGCCTATGTTTGAGGTGCCTGCTGGAACCGAGAAAACGGGTGAGTACGACTAGTCGCTTGCAGTCAAGACCTTCCTCACGCTGACTGTAATCTCTCCCCCGTTTCTGAGCTCAGACATCCTCAACGCGCGAGACAACGCCTGCGGTTGCTTGTCCAGGATGATCACTCGCAAGCCCGATGCTGTGCCCTTAGATCAGGCTCTGCCTATCTTGTTCTCGTCCATGCCTCTCAAGGAGGACATGGCAGAATGGACGCCAGTTTTCAAGATGCTCATCACTCTGCTACAAGCCAACGACCCGATCGCCATGCAGCACATCGACACGATTCTCGGCCTCTTTGCTCACACTCTCGGCGACGCGAGCGAGCCGCTCGACCCGCAATTGAGAGGCACGGTCGTCGCCTTCGTCAGCTCCTTGAATGCCTCTGTGCCAGACAAGGTCGCTGCTGCCGGTTTGACGCAATTCCTCGTCTAAAGCGCCCTTCACCTGCCTCTAATTCTTCGCTGTTACCGTGGCCCTCCCTCTCTTTGTCTTCGCATACACCCACCACAAAATGAAATTGCTTTCACGACTTTTGTCGCTCGACCCCACCCTGCCCGAATTGTAATTGGGCACGTAGTTCGACCTTGCCTGGAACGCTAAAGCACTCAACTTGTGAGCGCCTTTGAAAAAGATTCTGAGCTGCGCCTCTTCAGATGAAGCCAGAGTAGGCCTGATTCCTCTGGCAAAAGCGTAGGCTTGCGGGTCTGTGAGGCCCAAAGTGCGATCACTCACGCCGACAAGATCGCATTGCCAACGGCCAAGAGAACGACGAAGTGTGATCATACTTTCACATCTGTCTTCTCATTCCTGGTATCGAGGTTTAGGGGGAGGGGGAAAGCCTGAGATTCGTTTTGAAAATGCAAATCGCAGAGCAGGAGCGGTAAGGAAAGAGGCCTGAGTCGCGTAAGATGTCGTTAGGTGGCTTGAGAGAGGTACGGGGGAAGTTCACACGATACATGCCAAGTGCAGATGCAAGAGGGGCAGTGACGAGCGAAGCAAGCGGGCTTTAGGCTCTACAAGCAAAGCAGAAACGACACAAGGCTGCATAGACGTACAACCTCCCTGGCAACCATCAGCAACTCGACTCATCTTGAAACCCTGTCGTAGCGTGCTCAGGGTGCCAAAGGGACGTTCACGTCGTCCGCGTCGTCCGCGTTCGCCACAGCACCAGCGACAGATGAGAGGTCCAACGTGGCGCCATCTGCTGGCTGTGCAGCAGCAGCGCTCTGTGCTGCTGCAATTTTCGCGGCTACCTCCGCTGCTGCCGCTGCCGCCGCAGCGGTCGCATCCTCTGCGCTCGTGGCAGCATTTGGTGACATGGATCCGCTACCCTTTCTGTTCTGCAGCGACTGGCTGACACTGCGCGGTGGATTGCCGCAACGATCTTTGCCGTATGCAATGCGAACGTCGCTGTAGTCTGCATGATTCTTCATTGCCTCGATGGCCTTGATGGCGTTCTGGATGTTGCAGAAGTTGACAAAGGCGCAATTCTTCTCCCGAAGGCTGTTGACCAGCTCGATGTCTCCATACTCTCCAAAGTCTTTTCGCAGCTTCTCCGCCGTGAGCATGTCCGGATTCTCGATGTTGCCAACGTAGACATTGCGACTGCCTCCTGCCTGCACGGCCATTGCAATCGCAGGGCTCAAGGGTCCAGAGTGCTTGCCCCAGCCAATCTTGAGTCGTCTGTTGTGGATCATGATACCGGAGAAAGACGCGAGATGGTAGAAAGCCAGAGCTGCATTCGCGTCGACGAATGTCACGAAAGCTATATGCTTCTCTGGGATAAATCTGACATTCTGCAGGATGCCGCCTCGGATATGGTTGCAAATTTCTTCTGTGGTTGTATCAGGGTGGATATTCCCGAGATAGACCGTTCGATTGCCCATCTGTGAGAGTGCCGAAGGGGCAGGTCCACCAGAGCCGCTCGGTGAACGGCCGAGAGCATCTGGATCTCCGCCTTGCGCTCCAGCGAGACCACTAGGGAAGCCGAGCCCAGCAGGAGCACTGGCAGGGCCGAGCGCAGCGAAACCAGGCACGTTGAAGCCGCCAGTGGCTGGAGTGAATGCTGTCGGGTAGCCGAGCGACGCTGCGGCTGCCATGCCCATCGCTGCGGCTTGACTATTGTGCGCTTGATTCTGCTGCTGACTGCGAGGCACGTATGCGCACCTGTCTTTGCCATAATTGACTCGTTTGTCTGCCCAAGCCGGTTCTGTTGGGAGAGTCGAGACCACTTTGATTGCAGTCGTGATGCTCAAGAAGTGGACAAAGCCTATATTCTTGTCGCGCACGATTTTGACCTGATCGATGGGACCGAATCGAGCAAGATCGTCTCGCAAAGACTGCTCCGTGACACTTTCCTCCAGCTGACCCAAATACACATTGCGCGTGGCCTGATTGGCTTGCACAGCCATGGCAACATTGGTAGGGCACGGTGAAGGTTTGCCCCACCCAATCTTGAGCTCTTGATTGTGCAAAGACATCTTTTTGACCGATGCGTCGGCGTGGAAAGCTGCAGCTGTGCCTCCATCTAGAAACGAGATGAATGCGCAATTCTTTTCTGGCAGCACGCGCACATTCTCGATGGGTCCAAACTTGACTTGATTGAGCAATTCGTCGACTGAAGCTTCTGCTGGAAGATTCCCGACGTATACCGTCCGTCCAGTCGCATTGCCCTGCGGTGGGACCGGAGGCACATCAGAACACATCAGTGTGAGCAGGGTTTCAATCCTTTGTGTCCGATAGCGTAGACTGGCAACTCACCTGAGGGGGCGCGGATAGCAAGCCCGGCATGAATGCACTCAAGCCCATGGGACTTGCTCCAAATGCGGCAGGCGAGAAGTTGGGGTAAATCGCACTCATACCACTAAGACCGCTCAATGGGGTCTGACCACTACCTTGCTGGTGTTGCTGCTGCTGCTGTTCGTGAGTAAGGTTGACCATGTATGGCACCGATTGAGGACCAGGGCTAAGCGGGCTGAAGCCAGCATTCGCCCCAGTGGCTCCGATCATTGCGTTGTTGTTGTGTATCTGAAGAGGTGGTGGTGCGTACGGGTTTGCATGAGCACTATGATGCACGAATGGTGAGGTAGAAGCAGGCATGCCACCGATCTGACCGCCTGTGGAGGTGCCCATGATCCCGCTCGAGAAGGATCTCTGTCCGCCGGTTTGACTCTGCTGTTGGGCGAGACCACCGTACAGGTTGGCACTCGACAGATTGGGTGACGGATCCTGGACTGGTATTGCGGGCGCCAAAGCGCTTTGAGAGAGTGAGGTAGGCCTGCCGGTACTGCCGTACGAGTGCTGGGCTGGGGCAGAGGCGGGCAAGCTGAAAGGGAAAGGTGGTATGTTTCCTTCCGACACAAATCGAGCTTTCTTGCTGATACCATCTGCTGCGAGAGATGGGGGTAGAGCTCCACCACTCTGCTCGATGGCCGCATCTAAAGCGCCGATGGACCCAGTACCGTTCGAGTTGCCATTACCTCCATGCAGCGAAGGCGTGCCTTCGTAAGACTGGGAGCTCGTGCGCTTCATCATCTTGACGAGATGAGGATTGGAAGCGAAGAGTGTAGATCGTGATTGTACGATTGGCACAGAGCCAGGTTGAGGATCGAGATAAGTAGCTTCCAGGGCGCTGACGAAGTCCGTAAATGTCGGATCGCGCGGAGGCTTCGCTGAAGCTTTCAGGTGGACAGACCTAGATAGGTTGCTGTTCGTGACCAGAAAATTTCCTTTTGCCTGGGCACTTGCTGCCCGAAGGATGGCTGCGAGTCGGAGGCCAGCTGCTTGAGCTGAGCAGGTGCTCGACGAGGAATTTGATCGTTCGCTGCGAAAACTTGGCGCGGAGTTGGAGCTGGCCGAGTCAATTGAGTCGACGTCAGTGTCCGAAGTCGCAGTCGAGTCTCGGCTCGGGCTGAGAGTAACTGAAGGCGTGTCCAGATCACCAATGATCAGACTTTGTGGCGATAGATCGTCGAAGTCAGGGCCATTGAGAGTGTTGATCACGTTGTCAGTGATGTGGGCGTGCGATGCGATCGTCGTAGACATGGCGAGCGAGATTGGTGCAATGGTGGTCAGTTTGCAATGCAGTGTCAATGTCAGGACCAAGACGAAGACGCGCGATCCGGTTTCGATTGGCGCGTAGGGATGGCGTGAGATAGAGGCGCAAGTGAACAGCGGACAATAGCGAGAGAGATCCGTCCAAGCGATTCGTGCGTAGTCGGGTAGGACCGGGATAGGGAGCGAGGAAGCGATTCAGTCGTATGCAGCGGCCAAGGGTCAGATACGTTGTTTGGCGACGTGAAGATGGCAATGGTACGTCGATGCAATCAAGATCGCCCGCGCACAGGCGCGCACGAGATTGACGAGGTGAGCCGACCAAGACCGGCGACCAGATCCGTCACACGACGGGCGAAAGCGCGAGCAGGAGGAGGATGAGGAGGTGTCGAAGCGATGCGATGCGGCAGTCGAATGGCGCAGGCCGAAGTAGGCCAAGTCGATGAGGATTGACCAGCCAGAGCGGTCGAAGGTTGGGACGGGAACGAGCGCGAGTGCGATGGGGATAACAGGTAGGGGCGGGAGAGTGAGATGGTAGCGTCAGAGATGCGGCAGACCGATACAACAGAACCTGAGGAAATCGGCTCCGGGACAAAGCATTGGAGGCAGCGCCCCTTTATGACTGCGAATCACGGTCCCCAGGACGATGCTATGAAAAGGCACAGTCTTCGCAATGGCGCCCTTCTCCTTAGACAACTGTGCTAGCTTACGGCCTGCGCCAGGACCCGCACAGCTCATATATGGGCGCCAAAACCCAAGGTCTGCCCGCCTTCAATCAACCATGGTGCCTCGGCGTCAACGGCGGAACACGCCGCCGATGCTGAGATGAGCTTGCCCGTCGCGCCAGCGCCATTGGCGTCGACGTGACGAAGGCGCCTCGCACGCTCAAATGCATCGAGCAAGCCCTTAGCTGGGCGACACAGCGCCCAGCATATGGGCTTGGCTCCAATTTGTAGGGAGCAGACCCATCATCGCGTAACCCTTGGGGTCGAGGCAAGAGGCTTCTGCTCTGCGGCTCGGCATCAGGGCACTTGCCGCCCGCGAAGACATAGGGCGGCTTGACCTTGCGTCGCGAAGCCGGGTAAAGGCGCGCCACAAACGACTAGTCAAGCCTCCTTCTTGCGTGGTCTCTAGCTATCACCGCCGACCCTAGGTTGCGCTAACAATGGAAGTGGTCACTCACATGGGCAAGGCGTAGAAATCTCGGTCGCCTTCTGGTAGGCTTTGAGGACCACGCTATGCTGGGCGCCAAGGGGGCGCGAGTTGTGGGTAGCCGACCTGCACGCGACTGCGTGAAGAGCTCGGTCCTGCCGCCAAGCTACCTGTAGAATACGAAGGCTGAGACCGACACCGAGCTTGAGAGCTACCGGAGTTTCAACCAGAGGAACAGAACAGACGGGGTCCCCAGGGCGAGGAAGCAGCAGTCGTCAAAAGGGGGCTCGCCCGCGATTGCCAGGCTGACGAAGCTAGATGGACAGCAATCGCCGGTCGCGTCTCAAGCGTGTGTTCAATGGTGAGTGTCGTGAGGGCGTGAAAAAAGCGAAGGTCGTCGCAAGGCTGTGTCGCCGACCAGAATGTAGGTTACGCAAGTCGAAAGCAGCGAGCCGAAGTGGTTGAAAGTGCCAACCGATATCTCAACTGAGTGCGCCGGGCTGGATCGAAGTGAAAGCTGCAGGACGAACGGCAATCAGAGAAGTGGTGGGAGAGAGTGAGCTCAAAGTCGGTACAGTGCGAGGCTCGGCGTGGAAGCCGGGTGCGGGCACTGGGCTCGGTCGAACTCCATGCAGATGAACGCGTTCTGCAGACTCACTCGAGGCAAAGCAGCAGCTGGTACTTGGCCGCTTGATCGAAGTCAGCAGCAGCGAGTAAGAGCTAGATGAATGGCCACGCTCCAAGCGAGAATGAAGATTTTGGACCAAATGTGGGGGAGAAGACAAATGAGGTTTTAGCTGCGATGCGTGAGCATTGCGCGAGATAGCCACTGTGACCGACAGTCTTGCTGTTCCTATGCCACAGCTGCAAGCTGCACCAACATAAAGCAGCACAGGCAGCAGCAGCAACAGCTAGCCTGCGTTTGTAAAGCGTCTCAGAAGATCAGAACGCCTGAAGAGCAGGCAGGCAAATGGGCGCGGAGCTGCAAGCTCACTCATATTCGGGCGTGCCTAAAGCGGCATACTCATCTTCTCCAGTATAGCAGCGCATGCAGCAGCAGCAGCATACAGCACTCCGCGGTAGGAACACACGCAAGCACCTTCTCCGCGCGGCTTTCTGCGTGGATTATCGCGCGGCGGTACTGCGCGACTGTTTCAGCGCGGCGCGGCAATGATGAATTAAAGTCGCGCGTTCTCGAGATTGCAAAGCATTAAGCGCTGTGCAGCATAATGGTTCTCTCGCTGGCCATTGCTTTGCGCCGTTAGCGCCCTTATACACAAGCACATCCGGCCCTCATGTGCAGCTGCATGCGTGCATGTTTGCCAGCAAGCGGCCGCGCACCAGCCAGCTAAGCGCCCCAAGAACCGCACCGGTACACAACAGCATGTGCCATCCAGGACGGTTGTTCGCAAAATAAGGCGGCGTCGAGGGTCGATTTTAGCAGCCCAGCTCTCACCACAGGGCTGCCTCGTCTACCTTTGCGTGCTGCATGACATGTGGATGTGTGGCGATAAAGGTTTGCGTCGCTTCCGCGAGCGCATCGACCTACCAGCGTGACCAGGGATACCGTCGTCGCCGGCCGTGGGTGTCAGGCGTGCCGCTTGACTTCGACCCGTCTATGCTCCTTGAAGGTCAGATATACATACCATATATGTATATATATAATATATATAGGTAGTCTGATGCGTGGGTAGCTGTCGCTGCTGGCAGCTATAGAAAGCTCAAGCACGCGAATCACGAATGCTGTATCTCGGTGTCGCAGCTGCGTCGCTGCGGCTGCGCCCTCGACGTGCATGAAAAACCTGCCTGATCCGCGCGCCTTGGTGCATGTGAAGGCTTCAATTTGCGAAGGCATTTCGCGCCGTTGAGTTAGACTGATCTGGAACCGAGCAGATTGATTGCTGATCGAGCTACACTCACAAGAGAAGGCCTGGTGTCCCCTATACCATTGATCTTATTCAAGATTCTGACTCGCAGCAGCTGATGAAGCGGCAGCAACAAACTATCAAGACGCTCAATGTGAATGCACGCATATCAGCCATGAGTCGGACGACCGGCACTTAAGGACGTATATTATCAGTTCAGCCACTCGCCCACGTCCACAAAGCACACTGGATCAATCTTGCATGGCCGTTGAGTCACGATTGTCGACCACTGCCTGCATCACACGGCATCGCATTCAAGATTGGTCGTGCGACGCTCGTGCGTGGCTGTTCCGGGTCCTTGACAAACGAAGTCAGAAGCAGCTGCAACGGAGCGGAGCGGAGAAGGAATCAAAAGGCTTCGCTGTGCCGTCGATCCGTGCACTAGCGTGGCGCACTCTTGACTTGCGTTTGACGGTCGACAGTTGCCTGGCAGCTGCAGATGAGCGACAAGAGCGAGAGAGCAAGGAGCCGCGGACGCCGAAGAAGCCGCATACCGTGTGTGTGTATTCGTGATTATAGCCGCGTGAGTATAGTAGTCTCTGCTGCATGCACGCATGCTCTCCGGGCTGTCCGGGCATGCATCACGATGCAGTGATAGGCTGCGCACACTGCAAAGCGTTGCTTTGTACGAGTGTCTAGCTGCTCACGACTGTGCATGGATTGGCAACCCAGCACAACAGCAACAGCGGAGCCCTCATGTTCAGACTCCGCCAAGATACGCATTCAGGGCTGGCTGCATGCCCCACCAGGTTGTGCTGCTTGTTCCGCCTCAATTCACTCCACATCATGTACAAAGTACCGCGGCAGCCGCTGGCACAGCGCTATCTGACCTAATTACTGTAGGTACTCTGACTAGAGCTGCCTCGTATAGCGTCGACGCATCTGCTCATCAGCAGATCTGAGACAAGGATGAGCAGCCGCATTGGCAGCTCCCCATGCACAACGTGCGTGGCCGCCGTGTCTTTGAAGATGCGCCGCTGGTGAGCGGCCAGCAAGGGCAACAAACAGACATCAGCTGTAGCTAAGTAGACACACCTTCTAGTCTCCAGGTCGAGCAATCATCATTATTACTCTTGACTCACACTGTATCGTTGGTCCGCTGTTCCCGGCATTACTTGCGCGTTCTCATGCCCTGGCTTGCATATATGCGGTGGACCTCGAGCGAAGGGCCGATGGGTGCCTGCTGCTGTGCTGCATATGCACATCGTGTTGACCACGCAGGCAAACGTACTCGTTCCAGCCACCATCTTTCGTGAGAGGCTTTGGAGTCGCGGACGCGACGGCATCGTCGCCACAAGTGCTGTGGCGTTGTGACAGCCAGGCATCGCGTAACAAAGTATCGGGGGCGTGAATCGCTGTGTGGAGATTGTCGAGCAGCTGCAGTACCTTGCTGGGTCGTGCTCATGGGACGTTGCTGATGCGCGAACAGCAACCATCGTGCAACTTTCACACCGTGTCGCGGGCATATACGTGAATTACGCACGTTGACCTGAAGTCAGAGCTAACGCGTAGGCAAAGCGCGCGCGCAACCTAACAAGTCTGGACTTCACAGAGCGTCCTGGCAGAACCTTGCAATCCATTAGGGTAAGAAAGAGGCCTCGGGCGTCTCGACGTGACAGCTGAGACGCATGTGATGACTTCACCATAGGTACGATCTATCGAGCATAGCAGACATGCTGTGTTTCACGTATGCTTGGATGGATGGATGCAAGACTGGTCGCGGGAGCGACGTGATCTCTTCGAGATGTCGAACAGCCCCACACTCACGACTGATGCGGTCGCTAGCGTATGAGATACGGCTCCTGGGCAGCTCCGTGCATGCATGCATGCATGCGTAGCTCATGCCCACACAGACTGGCGGATCAATATGTGCGGCTTGGCCATGTGTCAAGTCATCTTTCGGTGAATCTTGCAGTTCTTCTTCGAATTAACAGCACGATCACGCGGCGGCGTGGACATCAGCAATCACCACATTTTTGTTTCAAGATTCCGCACAAACTCTCTTCTGTACGAACTACCCACCTCCGATCCATGCCAGCACCGAGCGAAGCCTCAGACGTTTGATTACCGTTGGGTGCAATGGTCGCGAGTCGATCGAGAAACAAGACTTCAATGACCCAGGATCAAATGTTGAGAAAGCTCTCTGCAGCTGGCTTCATGCATCATAGAGCTCTAGTCTTGAACCTCTCATGATCGTGACGATCTTTAAGTCACTCGATAAACCTTGACTCACGACTAGGGAATCGTGAGTATAGTCTGAAAACGATTCTTGGTCACACACGGACGGTGGCTATATATAGGGGCAAGAAGACAACCTTGAAACGAGAATCACAATCTTGAATGCATATGCTCCAGACCCAGCATGCATGCATCTATCCTGCTGGATGCTATGACACGTTGTCGATTCACGATTGACACAGAAGTTGGGCGCAATTCAGCCGAGCAGCATCAGCGTGCACATCTTTACGCCGCTGGTCCGGTGTTGATCGGAGTGAACCCGAAGAAGCTCGCGAAGCCATCTCAGCCTCCGCCACTGCATAGGGTTACAGCCGCATACTCACTACACATGCAGCACGACATGGGCAGAGTCGGAGCTTGTCGCATGGCACATTTTGCAGCACATGCTTTGCTATAGAGCTGCGCGGCGAAGTCGCAGCTATAGCACATCGTGACTCATCAATTAAGCCTTTCATGACTGCAAAGTCACTTGCAGACGATTGACAGCATCAGGCACTCGGGCGTGAGCAACATAACGATCGATCGAGCGATGCATTCACGCTTCTTGACTGCCTGCTGCGAAGGCTATATGGGCGCAGAAGACATAGGTGGCCCTATTGACTGGCTGTTGCAGAAGCATTCGCGGCATCCTACCTGCAGTTTAGCTCAAGCCGGTATGATATATGGTGTGAGTCAAGTTGCCCGCGGCGAAGAAGCAAGCGTCGGTCGTGAATGAAGCTTATATATGTATTTATATACAAATATATGTGTGGCAGCAGCTCGAGAGCAAGCAAAGGTGGCGAGCTTCATCTGTCACAGGTCACTCACAGACTGCGCGGTCAATTTTTGTTCAGTTCATGCTGCTGCTCCGGGTTTGTCGCCTCTTCTAGCGCGGCCATCAGCTACGCGAGCAGCTCGTGTCTTGTACACGGAACAGGGTTGGCAGGGGATTTAGATGGGAGTCAGGACCTCCATGACCGATCGCCTGCTCCGACTCGTGAGCTCGATGCTGCTGGTACGCTGGATCTAGCCAGATCATGCAACAAAGGCGCCGCCGTGCCGCGCATACACACGACGAAGGACGGCTTGTGCTGCTCGACCGACGAGCAGCTCTCTACCTATCGCGGCTTCCAACCATCACAAGCATACCCTTTTCAGCTGTCATCGTGGATCGCTGAACGCGGCAAGACGGTGGACGAAGATGTGCTCGTCGCGTACACCCTCTTTCGAGGCAATTTTCATGGCTGCTGAAGTGGGACCAAAACCAGCACACGGCAGCGTGGGCCCTGAAGCGTTCTGTTTCGGTGCCAGTCGACGACCAGTAAGACTGCGTCCAGCAGAGTCCCAAAGCAGAACCACCTCCAACAATTCGCGAGGCCTGCATCACAGACCCATGACATCGCCCTTCACTACGCCTTCCAGATCCTTTCATTACCGGGTGAGCCACACAGGCTTATGTCCATCCCGACGAGCTCTCGCTGACTTAGCATGCATGACAGGATGCCTTGCTTCCTGGTGAGGAGCTACTTGTGAACCCGTCTGGCTCGATTCCATCTGCATCCTTGGCGAGCGTGGAGGCGCATACAGCCCCACCGCTTCAGCTCAGAAACCAAGACCTCCAGTCAAAGAATGTCGCCCACGATCCACACGCTTTTGCGTATTCGTCCTTGGAATTCTCGCAAGATGAATCGGACCAGCAACTCTCTCTCGTACATTCGAACGATTCGCTCACAGAGAGCGCGACAAGCAGCTACTCCGCTCGAACGTATCAAACCGCTGCAGTGATGGTCAAATCTCGTGACAGGAGCAGCTCCGATCTTTCGAGCTTTCTCGGCGCGTACCGTTCCACGTCCCGTGCTCAAGCACAAACAATTCCCGGAACTGCACCGCATGAGTCGCAAAGTGCATTGGGACCTGGCGGCTTCGAAGGAATTGTCGCCGATAGGTCTTTGAAGCGTCGCTCCAGCGCGCCCGGACCATCGGTCAATCCACTCGAGCTCTGCTCCGGCGAAGACGAGCTGTGCGAACAGGTGAGTGGAGCAATGAGCACGGGCATTTCTGTATGCTAACAACCTGCAGGACGTTCGATCTTGACGTCCAGCCGGCTTCAATATTTGGTCAAGACATTTCACTTGATTCATCGTGCTTTTCAAGTCCTTCGGCGCCGTGGACCACTGCAGACGCCAACGCCGGCCCGAAAAACTCCATCAGCTTTGCGGATCGCGTGGCCTTTGCGACACCAAAGGGCAGCGAGGATGGACTGCTGTGCGAGAGCGACTCGTCCATCGGCTCTCGATCTCCCTCCCCAACTCCAGAAGGAGCACATCGGAATGCCACTATTTTGACACCCGGCAAATCCATGTTTCCGCTACGAAGCGCGGCAAATGAAGGCGAAGACATCTCCAGAGACGGAGGAACACCCTTCCGCGTTGCACCTGATGTCGAGTGTAGTGGGTCAATCGCAGCGCTGAGCGATCGCAGCTGCCAATTCACGCTTGCCTTGGGTCTCTTCCCGCATAGATGATGTCCAAAAATCCGAGCAGAAGAGGGCAATCGATGGTGATCGTGAGATGGACATCGCTACTGTGCTACTGGCTATGTCTGGACAGAGTACGGGACGTGTCACACGCAGAATGGCACAGGATGCGCGACGTATTCTCGATGACATCCAATTGCCCGAAGACGTATTGCATTGCCTTGAAAGCAAGCAGGGCCCTGGAGCAGCTCCTACAGAAAGCACACAAAAGCAGACGGATCGGCCGTGGGTCAAGAGGAGAAAGATAGAGAAAACGAGAAGAATCTCGCTGGTCTCCGATAGGGTGCTCGACGCAAATGTAGACGCGATGCAAGGCCCACCGAGGTCTCTGGAGCCCTCGCGAATAGAGCATGTACATCAAACCGATGCTGCATCCAAGGAAGCGCTTTGCTCGTTGACCGGGCAAGCGGCAGGAGGACAAATTGAGATGCGTATCTTCCCAACCAGCTTGTCAATCCACGACGGCTTCGTCGGGTGGTATAGGCGCTTTCCGATATCTTCGGCTTTATCTCCAGCGGTAGCTGAGGCGGTGTACGCCGATGCACGGTGAGCACAAGTGGAATCGCATTTCATGCAGCTGGCCCTTTGACCCTGGCCGCCAATCATCCAAAGATCTCCGAGGAGCGAGCTGTATGATACTGCCAAGCGCGGTTGCAAGACCTTCGGATCGCAGCACGCGGAGCCCAGTCCGCTGGACCTGTACTCGCCGCGCTGGGTTCGAGGCGTTGGCACTACAAAAGAAGGTGCGTTCCTGACCATCCTGAGATCATCTCGCCGTGTCCGAGCCCCACACGTCCCGCTTATGCTCACACTGTTTTCTTTGCCAAGGTTTATGTCCAATATGGTGCGCTGAGGCTGAAGTAATTTGTCGATAATGTGCCTCATGGTATCCAAGTCGCTACATGCAGCTACGAAGTGGGCGAGGTTCGCTGGTACAAGACCAAGATCAGCGGTGAGCATGAATATTTTGGCAGCTCAGCTATTCAGACTGACAGAAAGGAGGACCCAGCCTACAACTACCATATGCAGAACGTGAGTCAGCAAGCACGTTGCATTACACAACACTTTGGGCTCTGACCGCGCAGAGTGCCTTTGTCACTGCAGAGCCACGGTGGGTCCTCGAGCCGGCTATTGTGCCACGGGATTGCTAGAGATCTAACTTGTCCTGGCGCCACGACACAGGCATCTCGGCACTGACAGGAGAGCCATTTGATCCACCCATTGGGTTCAAGGTCAAAAGTAGACCACATGCGTCTGCTTTGGAAAAGCCCAAGGTGTTAACAGGACAGTGTGAGTACTGAAGTACAGCTCAAGTTTTTGCGACTGGTCCGAAGTCATCTCTAATTTTGATCGTCTAACAGGTCATGTATGCCGGCGCTGTGAGCTTTGGAGACGTTGTAATATGTGAGCTACAGCTTTGCTGACATCGTCAGCGCGCCAGTCATCGATGTCGAGGGGCCAAAGTTGGAGGCCGTCAAAGTACCTGAGTGAGTCGTCACCAGAGGCTGGAACAGAAACAGAGTCGCTGCCGACCACCTTTTGCCTAGGATTTACTGGTGGAAACACGCGCAGAAGTGAGGGAGTTGCTTTGCGCCTTCAAGTAGGGCGGAGAACTGAGCTAGGCCCCCTCCAGGTGCCACAAGGACAAGGCTCGACTCGAAGGTGTGAGCGGCAATTTCATCGAGAACGCGGTCAGTAAGGATAGGGGATGGCACGCGGAGAGCATCGGGGTTGATGCTCACTGAAATGCGTTACCTAGCTCCACCGTCGCATCATGCAATACCTGGCAGAGCACCCAGAGTCTGAGGAGCAAAGCAGCTGCTAAGCTGGAAATCAGCGGAAAGGAATGTATCAAGAGGCAAAAGAGGTCGCATGTGGGCGAGTTCAACAGCAGTAATCGTCTTGTACGCACAGACGGCAATAGGACCACCCAACAGCAACCAGCTGAGCATCCCACAGCCAGTCATCCGGTAGCGCAACGTGTCCACCGTGTCGTCATCGCCGTCAATGCCTCTCTCGAGCGACACCTTGCACATGCTCGCGCGCAATTTTTGATCATTCCCGTAGTCATCACAATGAGATGACTCTTGAGAGAGACGACGCGTCACTGGTGACATTGAGGAGAAACGACTTGCGCTTGTCATGTGCGTCGGGAAAATCTAGCCATGCGCCCTTGATGGCTAGTACTTCCATTCGCCGATCATACGATCGAAGAGAGCCATGATGGTCCACTACAAGAGGGTCAAGTAGTCAGCACACGAATTGCTGGAGGCGGTAAAGACGATCGTGCTGCATGACGTCACCTCGCGACACTTACCTTTCGGTTTTCAGCTTCCTCAAAGACGATGCTACGAGGTCCGTAGAACACTTCATCGTCCACCTCATCGGGCTTGCGAGGCAGACAGTGCATGAATCGAGCAGACTTTTTGGCGCCTGCTTTTTGAAGGAGTGACTCGGTAATCTGGAAGCCTGAGAAATCTTTCAGACGTTGAGTCTTCTGAGATTCGTCACCCATGGATACCCTGTAGTAGCAGAGGAAGTCGGGGACGCGCTGCGCTGTCAGCGACTTGGAAGCACGCCAGAACACACAGCTGACGATTCAGACAGGACAGAACTTCGGCAACTCACCAGGTGTCGGTGACAACGATATCCGCGTTGTTCGCAGCAGCCAGCGGATCGTTGCCCCACTCGACCTTTCCCTTCTCGTAGCTCGTCTCTTCTTTCAAGCCGTCCTGCATGTCCTGCCACACGATCTCGTCCCTCTTGTACTGATCGCCTTGTGGCGTTGCGACGCTGAGATGGATTCCTAGTCTAGGAAAGGCGACGAGCATGTCGGCGAGGATGTTGTTGCTGTCGCCGATCCAAGCCACTTTGATGCCTCTGAGCGTATCCAGTGATGCCGAACTAGTGCCACCAATGACCGGATCCTCCAGCATGGTCAAGAGGTCTGCCAAAATTTGCGTAGGATGATATCGGGCAGAGAGGGCATTGATGACGGGGACTCTGGAGTGCTTGGCCAAAAGCTCCACCTCCTCGTGTCCTCCTACTCGGGCCATGATGCCATCGCACATGGAGCTGACGACTTTGGAAGTGTCGAACAAGCTCTCGTTGACTCCTAATTGGATATCTGCGGAGCTGAGAAACAGAGGATGACCACCCAATGAAGCGATGCTGGTCTCGCTAGCCACTCGAGTTCGAGTACTCCGCTTAGAGAAGATGACGGCGACATTCTTGCCTTGAAGTGATTGGGGTAAGATGCGACCTCCTTGATACTTGCCCGCGGCAGGAGACGAAGAGAATGCCAGGTCGGAAGCCCGAGATATGGACTTGAGCTCGGCTGATCTTTCGAGGATGGACGCGATCTGAGGCACGCTCAGATCCGCCAAGGAGAGCAGGTGCGGTGGCTTGCGCAGCTCGGACTGTGCACCGGTCGTGCTCGAGAAGGAGCGCTTGGCGGCAAGGGCCAGGTGAGAGACGACTTTGCCGCTCTGCTGTTGCTGTATGACTCTAGTCAGCTGCTTCGAGCTGGCACCGCTTCCACGCAGCAACGCCGAAGCAGAGGCAGGCTGCAAGAGCATGGCAGGCGTCTGAGGGTGATATGAGCTTAGCACAGGAGCGGTCGAGACAATTGTGTTCTGGTTCACGACAGCTGATGTCCAGAAACAGGTCGATGGCTGTTGAAGTGTTGAGGAGGGCTGTTGAATACACTGCGAAATCAAGTCTTCTGCTGCTGCACCCACAACGCACAACCACGAACACGAATCGAGCAGGTGAGAAGTCACAAGTGACTCGATAAGCAGCACCTGCATGCATGTGTTGCTCGCTTTCTTCGCACTTTTCGACTCCAACGGCCCTCTGTTTTGTGGCTCTATACAGCAGCAGCAGCCTGCAACTCGTATAACTGCTGCAGCTGCTGCTGATCGGGCTCGCTATCTCTCCACACGCAGCAACTGCTGCATGCTCGCCGGCTTCTCGTGCGGCAAAGACGCGCGCAGCCACAAACATTCACGATTGGCGCGCGCGCACATCTATATACGTCGCAACCGCGCCCGCGCGTCGCGCCACGGAACCAGAAATCTGATCGTCATGATCGAATTGTGTTCGCGCACGCTCCACTCAGTCGTTCACTCCTACCCTCGCTCACTCCAATCCATCCATCCATTCCGCCTCCGCTCGACCAGCGGTACCTTCATTGTTGCTTCCAGTAGACCCTCCATCGCTCAAGCTCGATCGAGCGACTGGAGCGATCACTGAAAGGCTATTCGCGGTTTCGGATGCTGCACAAATCGTTCCTCATCTCGATTCGAGCTGCATCGTGAATGCCGAGGTCTCCATCGGCGATCACGTCTGATTCCTCTTATTGTCCGGTGGAAGCGCAGAGGTGGCGCGGATCGCTTTCGGTCAAATCAAAGTGATCACTGTCACATCGTGCCCACTTAGGCCAGCATGACGGTGTCTCATCGCAAGAACAAGCCTGCGGCGGTGCAGACCTCGCAGACCTCAGGTGAGCGGATGGGAGACGCTTGAGCTGGAGAACCTATATACATCTGCGAGTGCGCATACATCCCGTTTTCCCAACGCTGACTCTTCTCGGCCTCCATCTTCGACAATGTACTCAGCGGACGAGCCGGGCATGAGGTATCACTGCGATGCTTGCGGTGCGGATATCACCTTGACCATCCGGATCAGGTGTGCAGAATGCGAGGATTTCGATCTATGCGGGAGCTGTTTCTGCGAGGGATCCGTCAGTCAAACGGAAAAGAGCTCAAGCAGCTCTGAAGGCGGTCACAAGCCTTGGCACGATTACCGAGTCGTCGTGAGTGAACAGCGCTGAGTGGTCTGATTCATCTGCCTCTTGGCTGAACCCCTAGACGTCCTCTCCGCTCGCAGGAACAACATGCTTTTCCCATCTTCACTGCTGACTGGGGCGCGGATGAAGAGCTGCTGCTGATTGATGGAGCCCAAATTTACGGGTTAGGCAACTGGGCGGATATCGCCGATCACATCGGCAATCGCACAAAGGAGGAAGTGGAGAAGCACTACGTGGAAGTGTACGTCGAGGGCAGAGATGGCACCGCAGAAGGGCAACGACAAGCAGAGGCCATTATCGACGAAGCCCGCACGAAAGCCGAAGCAGACGAAAATTCGGGTGGAAGGGTCAGACCCCCAGTTGTGGGCCCGAACATGGCCTTCGATGCGCATATGACCGCGGATGAGTTCCAGACTAGCAAAAGGTCACGCATTGAGGAGATGCGCGAAGGACAGGTGAGCTGCCGAAGCACGCGAGACGAGTGCGAGGCGAACCGTCACCACGTCCAACGCATTGCGCTGATTCTTGTATCTAAAACGTACACCTCTCTATTAGGCTCGAGCTAATCGTGAAGCTAAGGGCGGGCCGCCTCCAAAGCCTCTAGTGTCTGCGCCCACTTCCCATTCAGAACTTGCCGGCTTCATGCCAGGTCGACTCGAATTTGAGACAGAGCTGGAACAAGACGCTGAGAACCTGACAAAGGACATGGAATTTGGTCGCGTCTATCGATTCGGTGGAGACTTGCCTTCGGAGATGGAAGCGCTTGGCACGGTGGCCACCGCTGGTCGTCGTCGCGAAGGGCCTAGCTCCGGACGAATGGGAGCCATGGGCGCGAAAAGCAGCAAAAGGACCGGCGCAGCCGCCAAGAAAGGAACTGCGGACGCACAGCCTGACAAGGACGAAGACGCCGCAGATGGCGAGAACGACGCAGATGAGGACGACGCAAAGGATGCGGATGAGCACAAAGATGAAGATGAGCACGCCAGCGACAAGGATCCAGATGAACCTGAGGCCGAACCAGAGTCGGAGCCTGAGCCAGATCTGGACGCCATGAACGATGACGACCACAGTAGCGATGCGGCCACACCGGCACCCGCCTCCGCCGTCGCCGGCACTTCTGCAGCTAGAGAAGCCGCCGATGTGACCCGCGCCGAGTCAAGCAGCGTCAACGGTACCCCAGCTCCTGCCGACGTCAGCGCGATTGTGTCCGCAGAGGTTAATGGCGCTGCAGCAGGGGCCTCTACGGCCGCTTCGAACGACGACCAAGACAACAAGATGCCAGACTGGGACGAGCACGATGGGGATCTCGACCTCAAGCTTCTCATGCTCGAGATTTACAATGATAAACTGGACCGCCGTGCCCGTCGCAAGCTCTTCCTGTTCGAGCGCAATTTGGTCGATTACCGCAGAGTGAGTCCCCTCTGCTCGGGAAGCGTGGCTGCCCATTGCTGATGCATCCAAGAGCTACCTGCTTCCTCTTCATCCTGCTTAGACCAAAGCCGCAGAAATGGCCTGTCCTCTTGAAGAACGCCAATTGCTTTCACGCATTCGACACTTTGCCCAGCTGCAGACAGCTATGGATTTCGAAAGCTTCCTGAACGGTCTGCTGTATGAAGAGGAGCTACGTAAGACGGCTGCTCAGCTGCAGACATATCGCCGAGCGGGCATTACGTCTTTCGCGCAAGCAGACAAGTACGAAAAGGATGTGGTGGAGCGCAACAGGAAGGCTGCGGTTGCAGCTGCCGAGGGAGGCTTGGCTGCTTTCCCTGCTAGTGGAGCTGCTGGAACTCCGAGGAGAAACGACAGCAGTAGCAGCTTGGCTGCAATGTCCGCGTCCGCCGCTTCTTCCAAAAGGGCTAGAGAAGGCAAAGCAGGTAGTGTCGAACCTTCGGCAAAGCGCGTCGCCGATAACAACAAGACGCCCCGCGCGCCTCGTGAGTGGAGAGCCCAGAGAGCACACACACAACGTTCACAACTTGAGAGTGAGAGTGAAAACTGACGATTCCGTGTCTCGCCTAGCCAAACCTCTCGATCTGTCTTCTGCGCCGTCTCTGCACTTGCTGACCCAAAAAGAAGCAGCGTTATGCTCGGCCGTACGCATCTTACCTGGCCCCTACTTGATCATGAAGAAGGAGATTCTGACGGAATACATGCGACGAGGCAAGACGTTCTCGAGAAGGGACAGCAGATGTCTCTTCAAGATGGACGTGAATAAGGTGAACGACTGTCGCGGAGGTCGAGTCTAGGCAATGTCATCATCGCTGATGACCATTCTTTAATCGTTGTGCCCCGTTTCTCAAGGTCGGCAAAGTCTATGATCTGCTAGCAGAAGAGGGATACCTCGAGCAGCACGAAGCTACACTGGCCTCCATGGCAGGCTTGGATATCCCAAGTGAAGCCGCGAGTCAGATCAAGCTAGTCTCTACCCATCGGCAGTCGAGCCAGCCAAACGGCATGGCCAGCTCCTCATAGCTATTCAAGATCGATCGCAGCTCTGTCAAGCCACTTTCCGCCTGGTGGCCTTGAGGAGTGCCCTCAACACTTGTTGTACGTCTCTTCCAAATTTCCCACAATGCACGTGAGCTTTGAGCTCTTCCTCGGCCTGTACAATCTCAGACGCATCGAGCCCGTCACGCTTCGGACAGCACGGACCACAGCACGCAAGCTCTCTACCATATTGCCAACGACCGCCACGCACCAAAGTTATTGGGAGGAAACCTCCGCACTTGTCTCAAACATCCAAAGACTACTTCATACCTGACTCCTCGACTCGCTTCTCACCCGCAATTTGACACGCATCACAATCATGTACGCATTCCACATTCCACTCTTCGCTCACAAGTATCAAGGTCACGTCCTGAGCGCCTCACTCAATCCATCTCATCCTACGCGCCGTCCGGATCGCTGCGGAGCTCTTTCTTCTGTGTGAGACTGGCGACTGTTGCCTCTCTGCGACTTTGATGTAGCGGGAACTGGCCGAGCGGAGTGACTATCTGATGGATGCGCGTTGCGGAGAACAACCGATGGCGGACTGAGCATGCAGCCATGCAGCCACACGCGCGACCAACGCGCCTAGTGCTAGCGAGCCACAAGCGACATGCAACGTCGCGTTGACGCAGGATACACAGTTGAGTACTGGTTCAGCACGCACGCAATTTCGCGGGAGGCCTGCGCAACTTCGTCTTGTTTATCGATCACCATCGATTGCCATGCCCCTGTTGACCGCCAAAACCGCACATCGCACAGAACAGCGTGACTCTGCCTGTTCATTCCGAAGACATGTCCACCTCAGCTGATGCCGAAAGGCTCAAGGTTCAACTATCCACGCTCCTTTCTCAGGCGCACGAACGAAGCATAGCTCTGCGATTAGCGCCCTCTGCGCCTTCCCTGACCAGACCCATCAAAAAGTCTTTACCTGTCGTATTGAAGGGATTGGATGAGGTCAGAGGGGATGATGATGATGAGGAGGAGGAGCTGAGGAAGAGTTGGGAAAAGATCAGAAATGTGTTGATGGAGGATGAGGAAGGCAGAGATTTGGTGGAAGAGGCGCAAAGACCGTGAGTTGAAGCGGCGACCGGTGTGCGGAAGATGTGAGGAGCCAAGTTGGAGCGTTTGGAATGCTTGGATGGAAGTCATTTGTTTGGCCCAATGAGTTGAACTGATTCGACCGTTTCACTTCTCGATGCCAAAGATACGCTTCGAGGAGTCAGACGCTGCTGGGTGCTTCCAGCTCCAGCGCTGCAGAAGACAGCGCTGCCGAGACGAGCGATGCAAGAGCGGCATACACCTCCAATACGAATGCCTTTTCGGACGAGCCCTACAGGGACGATCCTCGCGCCTCGTCGGGCCCCGCACCGGACTCTCGAGACAATTCAGCGCTGTACACTGCCCAACAAGCCCAGATGCAAGCTCAAGATGGACAGTTGGACGCGCTCGCCCTCTCCATTGCTAGACAGAGAGAGATGGGCTTGAGAATGGGAGACGAGTTGGAATTGCATGGACAACTCTTGAATGAGCTGGACGGGGCTACGGACGGAACGCAGGAGAGGCTGGATAGAGCTCGTGGAAGGATGAGCAGGTTGGAGAAGAGCTTCAAAGAACATGGTCAGTACCCTTTTCTGACTTTTGTATCCTTGCTCCGATATTGTCAATCGAATGCATCGGCTTACTGACTGGGCACCTGACGATTCATCCCTCGCCCCTCAGCTTCTTCGTACACCATCGTATTCCTCATCATTGCTCTGGTCATCTTCATCCTCTTCGTCAAGTGAAGCTCAGCGCAGCTCGACTCAGCATCTCATTCTCCGATCGGAACTTGTAGTCTGCTCCCGCACTCGCCCGCCTGTAACATACCTCTCACCTCGAACGCGCTAGTTGCTCCAAAGCGCTGCGCCCGCCTCAACATAGTCATGCTATCTTACCCGCGCAAACCTTCTACTCGCGACAGACTCGGGCAATGATGATCCGCAACTATACTATTAGGAGGATTAGATGATGCCGAGTAGTACAGTGGGGTGACAAAAGAACGTCGGGGTGAGGGGTTTGGTGGTGGGAGGTCCCAAGGCAAAATGATCAACCTGTGATCTTGTGCGTGAAGCCCCAGGGGAAAGGTCAAGAGAGGAGAGGAGATTTCTGTTTGAGAACGCTGCACTCTTGCTCGTGCTCTCCTTCCTCCTTTCCTTCGTTTCAGTATTGGTCGCTCCATCTAATGTTGCTTATCAGCATTCATCTTGTTCAAAGCTCCCGTCCATTCGCGCATCTGCTGTTGAGCAAATGTGGAAGCTGCGTTCGCGAGGGGCTTCCAGTCGTGTTGCACGCGAGCGACCAAGTGGTGCTCATCTCCTCCTCTTCTAGCTTTGTTGGAGGAAGCGACGCTAAAGAGCTGCTTGGTAGCCCACTTGAAACCAGCCTGCGCGAGCGCTCTGGACTTGTCTGCAGAGGGCAAGCCACGTCTGGACTTGGCACCGGCAGCTTGTTGGGCAGCAGATGCATCCTTACCATCCTTGTTGAGCGCATCATCGATCATGTCGGAGAAAGCCGACCAAACGGGCGCGAAATCGCTGCCCGCATCTCGTCTTTGCTTACCTGCTGCTCCCGCTGCATGCTTCCACTCTTCGTCTCCAATCTTTTTGAGCTCGGACCAAACTGGTTGGAGATCTGCTCGGCGAGTGAGCATGTTGCCCGCTAGCTCGGCCACCTCTTCGACGCTTCGCGCTTGCATGTTCTGGACGCCGTGCATGAAGCCATCCGCCTCGAGAAAGTCTCGAGCGGAGAGGAGCGAAGTCAAGAGCGAAGCGGTGCTGCTGCTGCTCGTCGTGTCCGATGAAGAGGCGTCCTCACTCGCTGCTCCTTTGCTCGAGCTGGACTCAGCGGATGTCTTGTTCTTCGATGAGGACGGGGCCGCATCGGAGTCGTCGGTGCTGGTCGCTGCGCTCTTCGAAGCGCCTGCAGTCGCAGCGCCGACGCCATCTTGATTTGTGAGGGCGCTGATGAGAGACTCGACGATGGGCATAACAGTGTCGAGCAAGTCGCCGATGGTGTCTCGCTCGCCCAGGTCACGTCGACCGTAGCCTGGGCATCCAGGTCGGTATTGACCGTCATTTGGCGTGCCAGGGGGTGGGCAGTCTTTGCCCGTAACCGCGGCGCTCTGAGCCGAAGCTGACGAGGATGGGTCCTCGCTGCGGGTAGACATGGGCAACAAGGTGTTGAGGAGAGCGTCGAGCAGCATCCTAAGCACTGTCAGTAGACCAGTGACACCGGATTGACGAGGAGCCAGGTCCATCGCGTCCCTTCGGTCGAGTTGGGTGTTGGTCTGACGGGCAAGCGTTGCGCTCGCAGCGCTGGGACCGTCATCAGAGCCAGTAGCGCTCTGGGCGGTGCTGTCAGTCGAGGTCGAGTTGCCCGTCGCGGCGGCAGCTTGGGCGCTACCAGTGGCATTGGGCGAAGGGCTGGAATCAGCACTGCTTGAAGCAGCAGCCTGCTTGCCCTTGCCACTCTTCTCCGAATCCTTCTGTTTCTTCTCCGCGGTTGCAGACGCAGAGGAAGACGAAGCAGTGCCGGTAGCGGTGGCAGAAGTCATCTGGTCCTCAGGCACCAACGAAGCCGAGGCAGGCTTGTCGTCGTCATCATCGACAGAAGTCGAGTTTGAGGAAGAAGCTTTGGAGGCACCCTTGGTTGCCTTGCTCTTCTTTGCACCTGCACTGCTGGTAGGGGCGGCATCGTCGTCCGAATTGCATTGATCGGTGCCGTTGCCGAGAAGCTGCTGCAAGAGGCAGAGGATCTCTTGGACCACCGAGCCGACGTTGCCTGCTTGACGCTTGCTTGGAGGCTGCGATACGCGCTGGCCAAGCAGAGTGTCCACCAGCTCCTTCAAAGAAGATATTAGCTCTAAGAGCGAGGCAGGAGCGATCAGCCTCAGCTTCGACGGCGCACGTGTCGCTTCAACAGCTGGTCACGGCACTCACGGTCCAGAATACCACGACGCTCCAGGTCGCGAACGACGAGTCGAGTACGCTCATCGCTCTGCGGCATGTGAGCATAACGGGCCACTACGACGGAGGCCTGTTGCATCACATCTGTCTGACGAGTGTTGAGCTGCTTGAGGGCTTTGTGAACGGCCTCGGGGACCTGGTCTCTGGCAGCGAGGTGCTGAATGATGTGATCCTGAGCAGCAGGGAATGCTCGAGCTGCCAGGACAGCTTGAGGATTCTGATGACCGTTCGCCGTAGAGCGAAGGGGTACTGCGGTTGCCGTGTTGGCAAGACCGAGGGAGAGAAGGGTGAGGACGGCCGGAGAGAAATGCATGGTGAGCGATGTGGGGGTGGATTGGTAGAGTGGCGGTGGACTCTCGCGGGCTTGTATGCTCTGGCCGTACAAAGGCGAGACAGCGATGGAGTAGACGAAGAACGCTATGAAAAGACACGTGTGTGACCGCCAGGGTTCACAGTGAGTGCGAGTGATGAAGATTGATGAAAGAAGGAAAGTACGAAGACAGAGAAACAGGGGGGGGAAAGCAAGAGTTTGTGCGAGGCAGGCCTGGGGGAAAAAAGAGGTTGAGGAGCGGGACACTGAGCTCGGTCGCGATACTTATACCGCACCTCTACGAGTCCGTGCAGCCCTCTCATGGCTCGTCTGAAAGCAGCCGCGTACCTTTTTTCGGCGATGAGGAGATGTTGTATGTACTTCAGCTCGCCGAAGCGGGCAATTGTTGATGTCAGGATGGATGCTCTCGGTGCTCAGCATTCCTGCCGATGCTCGTGTCCGGCGCAATACCGAGTCGTCCCTTTGACAATGCTGTCAGACCGCTGCAATGTCGACTGTGCAATGCAGCAGGAGACGCAGAGATGAAGCCAAAAGTGGGCTGCACAACGTACGTCGTGCTGCAAGCAGCGGGGGCTCACAAGATCGACGCAAGGACCCGAGCTGCCGAGAGCCAGCTGGATCTGCTTGCAGGCAAGGCAGGCCAATCGACGAGCGCGGCAAGTAGAATCTGAGCGCAAGAGATCATTCTGTCCAAGCTTGGCACAGGTCATCGTTCACAGCTCAGTCGTTGTTCAAGGTGCGCTGGTACTGTAGGGTGGAACATGCTCAAACCGTCACCTTTTCGGGTGAAGCCTTTCCCGCTTCGGTGTCGTCGAGAGCTGTGCATACGTGCCCAAAAGCGTCCCAAAGCATCCCAAGCGATCGGCGACGGCGAACCTTGAAGGGCGTGACGCCGTGCGCGGTGCTTCATCCCTTTTTGCGTCACATGTATGTTGAAAATCTAGCCGCTTTGCCGAGATCTTGCACCGCCTAATGTCAGTGGTCAGAGAGCAGCGTGAAGACTGTAGGTATGCGCTTGCCGAGCGAGTGGTGAGCGTGAGCATTGCATAGATGGTCGCATGAGTCGATTCACGATGATGAGACGGCCGGCCACCATTGATCGCCTGATGCTCGTTGGGTTCGAAGGAACGACTTGCGCGACGCGTCAATTCACGATTATCATTCGCTTACGATTGTATGCGCGGCAGCGGCGCCGCGCGCGTCTCGGCATTTCACAATTCGCGTTAGCGCATTTGATTCTTTTGGGCGAGGACTAGCGCGGTTGATGCAGCCCTATCCAACGGCTTCGCTCGGCTCTATGCAGCAGGACAGAAGTCACGAGCACAGAAAAAGGCTGCTTGTTGCCACCTTGTTGTATACCTTTCAATGGCATCATCCCGTCTCGATCGACAGAAGTGGATCGCAAAGGGCAAAGCGATCTTGTCTGCTCTGCTGATTCCATGTTGAGCTAGCGTGCGATTCCCGTGACCCCTTGGTCGATCCAATGCGTGCTGCACTTGCCGGCTCCACCTTGGGGGTATGGCAAACAAAAGATTCATGGCCGAAGCTCTGTGCAGCACAGTTTGAGTGTCACCGGCGCCGATGCAATTGTCGCCCGCTGGCATCACTCGAGCTGCACTGGTCCATCATGTGATTTTTCTCGGATGGTACAAACGGGTCGACCTTGTATGCGGTTTCTCTCGTTACGCAGCCGTGGCACGTCGCTCTCATACTGTCGTCGATTACTTGCAGCCTCCTCTAATGATGTCTTGGCTCATTCCTTGCACCCACGCACCTACCCGCCTTGGCCTTGCCCTACTTCAAGCAGCGAACCAAGGCAAAATGTACCTGATGCGAGGTTTGACGCTTTCCGGGATAGCTTCCGATCTGGTCATGATGCTGTCCCTCATCGTTCCTTCGTGCTTCTTGACCAATTCGCTCTCGTCGTCCTTTACCAGCGCGTGAATTGGATCCACGAGCGCAGCTGTGACCTTTTGAGAAGCTTGAACGTTGGCCACCAGACAGGCGATCACTTCTGCTACTCCCACCGACTCTTCGGACGGACGCCAGGCGTCGTAGTCCGTAGCTGAAAAGGGTTGAGGTGGCAGGGAAGCTGCGTCAGAGGAGACCAGATCTTGGTGATCGGGGCAAGACGCGAGAGATGCTCACCGGTAGCGATCAGTGCATACGCAAGCTCTGCCTCTCTGGCGAGCTTGGCTTCGGGCAAAGCGCTCATGTTGATAATGTCCCCTGCAATAACGTTGGCAAAATGGTTCGTTCAGCCTGGCGAATTGTATGTGCTCATCCGCATTACCTAGCCATGCTTGACCCCTCTTCTCTCTCACCTCCCCACGCTCGGTACATCAAAGATTCAGCTCGAGTGCTGAATTGAGGTCCTTCCATGCAGACCGCAGTCTTGTTTCCGTGCACCTTGACATTCGGTGCGACTTTTGCCAGAGTTTCGCGGGCGCTGCATACAATAGTGTAGAGCTACATCAAAATCGGCCAAGTGCGACGCTGGCGCACCTATTGCATTCTCGCAGCACTCACATCTTCTCGACGAGTGGTCTCAGCGTCTCGCAGAAGGGATCGCCAAACATGGCATGAGCCACGACTCCCTTATCCTCTCCTTCACCAAAGAAGCTTCCTCTCCTGATCCCCTTGGTCCGATCGATGATCTGGCTAGGCACTACGAAGTCTTTTGGAGCAATTTCTTCCCTGAGACTTCCTACAGCTGAGAAGGCCAAGATGGCCTTAACGCCGAGAGACTTGAGACTGGCAATGTTTGCAGGGACGGGAACTGTGGATGGCGTGAAGCTGTGAGTGAGACCATGACGCGCGAGGAAAGCGACGTGGGTGCCGCTCGCATTCTTTGAAATTGTGATGGGGGAGGAGGGGTAGCCCCACGGCTATAGACAAGCATGCAGACCATCTCGATCAGTCACATGTCTGGCAGACTTCGAAGCCCATCCAGCGCGAATGGTGAAAACTCACTGTCTGAGGGTTGACAGTCGCAACCAGCTGAAACCCTTCCAGCTTGTAAATGCCGCTACCACCGATGATGCCCACTCTAATGTTCCACTCCTTGAGCTGGGCAGGACTGGGTGCTACGGCCTTGTTGGCAGCGTTAGCCGCTGCCTGACCTGAAGGAGTCGACATGATGTGCTGGGGTGTGTATGCGGCTCTGGATGTGCGCCTGAAGGGGGTAGCGTAGCGAGTGTTGATCTGACGGGTCGCGCTTGGCAGCAATGGCATGCGTCACAAGAATTGAGCCCATTGATGGTGGCAGGTCCGAAGAAGCAGCAGTGGTCATCACGGAACAGCAGACGGTCAGCTGAGCTTGGACCTGGGCTTGACATCCCTCTGCCACGGCGCTCTCTCTCTCTCTCTCTCTCGACTTCCTGACCCTCACCTAGAGCCGCACAATCACGCGAGCGCCTGCTCCACCGAGGGTTGGGCTCCGAGGTGTGTGTGGTGTGGAAAATGACGAAAATGGCACGTGCGCTTGGTGCGCCGTGCGCCGTGCGCGCGTCTGCGTGCCTGCATAATTAATTTGTGGACATTCCATCACGGATTCACACACTTTTGAGTCACAACAGTCACGAGTCAGCATGAGTCCCATGTCATGCTTCCATCCACGCGATGATTCCCATTGACGAGTGTTAGGGCCGTCGCTCTCACGACACTCAGTCGAAGCATCCTTCAGACTCATTCTAAAGCCATGATCTTTGGAGAGCAAAAACATTTAGGATCGTCTACGAGAAGCGGACAGTGATCCGCGCGAGTATCACTTTCGCTTTCTTCGGCTTTCAGCGTGTCGAGACTCAGCAAAGCGCCCAGAGGTAGCAGCATGAGCAGAAGGACAGGGGGGTGGCAGGACAGCATGCAGCAACGCCTCAGGGTGCACTCTCCCTTGTGAACTTCTGAATTGGAGCAAATAAGCATTTGAGCCGCAGATCGACCAACGGTCTCAATTCTTCGCTTGGAAACCGACTCCAGCGACGGCTTTGAGCACCCCAACCACCGTCCTTTCCGCGACCTGACGCAAGCGTTCGTTGCCTCTTGAAGCTCCCTGATCCGGCTGACACGAAAGGTTCCTCTCCAAAGCCATAGCTCTCCTGTGTCGTCCAATCGCTCCTTGCAGCATGAGCTCTGCTGCAACACATGAGGAAGACAAGTGCTACTCTGACTCACCAATCTGGTGTATGAGTGCTTGGACCCTTGCCTCTCCACAACCTGTACACCTCTTCGTACATCCTTGCCAGCTGCAGCAGGCTCACTCGTCCAGTCTTGGGGCTCAAATTGGCAGAAGTGCTGCCGGCCGCTGTCCACATGACTGCCGATGTGAGTAGACGGGTCATCACGGTCCTTACGGTCTCTCCTTGTGCCTTCTAATGACGAGGCAAGACGAGGACATCAGAGTCAACAATCTAATGTCAGCATTGGAAGCGGCGGTGCAAAATTGCAGCGTTCAAGCTACCTTTGCCGCTTCGAGAGGAACGCCAGCCGTCTTTTGCAAGTGAGCCCATCTGTTGAGACCCTCGAACGGCCCCCCTTCCATGAACCCTACAGCAAGTGGAAACGATCAGCACTGCCGCTGTCCCTGGGCTCGATCATAGCACTCACAAAGGCTCATCGTCTTGAGAAGATGTGCTTTATCAGCAGGCAGAAGCTCGCAGTGTCTCTGCAATCCACCAGGTGGGGTAAGGCAGGACATTCGACGCTCAGCATGGCGCTGCCAGCACCCTCTCAAACCCCGACTCACGTCCCTCTGCTCTTCAGGGGCTTTTGGCACTAGCCCAGCGAAATGGAAATCTGCAGATTTACCGCCGATTCGAACGGTGGCCTTGGTGGAAGGTGCCGACTTGACGTCCCGGTTCGCTGCGTCGTGCACTCCGTCATCGGCACCATTGCTCATAATCTGCGCCGAACTTCGCTTGGCAATTTTGGGTTTGCTTCGAGATTTGGCAAGGTTGCACATGGGGTGCGTATGGTGTTCGTTTCTGACCCGATGGCATTTGGGCAGGGGCCAGTCTCGAGTGCGCTCGCTGAGGCCGATTGGACCGGAAGCGACCTGGATGCTTTCTCCTCTTTGCGCTTGCGGACTTTCCCCCATCGTTTCGCTAGGTTCGTAATTGTCCACTTCCGAATCGTCTTCGTCCATCGATGTCAGCTCGCTGCTGTCGCTGTTCCCAAAATACAGAGGCTTGGCAGCGCTTCGCCGTTTCTTCCTTTGACAATCGGGTTCAGCTTCTTGTTTTGCGCTCTTTCGGCTCTGCTTGCTGCTCGTATCTTTGGCCACGTCGCCACGCGCGCACGCTACTCCCTCTGCCACGTCATTGGCCTCGAAATGCTTCCAGTCTCCATGATCAGAGTCAAAATCTTCGATGGGCGAATCGAGCGCGATGCGCTTTTGACTCTTGAACCGCTTCACCATCTCTTCGCAATGGCATTCGATGTGCGGAGCGGGTTGCCATTCGTCTGCGCCGCACGGCAAGTCTGACCACTTGACGCGGAACTGCAAACGAGATTCGTGATCATCGCCAGTGACGTCAGTGAAAAGGGTGAGCAGCAGGCTCACGAATCGTCGAAATCACGAATCACAATGCAAACGAAAAGCGCGTGCGGGGAATGTCCTTGTCCGCGCGCCCTCTCCCATTCCGAGGAGACATCGGCACTCACCTCATTGCGACTGCGAGAGTAGCCTACGATGCCCTGCACCTCGTAAAGCTCGCTGTCTTCGCTCGGCATGTCTGACGCATGCAAAAGGTCAGTGGCCATTGTGAGGGCCGTCCCAGCACCCGCGCGAGAAGGGCGAAAGCGCGAGCGAAGGCGAAGGCGAAGGCGAAGGCGCAAACGAGGACGAGGATGAGAACGAGGATGAGAAGGAGAACAGAGAGAGCGGGTGGGGCTAGGGACTTGCTTGACGAGCGCGGATGTCTGGATGACATTTACAGCTTGGCAAAAGAGGTTGCGCGATGCGAAAAGGAACATGGAATATGACAATCGAGTCAGAGTGAATCAAGAACGTCTTTGGGTGCGTGCGTGCGTGTGTGTGTGCAAAGATCACAACCTTCATCACGATCGAATTTCTCTGTTCGAGGGCCGGCTAATCGGACTCTTGACTCCCATCACTTTTTGGTGGCCCAGCTTTGCTAATCGAACCAGCCAGCAGCTCTAGCTGATACGGAGAGTCGTGAGTTAAATGTAGCTTATTCTCATCAGAAACCACTTCAGCCGCTTGATTCATGCAGTCTGAGTGCATGCTGCTGTATCGACCAATCAATTGACGAGGATGAGCGGTCGATCGATCGATCTATGTGCGCGCAGAGGGCGCAACCTCAATCTTGAATGAATCAGGTTGAGGATGTCTTGGAGTGAGACATCATCAGCACCGCGTATGATGTGGCCTATACAAATAAGGATGCTGCTTGTGTGTACAGCCGCGGGACAGCAAGCAGCATCAGCAGCAGTTCAGGGGCCGCGGGCTCTGCAACTCTGACTCGAAGTTTGACTCAATCGTCGTCACCTCACAGCATCCGTTCACGAGCGTGATTGATGGCGCTGATTCGCGGTGCGACCGCATCCAGCACGTTTCGTGGCCTTGCCTACATGACACATCCTCACGCAAGGTCCAACCGTGGATGAAGCCGGCTCAGTCAGGCAGGCCGTCGATCAAATCTAGATGATGAAGTCCTCATGACATTTTGTATTCGAGACTATACTTGCAAATACGCGTACGAACTTTTCTCAAGAGATGTGTACCTCCGGATCAGCGTGAGAGTACTGAAATGGGCCAGAGAAGCAGCTAGCTAGCTCGCCGCTCAAGCGTCAAGCTCAGCAGAGGCGAGTTTGTAGATCGTGCTGAAAGAGAAAGGAGAGCGAGAACATCAGAGTCTGAGTCGACCACCTCCAAAGCATCCGAACATCTCAAAGCGCAACTCACGCCCTCTGAATGTTGCTGGTTCCCTCGTAGATAGCTACAGGCCGAGGCAAGTACACGGAGCCGTGTCAAAATGGCGGCGTGCGCACCCATGCATGTTCGAAAACCACTCACCTCCAATCTTGCTGTCGGACCAGAACTTGGGCAGACCAGACTCTCGCGTGAAGCCGTAGCCACCACACCATTCGATAGCGCTGCCAGACACGCTCTGAGCGACCTGGGAAGAGAAGAGCTTGGCCATGGCCGCCTGCTTTGTGAATGGTCTTCCTTCCTCCTTCAGCCTAGCAGCGTTGTAGACGAGTGCTCGTGCAGCCTCGATTTGCGTAGCGGCTTCAGCAATCTGGAATTGCATGCCTTGGAAAGTGGCCACTGGCTTGTTGAACTGCTCCCGCTCGTGAGCGTAGCGCACCGCCTTTTCGAACGCTCCTTGAGCCAGGCCGACCATCTGAGCTCCGATTCCGACTCGTCCCTCGTTGAGGATCTCAATAGCAATCTTGTAGCCCTTGCCCTCCTCACCGATCAGATTCTCCTTGGGAATCTTGACCTCGTCAAAGTTGACCGTGCAGGTCGAGCTAGCCTTGATGCCCAGCTTCTTCTCCTTCTTGGCAATCTCTACACCGTGCTCCTTCTCCACCGCAAAGGCGTTGATGCCCTTGTAGCCCTTGGAAGGATCGCTTTGTGCAAAGACGATGAAGAATTCCGCTTCGGCGCTGTTAGTGATCCACATCTTGCTACCGTTGATGATCCAGTCTCCATTGGAGTCCTTCTTGCAAGAAGTCTTCATGGCGAAGGCGTCGGATCCGGACGCGGGCTCGGAGAGGCAGAAGGAGCCGAGCTGGTCGAGGACAAATGACAGGCACGTGAGCTGAGTTGCACATGTGCGGATCGCGACGCCTGCGATGCGTGGCACTTGTATACTCACAGTATCAGCAGACAGCTTGGGCATGTACTTCTCCTGCAGTTCCTTGGAAGCATACTTGCGGAGGACGGTGTTGACGAGGGTCTGTGTTCAAAACAGTCAAGAGACGGCGTCAGTGGTCAAAGATCGCCTCTCGAGTGATCAGGTGATTGCGGGCGCGCTGCTCACATTGTGGACATCGCAAAGCACAGAGACAGAAGGGTCGACCTTGGCCAGCTCTGTAGGGGAGATAGATCGACCATTCAGTGACGAGTTTACAGCGGGTGCACCTCATGTACATGATCTGACTTGCGCCAAAGCACTCACCTTCGATGACGATGATGGCGGCAGTGAAGGAGCCGCCTGCACCACCAAGCTCAGGGTCGGTCTCGATGGACATGAGACCCTGCTCAAAGAGTCCCTTGATGATTTCCGGGTCCATCTTTTCGTTTTCCTCCATAGCTTCCACCTTGGGGGCGACGACATCCTGAGCGAATCTCTGCACGGCCTCTCTGAGCATTTCCTCCTCTTCCGACAACTTGGACAAGGAATTGATACCGAAGGGAGACTCGAACTCGGCTGCCATGCCTCGAGCAGAGCTTGAAGAGAATGAACGAGCACTCGAGAGGGCGTTGGAGCTGGAGGGAGTGATGCGCTGTTGAGAACGCAGGGGGGCGACAGAGGCTGTGGCGGATACTGCGCTTCCACTGCGAAGGCTTTGCTGACGAGCAGCAGCGCGTGCCGTAGCACGGAGCATGGGAGCGCGAAGGGACATGTCTGTGAAGTGTTGCGAAGGAGTCAGAGTTGATGTGTATATTGGCAGCTCCAAAAAATAACTGCACTGCTTGCAAGACTTGCTGTGAGTAGAGGGGATTGTGGTGTGAAGGATGGATGACAAGGGTGAACGTGCGTGGAGAATGGCTGCTTGTGGGTCGGCTTCACACTTCACGATTGTTTCTCAGATTCCCCGCGCTGTGCGCTTTCATGTGAATCTGCCACAAGCGCGTCCCCCTGGGCGGTCAAGGAAAAGGTGTGTCTGCCTGCCGTGGAGCGAAGTGGCGCGCATCAGTCACGATCAGCGCTGCTGCAGACGCGCCAAGGCTCGCTCATACGTGCCGTCCGTCCTCAAAGCCGTCGAGGACACGATGGCGGCAATCGCATTCACGATCCACGATACCAGATTACACATCGCACATTCCCGTGATCAAGAGCTGTAATCTCGTGGGCATGGGAGGGTATCTCTGGACGAGAAGGGGGGGGGGCATCCACTCAATTCAGTACCCGATAACGGAAACTACATGCTGGGTGGCCTTGCCTCTCGCTTCTCGCGCGCCCTCGGTCTCGGGCATGGAAGTCGCTCGGCCTGCACGCATCTCTCCCCGCTATTTCCTCGGGCCGGCATCCGTCCGCTCCGCGACTTTGCGGATGACCTCAGCAGCCAGAACGCGGCTGCAGCGCGCTCCCTCGCGATTCTTCGTGTTGCATGGAGTCAAGAGTCCACACCACGAAGCCGCGCTCTGCGCATGCTTGATCTTCTGCCAGGAGGTACATTTCCAGTGGGCTACCGCGAGTGACACGTTCTTGTCAGCGTGACTTTGCGCCTCAGCTACAAGAGAACGTGAGCCAAGGCCTGGAGCGGAGCTGCACCTCCATGCTCGAACAGCGAATGAAAAGCAGCGTCTCGTGTAAGTCGTGCAGAAGCGGAACGCGGACCTCGCTCAGACGCAGTCAAACTCACGACTGACTGCCCACAACAGCCGAGGCGGGCGACAGCGGTCACGTGTAATCGAAGCTTCCGGGTAAGCCGGCTTGAAGCCCAAGCAAGACGTCGAGACTATTCTGGTCCAGCTCCGGCATCCTCCGCCACTGCAACAGCTCACCCGCTGCGCGCCTACCTTTAGCGCCGTCTGGTACAGCGCTGTCATGATTTAAAGCTTCACAGCCACCCAGGCACGCGGCCATCTCGATGCGCGATGACGAGCGGTCCAGCGGTGTGGCCGCCGTGGCAAGGGCGCTTATATCAACCACAGCAGCACTCAAGAGTAGGCTATACTCACAAACAAGGGAAGCGTTCTGAAAGAGGCGGGGGGGTGTGAGCGAGATATCGTTCGCAATGGATGAGCTAGGTGATGCTCTTTAGCAGGCTCTCAGCCCCAGCTCGTGTGCACTTGCAGCGAAGGTGTGTCGTACGCAGCCGCGATGTGCAAGTGAAATGCACAGTCGTGAGTGGTGCATTCACGATTCATGCCCTCCATGTGCACTGCAAATTGACCCGCTGCACGCACACCCTTGCGCCACCTTGCAAGTCCTTGAAAGAGCTAGGAGGTGCAGCTCAGGTCTATCGCTGTAGCGTACTCACGACTGTACTGAACCGCAGGAGTGCATCGGAGTCACGAGTGCTGCACACAATCAATCACGAATTAAGCATCTCTGCACGAGTCGTCGAGTCGTGCGACGGAAGCATTTGGCTGATTTGTGGGGTGATGTGCCTGGCAAGCTCAATGAGGAGCGCCGCAGGTACCCGCAATTCCCACGAGCAGCTCGCCAAGGCTGCCGTCGGCTATATATAAAGCACCTCCATCGCGGACCAATGCCTCTCTATCTTCCTTCACAGATCTCCGTGGCTGGCCAACTCTCAGTCACAACTCTCATCCAAGCACACTCATCTCTGCTGCTCGGGGTACACAACACACAATGAGTAGCAAACCCACTAAGACCCGCCCAGGCAGTGCTGCAGGGCTGCAATCGCCTCCTCCGAGCGACAACGAGAGCCCACCGCTGTATGCTGGCAGTCATCTCGCTAATGATCTAAGACTGCCATCAACAGCCGAGCAGGTCATCACCCCTCCCTCGACTCCACCGACATCCGAAAAGGACGTCAACAAGCATGGCCGAGCAGCGTCCATCTCCTCGACATCGAGCGCGAGCACCAAGGCTTCTTCGTCGTACTACGCGCACGCGTCCAAGAAAGGTCTCAAGTTCAATGGCGTCACCGTCGAGGACGTCGAAGAAGCAGCCGAGACCGACTCCAACCTGTACAGCATCGGCACCAGACGCAATGTCCAGCCTTTCGTGGAGCTTGACGAAGTGCGAGCTCATCTGAAGCTGCTGCACGCCTTTGACGTGCTGCGCGAGAGCGTCTACCAAGCTGCAAAAGACGAAGCCAGAGCTCCCGCTCCTGCGCACGACGACCAGCGGCTTCCCGACTATGTCAGGACCGAGACTCCACCGCCCGGTCACAACGAGGATCCAGGCTTCGATGCGACGTGCCAAAAGGCCTGGAGCACTTACCTCGTCCATGCCGTACACCGCTTCGAGCTCTGGCTCTCTCACGTTCTCACCGAATTCAATGCGCGCCACATCCACTCTTCTCCTGACCTGGGAGAGGTGAGCGTCCCGTGCAGGAAGCCTTCAAACATCATGGAGATGCCGCAACAATGCATGCCGCCCGTCGATGTAGCGATGATCTATCACAGCTACTGCCTTAACCCCGGTTGCTTTTTCGATGATCTACTCAGGCTCAAGAGCAGAACCGCACTTGCAAGCTACGACTTTCCTGTCAAACAATTGGCTGAGAACATCGTCATCGATGGCATCTCGGTCAGATTCGCCAACGCGCCAGCTGAGCGACTGTGGTCCACAACCATCACTCAAGAGCCTTGGTCATCTCCACTGACCACGCCCAAGTTCGACGCAAACCAGGACTCCCAGACATCTCTGTTCGGCAAGCATATTCCGTGCTGGCGTCAATTCTGCAGAGCAACCACCTTTGTCCCTTGGCGCCGATCAGACGGACAACCTAGTCTGGGAGAATCAGCCATCCCATCCCAAGACCCTTCCAAAGCTTGGTCAATGCCATGCCAGAAATGTGGAGCGACGCTGAACAGCGATCGCTGCAACGGCAAGGCCTTTGCTCAGGATTTGTCACAATGGTGCAGATCGGAAAACTTCCGCACTCGAGGTCTCACGTTCTCACCCCGCGATGGCGGTCTCTTCTCCCACGATCTCGCCGAGCCTATCTTTGTCCAGCTCTTCGAGCACTCGCCCTATCGAACGCTCGATCTGGCCCTGGCGAGGGCGAATGCGCGAACGAAGGGCAAGGTGGGTCAGCAACTGCAGCAAGATCCTTTGAGATGGGCTTTCGATCAGACGCGATCGGGGTCGATGAAGACCATGGCAGAAGACATTGCTACCACTATCATGGCCCTCAAAACACATTCCCTGCGATCGCGCTCGGCGGAAACCCTATTCAAGAGACGGATTGGCTTTGTGCTGAAGAATTACGTCGAGGCGGAAGCTGCTGTTGGACGAGGATCTGTGGATCTCGCCAAGGCTGTGCAGAGGCAATTCAGCTTTGTCGGGGAGATGAAGAGATTGGGCTGGAGCGATCCTCGAGCTTTGGCCGAGGGCACCGAAGAGGCGAGCTATGCGCGCGCGATAGTCAGGTATCACTCCTGGCAAGCTTTGATGGCCACCGAAAAGCAGATGCTGGTGCCTACGCTCGACATCGACCTGATCTGGCACACACACCAGCTCAAGCGGAGCTACGCGTACGACATGATGCGCAATGTGGGTCGCTTCATCGATCATGACGATAAGGTTGAAGAAGGCGCTCTGTCGGACGCGTTCGAACAGACCAGCCAGCTGTGGTTCAAGAGGTACAAGCAACCTTATTCTACTTGCGGATGCTACAAGCCGCCCGAGAGTATGGTAAGGCAATTTGGAAGCTTCTTCAAAGGTACCGGCTCGCTCAAGCAGCGCATGAAAGCTTCAAAGCCTCTGAGGCCTGGCGACATGCCCGAAGGTGCGTGGAACTCAGAGCTTGGTCTTCGCTTCTACATGCCCAAAGCTGACCTTGCTGTTCTTTGCTCTTACAGACGCCTTCGACGATGCGCTTCACCCCTCCACCCACAACAGCGTGGTAATCAGACCTGCAGAGGGAACAGTACTCGATGCTGATGCTGCGGGATCGTACGCGGTCACAAGGCAGAGGGCGCAGCAAAGGCGCCACGATGCACAGAAGGCCGAAGATGATGGCGATAGGCGAAGAGGTCACGATGCAGCCTTTGTGTGAGTAGTTTCATCCCCCTTCATCCTCGGGTCGACTCGGAGCATTCCCATTCGCGCCTCCTCGCCGCTGACATTGACACGGTTCGTCACTCATCGCGCGATAGCTATGGAGCAGGATACGTACCTTTGTACCCCTACGTCATTGTGCCGGGCTACTATGGAGGAGCAGGCATGTGCGCCGGTGGAAGCACGGGTTCGGCTGGCTGTTGCGGCAATACTGCTGGAGCCAGCTGCGCCGCAGGCAGTGGGTGCGGAAGTGCAGCGAGCGGAGGCTGTGGTGGAGGCGGTGGTGGGGGAGGAGGTGGATGCGGAGGTGGTGGTGGATGTGGAGGGGGCGGCGGGTGTGGCGGTGGTGGAGGAGGTGGATGCTAGGAGCGCCTATGAAGCTGGTCAATCTCCAAGGATTGTCTACCCACTCTCTCGCGCCTCCAGGATGATCTCTTATGCAGCACTCTTGTGACCTTTTACCGGCTGCGAATCGCTATTGTATCAAGTAACTTGTCTGCAAATCTCATGCCCAGTGATCCAAAGAGCAAATACGCCGTGCGAGTCGCTCTCAAGTTTAGTTTCATCCGTACTGACAAGCCTGCTACACGCCCAGCGAGATCAGATTGATCAGGTCATTCTTGACTTGAGAATTCGAAGTACATGTTGATTCGCATCGCAACGCTTACAGACGCGTCTGGAACCGAAAGAAGAAAAAGAAGTCTTCGAGGTTTTGATCCATCTCCGAGGGCTCGTCAGTCTCACCAAACGTTGCTGTATCCTCCGGTATAGAAGCCGCGGCTTTGAGGGGCTGCAGCGCCTGCACCCCTGCCCATCCCTCCGCGACCCTGCCCTGCGTGCCCATTCAAGGACGGCAGACTTGCTTGATGTCCCATCTGTCCAGGCGTCGCTGACTGTGGAGCGCGACTACCGTAGCCGCGCGAGCCAGATCCTGGCCCGTAGCTGCCGCGACCCATTGGCCCTCCTCTGAATGCTGGTGAGGTCGGCACGCTAGCCGAGGACCAGCCATTGCTCGCATCGCCATTCGATACGCCTGAACCAGCCGCGAGATGACCAGCCGAGCCTGCCTGGGGTGAGTGAAAGGGTTGTGGTAAGGCCTGATAGCCCATCTGCTGCGCGTATCCGTGCGGAACTGTGGATCCCCATCCAACTACTCCGCGCGGCGCCGAAGGTGCCCCTTTTGCACCATCGACCACACTGGAAGGAGACGTCTCGGGATAGCCTCCAAAGTTATATGCAGGTTGATAATTGCTGTAGGCACGACCATTGAACGCCGCTGGCTGCGCCGACAGTGCTTGGCGCGGATATGCGTTTGCCTGACTCCACGCTTGGGTGTTGTAGGCCTCAGGTTGATACGGCTGCTGGTGCCCAAAGGGGATGAATGACTGATTCTTCCTGGAGCTAGAAGCGGCGTCGTCATTAGCCTTGCCAGCTGCACCACGGACACCTGCATCTGGAGCTGATGACGTCTGAGCGCTGTCGACGGGGCTGGTGCCGAGATTCAAGCCGGCAAGAGTTCCATTGGCGTGTCCATGGCGAGAACCGCGATCGTCTCCATGGCGCTGTTGCTGCGAAGCACTTTGCGACGTCTGATTGTTTGCCGAGGAGGATCCAGCACCAAGGCCGCCCAAAGAAACGACAGGCCCGTCGCTATCACCAGCGCCGAGGTCATGTATACTCGTAGGCATCGACAAGAAGTCATCGGCGATACCTCTAAGAGAATTCTGCGCTGGGTGCGAGGCAGTGCGCGCACGTAGATCTGGCGTAGCCCACAGGCTCTCGAGATGGGATGGCGAAGCGCCACCATTTGCCGCCGTGTTGGGCAAGCCTGATAGGTTGAGCGAGCTTCCGCCCCAAGTTGCAGAGCTGAGCTGGCCGGGAGAAGGCAAGATAGGCGTCTGCGCAGCAGTCAAGTGACATTCGTCAGCACCCGCCAGCCAGTCTCGCGCCACACTTGCGGGCGGACTCACTTGCATTGCACCGCGCTTGTCCGCTGCGCGGTTCGCCGGTGGAGCATACCTATCGCCGTTGAGCTCCAGCTCGCTAGCAACCACAAAGCTGGGTGACCGCGATCCTGGTTCCGTGTGGCCCAAGTTGGCGCTGCGAGCGAAAGCAACGCCTGCTCCAGAATCCCGCCGACCCTTCGCAGCGGGATGTGGAGGTCCGGCGCCAATCAAAGCTCGTTTGGACAAGCCCATGCCCGATGACTCGGCCCAGTCTAAGGGTCCGCCCTGTCCTCGAGGTGCTGTGCCGGAGAATCCTCGTGCTCGCATAGAGGCGGGAGCAGTGGGCACGGAGACGGCAGAGGATCCTGACACTGGGACGGAGACATCATAGCTTTGCGCATTGGACCTGCCCAAAGATGGCTGGATGTTGGCAGAGCGATTTCCTCGCGGAAGCTTGACGGTAGGCTTGACGTCAAGCATATCGGCCTCAAGAGCAGGGTGAAGCTCCTCACGAACTGAGGTAGGGTGCAAAGGTTCTGCAATATGTCCGTACATCATTGGCTGACGCTGGGTGGCCCGACCATGTGCGCTGGCTCGAGGCAGAGCAACATGCGCAGGTGGCACGTTCGGGGCAGTAGCTGAGCTTGTCGGGAAGACCCGTGGTGGTAGATTTCTTGGCAGCACGCGTGTCGGCATCGAGACATTTGCAAGCAGGACTCCCTTGCGGTACTTCTTGGGATGGAACTGATCATAGATCGAAAGCGTTTTCATCGGCAAACCCGGAGCGGATGGGGTCCAAGACAGGATGTCTACATCGGAGCTGGAATTAGCTGCTGCCTGAAAAGCAGCAATGCGCTGCCTCTGAGCCCGAAAGGCAGGACCACTCAAGCGAGCCGGTCGAAGGCGAGGTGCGGGCATCTTGACCACAAAACGATTCCACACAGGAACAGAGTCCTGCGGCACCTCTGTTCTCGTCGCGACAGGCTCGGGGTGGCGAGGTCGGGCAGGTTGCCTGAGTGCACTCGGAAGCGGCTGCGTCGCACTGCTCGCAGGTGGTCGGGCGTCGTGCCGCTGAGTCTGCAAGCGCGCACTTGCATTCTCATCCGTTGGAGCGATGATCGCTACCCGAGGTGCCGTTGGTGCGACAACCTTGGAGCCTTCTGGTAAATTCGCTACATCGTTTCGCAAGGCGCGCGGACCAGCAGGAGGAGCTGCGTTGGCGAGCGCAGCATCTGCTTGAGCTTGCTTGGCACCGGCCTCTCGCCTCTGTGCTTGCTTTTCAGCTCGTTTGCTCTGTCTAGCAGAGGTTGAGGGGTCGCTCGTTGTTGCTTGTGGTCGGTCCAAAGAGGCTTTGGTGGCGGACACGGCATCTGACGCCATCTGTTCTGCGCGCATGCTAGGCGCAGAGCTGGGCACAGAGGACTGAGATGTCGGAGGTCGTTGCAATAATGTCCTGGGCCTCGACTGCTGCGTGGGGGATGGCTCTTCTTTGGAGGGTGCGCGTCGCGCATTGCTAACGATAGCATCACTCTGAGCGAGAGGTGCCGCTCTGCGCCAAGACGTTGCCTCCTCGCTGGGAGAGATCAAAAGCTGGCTCGAGGGACCCTGACGGTTGGAAATTGCTTCAGGTAGTGCGCCTGGAGCCGGTCTCCCGTGTGACTTTCGAACTTCAGGTGACTTCGCTGGGGTATCCTGCTTCGCAACCTTGAGCGCAGCCTCATGTGCTTCAGCAGCCTGTTTGCGGGCTGCAAGCATGCGAGCATCCTGAGCAGCGATCCGAGCGGCTTGTTCTTCTCTCAGCTTCGCTTCCTTCGCTGCGTCCTCAATCTCTCTGACACGCCTAGCTTCCTCGATTTGAAGCTCAAGCGCCTTGGCTTTTTCGAGGGCACGCGCTTTCTCGCGCTCGCGTTCCGCTTCTTCCTCCGCTCGTCGTCGCCGAGCGCGCTCAGCTCTCTCTGCCGGCGAGACCGTCTCCGTCGCTGCTGCGGTGGTTCGAGAAGGCGGCGCTTGCGTAGACTCCACGACGGGAAGCTCTGTCCGCTGTGCAGAGGGCGAACCCACCCTCCGTGCTAGAGGCCCCCAACCGAGCGCTTTGGAAGCTACAGGAGGGTGTGGCTCGCTGGCATTTGCTCCATAAGGACGCTCCTCTGGGGAATTTTCCACGCGGTCAGCAGCAGTATGCAGGCCAGCTGCCATATGCGGCGGCAGGGGTCGTTCAGAAGTCCGCGCATTTGGTTTGGAAGTCGGTAGCGGCGCACGCTCTTTGGCCGGCAAAGGCCGCTCGTGCGGAGAAGTAGGCGAGCGCGGATCCGATCTCGTGGATGTTACTGAGGGCTCACGGCGTGGAGCATCAGAATCCAAGTTCTGCGTTCTTCGAGCGAGCGGGCCCCAAGCGCGAGCAGCTGAGAGAGTCGCATCAGGATGAGCGTGTGCGCCTCCCAGTCCGCCAGCTGGACGACCGGAACGCGAGGAATTCCAGTCCGATCCGCGCCTATCTCTGGGCAACAGCTCTACGCTAGCGCTGTCGCCTTCGTCCGCAAATGCGGAAACAGACGACCTCCCGGCGCGCTGAGGGAACAAAGATTTGGTCGCGACCTCAGGCGCGTAGTCAGCTAATCTCTGTTGAGAAGCGGGCTTCCGAAAAGATGGACTAGGCTGATCTGTGGGATTGGAGCTGGCAGCGGAGTGGGTCAAGCGCTGCATAGGTGGCGGTGGCCAGGACCGATCGTGTGTTTGATCTCGAAATCGATCCTCCTTTGTCACTGGTCGAGCATCCTTCTGAAGCTCCGCGAGCGAGGGCTGTGGCACTTTATATTGCGTCCCGTCGCCGAATTCGACGACTTCGTCCAGGAATCCGCCGTCTTCATCGACCATTTCGTCCCAATGCCGGCCGCTGCCCAGATTTGCCCCTCTGAAGCGGTCCAGGTCTGTGCGGGCACTTGCAAGTCTATCGTGTTCGTCGGTAGCCTCCTTTACATTTTGCGCCTCGGCTGCTGTTGGGAAATCCGACGATGCTATTCGCTCACTGGAGGGTGCTCTTGCACCGCTGCTCGATGAATTCTTGCTAGTTGCCCATGGAGCAACAGATTTTGGAGCTCCACTGGTCGCGTCGTTCGCACTACTTCTCAACGCGGCATTTCTGAGGGATGGAGATGCGCTCGTGTCCGTCCGCGCAGGACTGCCCGATCGAGCCCCGCCCAAGGCAGTGAGTCGAGGAGAAGAGAGGTGAGTCGACCTGACTACATTGCTGTGCAGCAGAGCAGGCGAGGGTGCGCTCGCCGGCTGAGACAAGGCTTCGGCTGCCGACGGAGCGGATGACGGCTGCACAGAGGTTCCCGCAGCTGCAGCAGGGCCCTTCTCACCAAATACCGCATCAGGTAGAGTCGGTTTTGCTGATGCGGAGGGTGGCTTGGTGGATGCATGAGCCTCAGCATTTCCAAGCTTTGGAGAAGGCCGAGAGGATGGCGGGGCGGACGGTGCAGGAGGTTCTGATGCTTTTGCCTTGTCACCCGCTAAGCCAAGGCTCGCTTGAGCTGTAAGTGTGGCAGCGGCACTTGCGTTATTGTGAGAAGAGGGCCCAGTATTGGCAGGCGGATTGGCAGCCGCAAGCGCTGGCAGCGCGTGATTGATAGCTGGAGATGCTGAGGGTGAGGGCGTGCCCCACGTAGCAGCTGGTTTAGGCGCAGCAGAGGCTGACAGCTTGGCGGACGTGAGTCTCGAAGACGACAATATGGGCAGGCCACGACCTGTTGAAGGATACGCGAAAGATACGAAATGTCAGATGTATGCAGGCTCACCCATTCTCTGGTGCTTTGTCGGCCAGTCAAGCGGCCCGTTCCTTCGCGCTGTCGCCACAGCCTTCCGGATCGTCTTTCCAAATGTGGCTACGCTCTCGCTGCCGCACGAGCTCAAGCATCAGGCCTACTTACTAGAGCTTTCTCTCGTGAAACTTCCCTTGCTTCCAGTTCCACTGTTTGACAAGAGCGAAGATCCGGTACCGCTTGTGCAAGAGCCTCCTGTCGTAGCGTGGTTAAAGGTCGGCGAGCTGGGCGACGCTTTTCCCAGGAATCGCTTAGTGAGGCTCAATGAGGTGAACTTCTTCCCGGCTGCAGCGGCCGCTGCCGCGGCCGATGCAGTGGGGGAAGCAGTGAGGACTGCGGATCCACCACTTGCTTCACTCAGTCTGGTTTGCGCCGGCGTCCCGTTCGTGGTCGGCAATTTGCCTCGACCGTCTTGGCTTTCTGTAACCGGCGCTGTTTCGGAGACTACTTTCTCCGCAGGCACAGCACCAAGATCAGAGACTGAATAGCCCACATCTTCTGAGCGCACAGCCTTAGCCTCGGTGCTGTCCCTTGCGCTCGTTGTAGGAGGTGACACATCGATTACGCTCTTAGCGTCCGTCAGGCTCAGTGAGCCGCCTTGGTCAGGATGCGACCGTGCCACCTGTGAGGTATTCGTTGGACTTTCGACGCCATCATCAGGCCCAGACACTTTCGTTGAGCTATCTTCCAGATCGGCGCTGCTGCCCTGCTCCCTGGCCACGGCCTGAGATGCCTCCGCTAGAGGCGCTTCGAGCTTTGGTGAAACATTGCCGAGAGCAGAGGCACTGGTAGACATATTCCCTCGTTGAATGTGCTAGTGTCCAGGAGGATAGCAATGATTATGATGTCGAGCTAGCCTGAGCTGCGTAGCATACAGCGATGCTGTCAAGCCGGCGCGAGACCTGATGTGAAGTTTTTCGCAGCTGGACGCCCAAGGGGGGTGAGAGAATGTGCAGATAAGCCTGTCCTCTTGAGGAGGCTTGGCAACAGCAGGGAATCGAAGGGCGCACTGGCGACGATCTCTTGAGGATCACCACTTCTACGGCCGTCGCTGTCAAGAGATTTATGACTGACCGCCTCTAGCTGGCTGTGGCAGATTTGAGAGGGAGAGAGGCTTCAAATTGTAGGCCGTGAAATCGCGATTGGCTGCATCCTAGCGCGGCTGCCCGCACGCACGGTCTGTGCCCCAGTGGTGTTCGGCTTGCTCAGACATCGTGATCGGCGGTCGCCTCGCACAGCGCGAGTCACGCGGACCCCGCACGCACATGGCTGCCCACGTGACACCCATCAACGCCCTGCTGTTTTGCGCGTGTGTTACCGAGAGGTGAGACAGCTTCGCCCGCGGCGCATCGCATCAATCAAGCATCGCAGCGACGGAGCCTCGCTGGCTGGCAAAGGCCAAAGGAAACGCATCAGCGGCAGCAGCTAGCGCGGCAGTCGTGAGTGCGATCTCGCTGGACCTCGGTGGCTGAGATCAAGCCTTGCCGTCACCACATCAAATTGGAGCCAATCACAGTCGAAGCTGCAAATGGTCAATCACGAATGAAGAGCGGATGAAACAGGCGCAAGTCGTGGACAGCATATTTCATGCAACGAAGGAGTATATAACTATGATATGCTCACGCCTATGAATACGCGGGTGGCTTAGATGCTGGACTGGACCGGTGCAGGATCACAAGATACGAGACGCCTGCCTGCGCTCTTGGCTGATGATCTGCCATGCCGGGATGTACTTCAAATCGCGAGGTCCGCGGTGGATGCTCTGGGGGTGAATTTGCACGCAAGCCTAGCTTAAGAGGGCTTCTGTGCTCGCCGCTTACCGCTACTTACGACTCACGACTGTGCTGTTGTGCAGCGCGCCAGCACAGCTGATAGATCACTCGATCTCACAACTGCGTGCGCTATGGAGTCTGATTGCAGCTGGATGGCATGACCTTGGGCCTGGTGCGGTCAGCTCAACAAAAGCGGTGACTATATAGACACGAACGCAAAGCTCGGAGAGTGGCCATATGCCCAGCCATGGATTGCGGCGGTGTTCGCAAGGCACATCAAGAACCAGCTGATCGTATATCGATCGTGTTCCGCCCAATGATGGCGCCAACGTCAGCGGCTTCGTTCGAGATGAGGCGAGGCGTCGCCCGCGCTGTGTGACTCATGACTCCTGCTATACAGCACTCATGCGACAATCCAAAGGTTTGTGCGCAGCGAATTCTGCCAAGCCGCGCGAAGCCGTGGGTCGCTATATGGCAGGCTCAAGCCACATCAGCTCAATGTGATTCGATGCTGCCTGTCCGAAGCACAATCTGCCTTGATCTTACAACAGCCTCGACGGCGCTACAGCCTCTTCTGCTGGAGGACACAGCTCTTGCGTGCTGGATTAACCCGCCCGGCCATCCATCCAGTCCAACTAGACTACTCTTGAGCTGACTGCAACTACTACTCACTACTGACTACTCGCACACCGCTTCGAGCGGCGATCGGAGCCTGAAATCCGCTCGTGTCAGGAAATAGTACTCAACGTCTACACTCTTCTGACTCGCGCTCAGCTCAGCATCGATGGCGTTCTTGGAGGCGAAAACTATCAGCGCGATCATATGCAGCGCGACCGTTGGCCAGGAGATGACGTGCATGCTGCCACTCACATCGCGAGCCCGACCCTCGATACGCTCCTCATCGTACAGCTCAAGGCTATCTAACGCAAGCAGGCTGGCGCGCCTCCATCAGCCTGGCCTGCGCGTGTTCTGCCTCGCACACTCAAGAGATGGTCAAGTCGGAAGGGTCATCTTGGATAGAATCTTCCTCGAGAAGAGCAGCGGTGGGATACCGAAGCATCCTCAGCAGCGGCAGTCGGATGAGGATCGAGTGTCTGTTGTACAAGAATCGAAATAGAGAATCCCGTCAACAGCCTGTCCGCTACTGGCCGAGTCCGCCTCGACTGAATGGCATAGCCACTCTCAACGGCACGACCCTTCCGCAATAGTCCTACTCGGAAGCAGGTCGTTGCGCATGCCTCAGCAGTTCAAGCCTTGTCAACGTCAACAGCCGGTTCGACTGCGCACTCATCTTCTAGCTACCGCGCGTGTGGCGCAATCAATGTTAGATCATCAGCGCGTCAGCGAACGATCGCTAGGTCAAGCATGCGAGAGTATCGTGCCGTGGCAGCGGCACATGCAAGGTGTCAAAAGATGCGGGTTCGCCGTTGGCGACTCCTTCCATACGCTCTGGTGCTTCCAAACTCTCCAAAGCTGGCGGCAGTCTCGCCTGAGCAGAGAGACACAGTCAGAGTAGCAGAGCACCCGATACCTGCCTTCAGTAACAGGATGTCAACGAGAGCAGCAGCATACATGGCGACCTGTGCTCCTGCTGAGCGCGCGTCGGGACCAGGTGCGAACGCTCGTCAAGCTCAACAAACGCTCCAGCGATGCGATGATACCAGCTGCTAGTCGTGAGAATGCGCTGATTGGCTCTCGCGGCCGATCGACATGCCAGAGCAAGTTTCCCTTCTCAACGCTTCGCGCAGGCACATGACCCCTGCTGTCGGGTGAGCGCCTTCTTCAGCGACCGTACTCAACGGACGAGTGTCCTCGCATGGAATAGGTTGGGAAGCAAGAATGCCGATCCTCATACTTGAAACCTGCCAGTCACCGCCACCTGGCGTCCAGTGCTAGGTGCATCTAGCGACACAGAACGGGCCTAGTGCTGTCCATTCAGATGCACGCGCCAGTTTGGACTGTTCAGCAGTCTTCGCCAGCGGCAAGGACAGTAGCAGGCTTGTGCATGGCGCCTCTACGTGTGGTCGAAGAGCAAGTTGATGGAAATCGAGCATCTAAGTGACTTTCTCTCAGCCAAGCGAGTGCTTTAAGAGAGGCCCCCCCAAAGCGATTTTCCTCTTCCCTCTTCTCCTCATTACGTTTCGCTCAGTTTCTCGTCTCACCAAGACCTTCCCAGCCTTCCAGCTACAGATACTACGCTTTACGTACCCCTCAGCTCTCTTTGTCGACATGTCCGTTTTCAAGACCATCGTCAACATCCTCCTCCCTCAGGCTTTCGTGCCCAGCCCAGCTGCCACGGACGCCAGTAGCGGAGGTGGTGTCTCCCGAGCTGCACCTGCTTCTCCCATCGTTGCTGGCGACAGCGCGATGGGTGGGATCACCGTCCCTCACCCCCCCGTCCCCGTCGTGTTTCGCGCTCCCGACGCAAACACCGACCAAGTCACCCGGGCCCCACTCGCCGAGCCCGTCGTCGCCAACATCAACGCGACGGGCAAGGTCACCTTCCGCCCCTTCTCCTTCGTTCCGACCTCGGTCGGACTTCTCACCGCCCGCCGTTTTGCCTTTGGTAAGTGTCGCGCGCGTTTCGGCAACGTTGATGAGGGTAGCCAGAGCGACGAGTCCTGGTCGATGGGCACCATGCTGGAACAAGTGTACACGATTTTGGAATATACGACTGACCGATCCACACTTCTCTCCTTCTCTCTCTCTCTCTCTCTCTCTCTCTCTCTCTCTCTCTCTCTCTCTCTCTCTCTCTCTCTCTCTTTCTCTCTCCCATAGGTCGTGTCCTCGTTCCGGCCCTTCCTTTCGCCGCCGTCGGCCTTTCGCTTTCTTTCGCCGCCTTCGCTTTCGCCGCTCCTTTGGGCACCTTCGCTTTCGCCGCCCCTCCCGCCGCCTCCGCCTTCGCCTTCGCCACCCCTTTTGCGGCCAAGGCTTTTTCTTTCGTCCTTGGTCGCCCTTTCTCCTCTGCTGCCGCCTTGGCCTTCACCGTCGCCGCCTCCGCCTTCGCCGTCCCTCGCGCCCTTCGCCTGGTCAACAACGGATGGAAGCGAGCCGGACGCCGAGGCCCAGGCCCAGGGTTCCACGTGATTCCTCTTGCGCTCACCAGCGAAGTGGCAATTGCGTGGGACCGCGAGCCTCGTCGTTCTCCGGCTCGCAAGGTGCCAGCAGTCGCTCGTCCTCGTCTTGCCCGCGATCACAATGACGCGAGGTTTGACCAGGACCAGCGTCGACTGTCCGGCGGATCTTTCCGCTACATCACGACCGGCGAGCAGTGAGTTGGACTTGACAGACATCGAACCAAGCATCCTTACTAACGCTGTGCGCTCCCATCCAGTACAAGAGGGCCCTTCGTCCCAAAGCCCTTGCTCGCCGGCGTGGGTCACTAGCGGGAAGACGCTCTTCAACGGCATGGTAGTCGGTCGTCATCGTCGTCGTCGTCTGTCGTTCGTCTCGGTGCATTGTTCTCTTTTTTTCTTATAAGCACGGGAGTCTTCGGTTCGTAGAGGCGGTGCTAACACCGTTGCTACTAGCTCATCGCCATAAGGATGATGCTCTGCGGACCAGCTCTCGTTTGGTCGTCGTCATCGTCTTCCTAAGGTTGATGGTGACGCGACCAGTTTTCCTTCTTTTGCTCGACGTGACTTGTCATGATCGTTGCCCTTTTCCAATGCACCAAGCGTTCGACGGCGCGACCACCACCGTCACCATCGCGTCTCTCTCAACATCTCTCTTCACCATGGTCATCATGGACTACGTGCGACCTTCGTCGGTCTCGTCTCTTCTTTATCCGTGCAGGTTCTCTTCATACAGACTTCGGTCGTATACCCTGTTACGCATCAGCTACGTACCCCTTGGGTCCTGGCTCTCGTCTCCATCCGTGCAGGTTCTCTTGATACAGACTTCGGTCGTATACCCTGTTACGCACCAGCTACGTACCCCTTCGGTTTCGGTTCTCTA